AAGAGCGTGACGGATTATAACCATTTCAGTAGCTGCATCTTCAGATACACTTCCAGCTTCACCATGCTGACTCCTCCACTTAATATTTCTGCGTGATTGAAAGCGTCGAAGCCAGCCGTTGCTAAACTGCGGCATCTCCCTTTCTGGATAGACCTCCGGCCAGAAATCCCTTGCTTTTTGCCGAATAATCTCCTGAGATATTGTTATTTGTCCCTCAGCCCTCCGTATCCAGTTGTAGAGTGCCTTTTCTAGCTCTGGCCAGGATTCTGTACGGCGTCGTTTATCTTCAGATTGATGCGCTTGAATGTCGTCAAGGAAGGCAAATCGAGAGGAGAGGATTCGGCTAATCGAGGAGCGGTCAATTGGCTGTTTATATGTCTCTTCAAACCACTTAGAAAGAGATGCCAGAGAAAGATAAGGCTTTAAATGATGTCGTGCGCGTAGGGCAGCCTTCTGGCTATTTGAAATAGCGCGACGCGTCCTCTTAGCCATCTTTAAAGCAAAGTGTGATATCTGAATAAGCAATTTTGTGACTTCGATATAGGCAAATTTATATAGGAAAGGGCGAAAAATTAAGCAAAGATCTTGTATCGGGGGGTTAAGCATATTAATATGGAAAATCAAATTAGACACCGTGTTCATTTGCTTATACCGGAGTTTTGCTTAAATCGGGTGCTGCTTATATAGGGGTTTTACTGTACCTATCTGTGGTAGGTACCTAGCGCCCAAGGGCTCCGTACTTGCTCCGGAGTGCTACTATGGAGTACTAGACGTTGGCTGTGAATTGCTAAAATAGGGTGTTCCGATTACGACGACAAGCCGCTAACACTACTATGGAATCCTCCGGCGTTCAGCAGACTACTTGGTATCATTCTTAATTGAGTTCGAGCATTCGGACACCCTAATGCGATTATTCCACTGAACCACGGTCAATGTCGGTTTGACTTTTGAGAACCCGGGATCTTCCCATGGTCCACTACAACTGACAAGCTAGCTAATCCATTCACAATTGACATGTGTCGTCTATGTTAAGGACGCTGGAAGGAGCCTCCCAAAACTGCAAGCTGCAATGTGCACGTATAGCACATAGATGTATGGTGATATCGGGATTTTGTGCCTGAGCACGGAGAAATTGCCTCCTACTCCGTACATGCTGTCCGCTACACTCTATAGCTCTTTTTCGCCATGCATGAAATAATGGCGTTCGTTAACTATCAGCCATACTAATAAATGGAGAATCTTACGTTGCAGATGCAGTTTCACATGGGAGTGATGTATGAGAGCCATTTTTCCATGCTTATCTCGAACGGGTAAAGCACTAGGAAAGCTAAAGATAATTGGAATTTTGGAAGGGAGGAATAAATAAACCAATCAATAAATAAAAATCAGCATGATAACCTCCGTTGCAATATGGCTGGCCTCATGAATTCGAAGCACAACGTACAAAGTACCTACGTTTGCCAGGGCTATCCTAAGAAGGCTCAAATAGTCGAAGCACCACTTTTATCCAGTGCTAAAATGCCATGGATCACTACACGTTGGAATCCCAGTCTGATTGCACGGAAGGGTGTGGAGCCGCCCCTTGAGTTTTCTGATGCACTGAACCACTCGCTGCTCCATACCTACACGGAGTAAGTCTGGAGTCAAGTCGGCGCAATGGGTAAGTTGCTTGGCCGGAGTACCGAGTGTCTTGACTACTACGGTCTAGCTAGTACTATCCGGCTGCGACGGCCCAGCTGGGGCTGTTTAAATTAGCTTAACTATGAAGGTACTGGACTATCCCTGGTGGTACTCGATTGTCCACGGGTAGGTTCATCATTCTCGAGTGCACTGAATGCACGATGCAGGAGACTAGTCGCCGGGAAGCAGCAGGAGCAGAAGTTCACTAACCTGGCTGTGATTGATCAACCGTCCTGCGCCCGCGGCCTGGGGTTACACAGGCATTTTGTTTTCAGTAATAGCTTCCGCATGGAGAGAGTGGAGGGGAAGTGAATCACCCGGTCGGACACCGTTAGGCTGTTTCGAGTTTATTTAGACGGGGCTGAAGAGGGGGGAACGATGCATTGAATGGGGTAGCATCATACTTCTTTTCTCAACTACTTCATTGTTATGTAGGTGGACACCAAGTTCAATGGAGCGTGCATTCCTCGCCCTCTAGGTAAATTATTATTAGTTGATGCGTCTCGGGAGGGGTGAATTTGGCGTGTGGTGTTTGTGGGAAGTGGAAACAAGGCTGATGGCAGCAAGTCAGATCAGTCGTTTCCATACCGGAATGTAACAAGATCGAGTCGTCGTAATTTTGAGTTTGCCAGGGCCAACAAGACCAAAAAAAAATGAGTGGCAAAGAGGGAAATGACAGCCTGACCACCATTCCAAATTGAATTGAATTGAAGCAGCTAAGCCCCTCCCCCCCCTCCCCACCCAAAAAAAGGGGAATTATTTAAATTATACTACCGGCATCATTCTTTCTGTTCCAATCAATGCCTCGGAAAATCCACTGGCAGTTATCATGACGACCCATCATCGACATATGGATGGTTAAGGTATGAACCGACGATCCATTGATACAAAATCACAGGTCCATGCACACTAAGTGGAGGCGGGCATGTAGGCTGTCAGGGCACGTTGCTGCTGTGGATTATCAACGAGGGGATCTTTTTATTCAAGTTCTTTTTTCCTCTCTTTTTCTTTCCCCCCATTCTTTTTGTAGATGCTTCTGTCCCTTTCCTGAGGTGACAACTATCATGGCCATGCAAGCATGCTACGCATTGCTCTTGTGACTGATTACTGAAGGGGGGTGGGGGAATACTTAGGTAGCCTCGGGATTGCTCGTGTGAGCTGACTGTGTGGTACCTGAGTTCGGGCTCTGCGCGATCCAACCTAGAACACAACGTTGAGACTCTAAACTTCCACTATTTCCTGTTATGAAGAAAGACTACTACTATAAGACGTGAAGGCATTTTCACACTAAAACGCTAGCTAATTACAGAGTACTACGGTACTGTGCCAATTCCTCCCGGCGCCAATCTTCATTATTCCAGACCATCCATCCACTTCATCTTCTCAAACCAAAAAAGGACTCGGGTATCGGGGCTCCAGATGCCAATACGAAATTTTTATTTTTTTTAAAAATCCTCTCTTAATCCACGTACTATATATAGAGAATTACCTACAGTATAGGCCTTATATACAATTTGTTAAAGGCGAGAGAATGAAAGAGAGCAGATAAGTCTCTACCTGACCGTCTGCACAGCAATATGGGCACACCCTTTAGACATAACTACACACACCATTGTAAAATAAGTAGCAAAAAACAAATTATCACACAAATATCAAAACAAAAAAGCCCGTCCTGAGATTTAAAAAAAAAGAAAAATAAAAAAAAATAGAACGAGTAGATTTCAGTTGTTCCCTAGCTGCATACTCTCCGACAGAGCTCATACTATAATTAAGTGTGCATCCATAATCGCTGTGCAATTAATACCATGCTTGGGAGCATTCTTGGTGGAGTTGTCTATCAGGAGTACATTATCCATTTTGTATATGTAAGTACATATGTACTTTCTGCAAATAATTATTGAGTGCTAATAAAGATGAAGTATGGAGCAGTGCGGAGTACCTCACTTCCCTAGACAAATCCTCTTTCTCTTTTCATTTGGGACTATTATCCCATCCGCGGAGGGTACTATGTAAGTAACCTTTGGAGACAAGTAAGGAAAGCAAACCAGACTAACGCTGGTTTTCCTTATTGGCATAACTTGTTGTCAGCTCACTGGCGGCTTACTCCGATTCCTTTCTTTGTCTTTGTCTATGGATTAATTTCGTGTCATTTTTCTTTTTCTATTTTATTTTTTAAATAATTTTATTTTTAAATTTAATTATTTTCTTTCTCTTTTCTCTCTCTCGACTTTTTATTTTTTATTTTTATTTTTATTTTATTTTCTTTATTAATTATTTGTTCATCCTATTTATTATTATTTTAGGCCCTCTCAATTCCTCAAACTCAATGATGCACCTTTCTCTTTTTCACTGCCAGTCGTGCTACTTTGGCAATATCCTATTCTCTCCTATTCTACTTCGACCAAGGCGTCTATCAAGTTGAAAGTGTAGAAGAAGTGGGGAGGAGGGATACATCTGCAGTCAACTTGGATAATATAGCTGTCATCTTCCGCATCGAGGCTGTTATTATTACTGGTTTTTGAAGAAGGTCACTGTACTAGGTAGGTTCGTTTGTTTCAATCAGCCTGGGTCCCTTTATCTCCCCCCCGGTCTCTTTTTTCCCACCCACCATCGCTGCACGCTGCAAATCATCCTTTCCAAACATCTAATCGGCGCCGTCAAAGCTCTGGGCTTGATCTTGTCGAGTAGTATACATGCTACGACTCTACTGCTGTCACATTCGCGTCGTTTCTCCTGCGTCCTGCATCCATCCTGGTCAATATTACACCACCTTCCCGCTAGTTACAAGCTCATTCTGATATCCCCACCACTCAGTGAATCCCTCTGACACTGTCCTGCCCTCCTCCATTGTTTTCTTGCTTTTTCTGTTTCTCGTTTTTTGATTTTCTCTTCTCGCATTTCCTCAACCCCTCCATTCCCCATCCGGGATAGTTCCCTTTTCGTTGGATGTCTGTCTGCCTGAAGGATGGGTCTCCGGTGCAGCTAAATAACGACCCTGGACCCTCCACATTACACTGGCACTCGCATTGCACCGTTAACAAGGCCCATTTTCATGAAACTATCCCCCCCCCAGCCGTGGCCACAGACCAACGAACCGCGGCCATTGTTGTTCAGCCTCCCTCCAGCTTTGGCCCTTTTTACTTCGTGACTTGGATATCTATCCATCCCTATAAGCTGCTGTGCCTCGTTCCATACCACGCCCCTACATATCCTATCTTCCTCATACATCGGATTTGCCTTAATTGATGTCCCTACAGCTCATGGGCTAGGCCTCTGAAGGAGGGATACAATTGTTTACTCCAAGCCATCCAAGGTCAGTTATGACCGGCATGGTTCAAACTGATCTTGCTCATCCAACTGCGTCAAAATACAAAGACGAGCCTGTTGGCGATCCTGTGAGTTGTTATACATTTTATAGACTGTTGTCTTCCGATGTCTCTCTTTCTCCCTGTTTCCCCGGAATTTTCTTGGGCCTCCAAGGGAGTCCTAGTGTCTTTGACATGGTTCATACCAGGAGATACCTGGAAAGAACCAAACTCCCCTTTTGTCTGGAGCAACTGCAGACAGGCATGCTTGGCTATCATGCCAGGTGTGCTTCTCACCAAACATGGGTGCCTATCCAACGCTACCCGAGGACAAGCTTGTTGCGAAGTTCATTTATATGTCAATCTCTGTGTTGTTAGACTCTGTCAGTTCCTTAGCATCATTGCACTATTTATCCTATCTATCCATTGCTTTCTGACATTCCAACCCATCACTGCCTCCTGGTTCTATACGTGTCATTACTGCAAAATATGAATGAGAAAGACCTCCCATTCAGAAGTAATGGTGAGAGAGGTGACCGCAAGGATATATTTCTTGAGGTCTAATTTCTTGCACATTACACGCAGTAACAGCTGTATTGCTTTTGGGAATGCAATTCTTGTTGCAAATCAGATATAATCTGCGATCACCCTACTTGGCTGCAATTATATCACATTGAACTGTGTTTATATCAGGCGTTGAATGTTTGTATTATGGCTAGGGTTTGGAACATCTTTTCATTTCAATTCCGTCCAAGGGCACTCGAACAAAATATACACAAGCCGCGCCAGAGGAGGCTTTCTTTTTCTCGTTTCTTTTCTTTCTGTGGGGTTAAATGTGTGCCAGCACTAATTGTCCTTCTCAGCTTCGACACTCTACAAATCACACTCCACAACACCCTCATATCCAACTTCCCAGAACAACAAATCTCATTCATCCCCAGAAACAGCCTGGTTCTCCGCATCAGCCAAGCACCACTCTTCCCTCTGGGTCCTACACGTCTCACGCACTAGGAAACGGCATCTTACATCAGCCTCCATACGGCCAACCCTCACAGGAACAGCCCTATTACACATCCCATTCTTCCTACACAACTGCGAGCACACCATCGCAGTACACTTCAAGCGGTATGTACAAATTTGTTTATGCAAATGCCTCTCTTTCTCCAGTAGTCCTGAGATCGGTGTGTCGATCTTCAAGATTGGCAAGTCCTTAAAAGTAGATGTTTTGATTATGGGAAAGACTAGCTAAACTTATACTAGGACCTCCTGAAATGATGGCGGCTACTACGCAAATGCAGAGGCCATACCCTCCAATTTACCATACTCCTCAATCCAGCTCTCCTGCATCAGTAGCCTCTCAAACACACGAACAACATAGCCGAAGTCTATACACACAATCTCCGCAGATGACATCTCAGATTTATGGATACCAGCCTTATCCATCAATAAATCCAGTCCAGCCCTCGCCATACGCAACGCATACATCGCCACCGCAGCATCCCATCACATCGCAGCCGTTGATGTTACCTCATCAAACAAGCACGTCCCAAATGTCACACCAATCGTCTCAACCACCGACTAGTACATTAACCAGTCCAAGTACAGCCACAACACAGCAGCACACACCCCCACAAAGAGCAGTGCTGAACCCACCATTACCCACGACAACAGGTCCACTATCTGCTGGCAGTATTCACCATCAAAGCCCGAATATCGGAGCAAGCTCCAGTGCTGCACCGGGCCCAATACCGGCAACAACTCCCCTTGTTGTGCGGCAAGACAGCAATGGGGTGCAGTGGATTGCCTTTGAATACTCTCGAGATCGTGTGAAAATGGAGTATACCATTCGCTGTGATGTCGAGTCCGTCAATGTGGATAACCTTAGCCAAGAATTCAAAACGGAGAACTGTGTCTACCCTCGAGCTTGCTGCAGCAAGGACCAATACAGAGGTAACCGGTTAGTCTATGAGACGGAATGCAATGCTGTCGGCTGGGCTTTGGCCGAACTCAACCCGGCTTTGAGAGGAAAACGCGGTTTAATCCAACGAGCGGTTGACAGCTGGAGAAATAGCAACCAAGACCCTCGGCTCCGAAGCAGACGTGTGAGGAGAATGGCTAAAATCAACAGACGGCAAGGTATTCCACCACCTTCTCACATGGCCAGTGGGACGCCCGTTGCCCCTGGAGTGCCAGGCCCTAGCCTGGCAGCACCTGCCCCTCGTCCCCCACTGGGGCCATTGCCTATGGGGCCTCCGCAACTGCACCATCACCACGCACAACCTGAGGGAAGCACAGGTAATGAGGAAGTTAGCGGTATGTTCCATCATATATAATGTGTTCATCCCTAACGCCGTTGCTATTCGCCACGGTGGATATTTCTGAAAATAACGTTCTATGTACCTTTTTTTGGCTTATTATTTCTTGCCCGGAGGATAAGCAGGGGTAGATTAGGGCTGTTCTTTTTCCTTTTTTATTTTTCTAGTTTGGTGGATATTATTCCCCATGTACTTTTATCAGGTTTGGGGTGGTCTTTGTCTTTCGTCTTTTTTAGTCCATACCCTATTATGTTTCTCTGTTATGCTACTGTTGATGCCATGCCCTTTTCACACCTTGGATCACGACTCTTCATGTGTACCGGCTCAGTGTAGGCTAATTCTAGACTCTGTATTCATAATAGGCACCGCCGACTTCACGAACGGTACCAATCGCCCACCCGCAGCAGAAGGCCACCATGCCTCAACGGGTCAAACACCGATAGACATTCGCAGTGCACAAGTGTTCCACGGCTACCCAGCATTTCCGCCTCCTGCAGATGCTTCGGGAGGTTCCAGAGGCCCTTCGATACCGCCTCTGATTCGAGACAGCGGAATAGCAACGCTCGGGCGACATCCGACCGTTGCGACATCGTCGAGCAAGTTTGACCAAGTAGATGATGATAATGACGATGAGCATAACCCGACTATTGACGCCCTCTTCGGAACCTTTCCTGAAGGTAAACGGCGCAAATTCATACTCGTGGATGACGCTCAAAAAGGGTGTCGTGTTAGGGTTAAGGTCATGCTAGACCAGGTAAACATGAATGAGATCCCTGACTCGTATCGTATGTCCAACGCAGTCTACCCGCGAACATACTTTCCAGTTCAGATGAAAAACCCCCCAGGTCGTGTCGTCCCGGGAAGGAGATATATCAAGGATGATACCGAAGCTGACGTTGACGACGAGACCGCAACTGTCGGAAGGATTCTGGTTCCAACCCCTCAAATTGACGGTGAGAACGAAGTTGCCGTACCCAAAATATCACGAGGTCGCCGTCAGAAAGAGGTGTTGTTGAACGATCTGGGTTACCGAATGAGCTGGAGCCAAAGTCGGATTTTTGCTGGAAGGATGCTATTCCTGCAGCGATCTCGTGCGTGACGCCCCCTCTCCCTTGCATCATCCCTTGCTTTTGACCCCATGGTACTCTCGATGACATTTTGAGGCTCTCATGCATGCACCAAGGAGAAGTGAAAGAATGCAGCCCTGGCTAACGAGTAACCCTTTTTGGGAGAATAGTTGACGCTTACCGGAACAAGATGCGCAGTACAATGATGGCTGCAGGCCAAGAACAATCGTCCATCCCTCCCCATTTCGAAACACGACCGGGAAAAAGAAGATTTCTAGAGCGGCCACGACGGACAACAACTCCTTCAGGACGGGGAGTCGGGGGGCATCGATTCTCTGCATCACAACGTAGCGCAGAAGAAGTCGAAGCTTAGCCATCATATATCTATACACAATGACGAAGTTTAAGCCCAAGCTTTTCAGCAGATGTGTGGAGCTTCTTCTCCTTTTTTTGTTTGACAAAGTCTGCAAGTATACAGGTCGAACGGATGTAAAGCCTACACTATGCATATGGCCGCTATGTAAATATATAGAAACCAAAAGGCTAATGGTGGGAAAGAACACGATGGATGACATGGCGGTTCGAAGGTTGGTATTATGCTATTTGACTGCTTATGTTGGTCATGATGAAAAGAAGTACGAGGAACGAGTTATGACTGGATTTGATTTGAATGAAAAATTGATGGTTCGATGGCTGGAAGTGAAGTCGTTTAAATAAACTGTGCGAGTATTTATCTGTTTCCTTTTTTTTTTTTTTTTGGGCCATCTCACAATGGTCGGATGCAATATTTATAGATCCCGTCTCTCAAAGTTAATCGACACGCAAGATTAATTCATTTGTTAGGTGTTTTGTCTAAGACATTATCGGGTGTAAAGAAAATCCGTTCAAAATCCAAACAGAAATCCAATAACTACCTATAGGAAGCGCTAATAAATAGTAACCAAGACATCTAGAGTAGATTCTAGACTCCACTCGACTCTAGACGCTGTGAACGAAGCGCGAACAAAGGAGCACAAAAGAATATCTATTGACGGGGTTGCCTCCCCAGACTGACCCCACCAAATCAATCTTGAAAAAGTAAAGCTAAGCTTACGTATGTCCTCCGTATTATATTCGGTTTCCACCGAGATCCCGCATTCGGGTCTGCTGAATTGTCGGAAAAATAGCTTTTCCACGCGCGATGCGATATTTTTGGCAGCTACCAAGCCGGATTGGGGCAGAGTCAGCAATAAGTTACTCGACGGCGCGTATTGTCGTCGTATCTGTTGTATGTCTCTCGTATCGGTCGTCGGGGACAACCCGCCACCATGCGGGAGCAACCATTGTATTGTATTCCCTCTCATTTCGAGGGCATCGTCCGGATGCAGTCAAGCCGGCCTCGTCGGCCGTCTTTGTAGCGTAGCCCCCCCTCTTCGTTCGTTTCTGGCCTTTTATGATTGACCTTAGTAGTCGCAGGAGTAGACTTGATTCTTTCCCTCTCTTCTCTTCTTTTCTTCTTCTCCTTTTTTCTTCTTCCTCTTCTGCCGGAGGATCTATCTACAACTCCTGACAATCATTTGTACATACAGTAGTATCAGAGTATCTCATCTTTTCTTGTCGAAAAATCTTACTCCACTCCCCTTTCTCCCTCGCAGCTCTCGCGGAAAATATCAACTATATACAGTATCCATTGCTAGATGCCAGTATGATTTCTTTCTTACTCTCCAATCAGATGCCTCGGTTCTAAATCCCATCCAGTCTATTCTTAAGTTCTGTGTTGTTCCTGAGTGATATAAACGGTTCCGAGTCTTTTTCCGGGTCGAAATTTTGGGAACCGCGGTTCGACTCCCTCTGAGTACCTTGCGTTTCAGAACCGTCTATCGTTGCCTTCGAGTTAATTAATTTACTTGTCATCATCGGATCTCTCTTCGTCCTCGTTTCATCTCGAAAATTTCTTCATCATAAACCCTTCTCTCGCTTTCAATTCCCACCAGAATTCAGTCCGCGAGAAAGCCACTCGAATATTATAATTATTATTTATTTTTTCTTTCGCAGGCTATTGCTATCAAGGATGTCCGGTGATCACCGGACATTCAGCTTCAATCGAGGGGATGACAATCCACTAGGAGCCCATCAAGAAGATATTTCGCCCATCCGCTCCTCAGGAGAAGCAGGACATCATAACCAGGACGGTGATATCTCCCCTATGTCAGCTCGGGGCCAAAGCCTTGTTCAAGACGGCGACCGAGGCCTTGCATCAGTGCCCGAGCACGGTCAGGGCCTGGCACATACAAACTCAATGCGAACCCGTTCAACTGCTACCCCGGGAATGGACAATCTAGGCCCCTCCGCCGTGGGCGGTGGTATCAGCGGTATCGCCCTTGGCGTGGCCAACACCCATGACCGTCAGAGTGGAGTTGACGCTTTTAGGGATACAGACGGACCGCCGGCGCAAAATATACCAACAGAGCGGGGGTATCATACGACTGGCTCGGACAACCCTTACGTCCCAGCATCCCCAGAAAGGGGCGCTAACGGAAGCTCAGATAATCTGCGATCTCGTGATTCCTACGGCTCCAACGTCGCCTTGGGTGCTGCCGCCGCCTCCGCCGGCCAGTTGACACTCGGTGCCTCAAATCCATCCCAGCGCAGTCTATTCGACAATCCTTACCAAGGCGTCGGTGCTTTGAACGAGGGGCCATATCAACGACAATCCGTCTATAGCCATGATTACCCACTTGTGATAAACCCCGATGAGATCCTGGACGATGGAGATGATGGTTTTATTCCCCCGAATACCGGGTCCGCCGGTCACAAAGCCCAGGCTGTCCCTGCTACCACAGCCGGCGCTGCCGCAGGTGGAGTCCTAGGTGGCCTTGGAGCACTATTCAAAGGGAAAAAGGAGAGCAATCCATCCTACGGGCCGGTTCCGGGGGCAGGGCTGGAGGCTGGAGACAAAAGTCAGTGGGTCAAACCAAAGCCTGACGGAGGTAGTCGAAAACGAGGATGGATAATCGGGCTTCTCTTGGCGTTCATCGTTGTCGGCGCAATTGTGGGAGGTGCTGTTGGTGGGACATTAGGGAGCCGGTCGAATAAGAAAGATGGGGCCTCATCATCATCTTCCGATTCCTCCCCGAAGTCAGCGTCCGGCGATACCAAAGCCAATGGTGACCTCGGTAAGGATTCGGATGAAATCAAAGATTTGATGAATAATCCCAACCTGCACAAAGTATTCCCTGGTGTCGATTATACCCCGTGGGGAGTCCAATATCCGCTCTGCCACAAGTACCCTCCGTCGCAAAACAACGTCACTCGTGACATGGCCGTGATCTCGCAGTTGACCAACACCGTTCGCCTTTATGGCACCGATTGCAACCAGACTGAGATGGTTCTGCATGCCATTGACCGATTGGAGCTAAAGAGCATAAAACTTTGGCTAGGAGTTTGGATAGACACCAACGAGACCACCTCCAAACGACAGGTCGACCAGCTGTACCAGATCCTTGACAATACGAAAGACCATTCTATCTTCAAAGGAGCTATTATCGGCAACGAAGCTCTGTTCCGGGCAGGCGACAACATCGCGAGCGCGCAAAAGACACTGATCAGCTACATGGACGGCGTGAGAGACCACTTCAAGAAAAATAACATCGACCTGCCGATAGCGACATCTGACCTGGGTGACAACTGGAACGCAGAGCTGGTCAAGGCTTCAGACGCAGTAATGTCCAACGTGCACCCGTTTTTCGCGGGCGTTAAAGTTCAGGAAGCTGCTAGCTGGACCTGGAACTTCTGGCAAGAGAAGGATGTAACACTGACCAAGGGCACAAACAAAAAACAAATCATCTCGGAGGTGGGATGGCCCAGTGGAGGAGGAAATGACTGCGGAAAAGGTGCAAGCAATTGCCAGAGCAAAACTCAAGGAGCTGTGGCAGGAGTTGATGAAATGAACCAATTCATGTCTGACTGGGTGTGCCAGGCCCTAGCAAATGGCACTGAATACTTTTGGTAGGTTCCATTCTTCCCATTTCTACCAGCTGTATCGATCTAACGGGAAACTTTAGGTTCGAGGCGTTCGATGAGCCCTGGAAGGTGCAGTTCAACACCAAGGACGAGCAATGGGAAGATAAATGGGGTCTTATGGACCCTGGGCGCAAACTCAAGCCGGGTATCAAGATTCCGGACTGCAACGGCAAAGAGGCATCGTAATTAGTCGACAAAAGTTCTTATTCTCCCCTTTCCACTGCCACGACTCTCCTTTTCCCACCCACCCTTTAATGACGATGCATGGTTGGGGTTTCTTTAAGGTTTTTTATGATTGATTCCCGATGTTACAGGATGTCGATGCTAGGTATTGTGTGTCTTAATACTTTGTCTTTCAGAGGTATGCTTTTGGTGTTTAAATTTATTTTCCTCCTTAGAGTTGTACTCTAAGGAAAGGGCAGTTTGCTTCGGTTGTGAGAAGCAACTATGGCCTCCCTTTCTCCGCACAATTGCGGGTCTTGATTGTCTTGATTGTCATTTTCATGCTGGGCCAGGTTGTTTGACAGCTGTATATATCCTGTTAGCGTTCCATTTTCCATGGATTTACTTCAATTCATGTAGCAGAATATACGATTGTTTCTATCCATGTAGAACTGGGATAGACATCCTATCTTTCTCGTCTTCGTAGGAAGCCCGTCCAGTCGCTGAATGATGAGGCCAATTACATATGAGAGTGCGCAACGCCCCAACTCACGAATTACTCTCTGTCACTCTTATTCCCTGCAAGATCCGCAGGATAATAGAGCCGCATGTTCCAAAACGCATGTTCGTGGTCTTCAAAACGAGGCAATCGCGTCGACCCTTTCGTTTTCACAAACTGCCTCACTGTTTCGGACTCGATATCTTCCAGTGGACCGCCGAAAAGGAAAGCGGGGTTGCTGGCGAGCAGTTGCACAAGATGGGTCTGTTCCGCACCCGGACAGTAGAGGAAGGTCGCAGGAGAGACCTTTTCAAACGCATCGGGGTGCTCAAGAACGTTGATTCCAAGGGATAAAAGGAGAAATTTATCATGGGCATTCAACACAGGATCCTGAGCATAGACGTTGACGTTTGGATGAGTCCGTCCTAGCCCGATGGGGAAATATTTATGTCAATACGATAGTAGACGAAAGCATCCACCGATGGAAGTTGGGAACGAGGACTCACTCATCCAATCCACAATACTCATCAGTCCAGCAAGCTGATACATCGAAACACTCCTACGATCCACCCATCCCCCTCGAAGAAACCCACTCGGACTCCCCATCCCAATACAAACGATACCATCGTCAACGGCCATTCCCCAGGACCGCAGTGTTTCCTCCACCACCTTCCAGGTATCGGAGTCCTCCCATCGCTGTCGACATCGCTGTAGTTGTTGTTGAAGCTCCTCTTGCGTCAATCGAGAAGGAGCTTCCGCGGGGAGAAAGGGGTGAGATTGCGACTCCTGCGGGAGGGTAGTACGAAGAACCTGTCGCGCACTTTTCCCACTCGTGGTAACGTGAGTCCAGCCGCTGTCGTCGGTCACCTGGAGGCGCTTGTGCTGATGATGAGGGGTTCTTTTGCGACTGGTGTGGGGCATCGTCGCGATGACTGCAGATTTGCATTTGGAGTGCGGAGAGAGATGAGGCGGCAAGAATTCCAAGAGGCCTGTTTGGATGGTTTGTTTGGTTTACATTCTCATTCTGAGTCCTCCCAGCTGCTGTCCATCTATTCTACGGAGTATAGAGCACAACCATCCCGCACAACGAGGAAAATCCAGGAATTATCCCTATCACATTCTAGATCAACACTCGGCAATGCTCTCAGTCGATCTCTAAGCGCCGGACCCTGGACGATGGTGGTGAATCCCCTCTCTTAGCGTCCGATCGGGGCGCTTCGCCGACCACCATCTCTGCGAATGAAATGGTCAATCACCCGAGTCAAGGTGATACCTCGTGCAGCTGAAGTCTCTCCTCCACCAATCTTCTCCTCTGCCGTGGTATTCAGCGCCTTCTGTGCCATGTCAACCGCTCGAAACCTGCGGGTGTGGTCACATCGCTCTCCTGCATCCTCACTCGTCCATGGCCATCGGTTCTTCCCCGCTGTGGTCTGTATGTGAACACTAGCGCAGGCGCCTGGGACCATGGCTTGTTCCCCTCAAAAAGTCTTGTTGACCCTCCCGTCGCTGGAAGCTTGTTTCGATGATGATCATTCAACCGGACCGGATGATGTGCTTGTGAGATTCGCTTCGTGGTGAAACTCGAATGACCTCTGGGCTGAGTCTGTAGACGAGAGGACATCAGTAGCACTTACATTTCTCTGTCTGTGGCTTCCTCCCTGCTTTTTTTATTTTGGTTCACGTCTTCAGCTGGTCTGCGTCTTGAACGACCCGACGGTCGATATGAGGTTCTTCCAAGAGTCGATATCGCAATGGGTGGCCCTCGTCACGTTATTGTGTGTAGGCCAGTCTTATGCTCATACGGTCATTGTTTATCCTGGATATCGAGGAAATAATTTGCACACCAACGGCACTGTGGAGGAGGCGAACGGTCTTGGGACAGCGTACATCAACGATTCGTACGCCTTCCCCTATGGAATGCAATGGAACTATCCTTGTATGGTGACCCCGAACCTCCATCATCACCAGTCTCAGTACTAATCGGTTCCTCTGTTGCTACCAGGCGGAGGTATGCCCACATCAACTAACCGAACCAAATGGCCCGTCGGTGGTGGCGCCGTGTCTCTCCAACCTGGCTGGTTCCAGGGTCACTCCAAGGCCTTCATCTACATCAATCTGGGTCTGGGTGAGACGCCGCCCAACATGAGCCACCCGATGGTGCCCCCGTTCCAGATCGTGGGCCCCTCCAACAAAGCATATCCGGGCACGATCTGTCTGCCGCAAGTCCCATTGCCAGCCAACATCAGTGTGAGTCCCGGTGACAAGGCGACGATTCAAGTCATCGAGACCGCCCAGCATGGGGCGTCTCTGTACAATGTATGTTTCTTTCTCTTTTTCTCTTTTTCTTCTTTTCTTTTCTGAGTTGAATCCTGACTCACCGGTTTTAGTGCGTGGACATCGAATTCGCCGAACCGGAAGACGTCGCCGAGGTCACCCGAGACAACTGCTTCAACTCCAGCCATATCAGCTTCCAGAACGTGTTTACGACCGAGTCTCTGAAATCTGGTGCTATATCTAGTGATCAGACGAAACAAGCCCTCCGCAATGTGATTCCATTCCTGATGGTGGCCGTGCTTGGCTGGATGATGGTGTAGATACTCTTCGCTTGTCTCTTCTGCAGTGATTTAGTCTTTTTTTTTCCCCCGGCGTTTGTTCCACTTGCGCATTTCATACCCAATATAGCTACCCTCTTTTATTGTTATTATTATTCTGGAATACGTGCGACTATGAAAGCCAATCCGTCCGGTAGATTGGCACTGGTGGGCTTCTGGCGTCGACCGGGCATTGATTGACATACATAATTGACATCATTGCGATTCTATTCTTCCACCCTGCGACCATGCTCAATAAGCACCTTCATGTCTTCATATCTGCTATATACGGTAGTTAATCCTGCAAACTGCCTGCCAACTCCAGAACAACCCAGACCACTTCGTCCGGACACTCCAGGGGCGCCCAATGACCCACGCCATCAACTAATTTCATGGTCCGAAAATCACTGCAGACGGTGCCATTCGCCATCTTCTCCAACGCCCCTGGTTCCTGATAGATCCCCCAGTCCGATTTTCCGGAGATGAACGAACACGGCACCTCGATCTTCTTCCCCGCGAACATCTCGTAGTCCTTGGTATACTTCCCTCCGGCCGCGGTGCGCACTCGATACCAGTTCAAACCACCCTGGAATCCCGTACGAGCGTACTCAGCCACATAGACCGCTAGATCCTCGTCAGGCAACCAGACATGCGAGGCATGTTCTCCGGCTTCCGACTCCTCCGCCATGAGACGCGCCACAGCCTGGGGCATCGTGTCCTTCAGCGGCATGACATAGTAGTAGGGCAACTGGGCTAGGTTGGACGCCGTCCATCCCCCCAACGGATACGTCTTGTTCCCGGACCACGAACCGCTCTTGAGATGGAAATAACCCCGCAGGAACTTGTGCAGTCCATTCGGAGGATTCGTCATTTCCTGGTTCGCCGGCGCCGTGGAATAATACCATTTGTAGTGTTTCCGGCCCAACGAGGCCAATTCCGCATGGACATCCCCGGCAGCGACCTCCATCCCTCCTCCTCCAGTCGTCGAGGTTGAATCAGAATCATTGGCCGTGTTAAACGGCACCGACGGTGTCCCGTTAAATGGATGACTGAGCAACACCAAACTGTGGAAGAGATCGGGCCGTACCAAGACACACATCGCGGCTGTCACGGCGCCGGCATCGTGTCCGACCAGACACCGAACCGACCGATATCCCAACGCATGCACCAGCACCACCATGTCCCGTACAAACGAAGTCAACGAGAACGTGTTCAGATCCACCTCGTCGAACCCCCTTGTGTCCCAGCCCGTGGTGCGACCGAAACCCCGCTGATCGGGAGCCACCACGTAGTAGCCTGCTTGCGCCAGGGGAGGGATCACCTTGCGCCAGGAATAGGCCAGTTCCGGGAATCCATGAAGGAGGAGGATCAGGGGACGGTCGCGAGCAGGTGAATATCCGGCTTCGAGTATGTGGAAGGAGAGAGACGAGGTGGTGACAATGCGTGTGGAGATGGAGGGGTGCATCTTGAGTATTTACTTAGTATTTTCTATGTTTTGTGAGTAGGTATACCATGGTACGGAATAAATAATTCTAGAGGCAGAGAAAGAGGTATATATATATATGGTATATAAATCCATCAGCCAGATGGATCACCCGATCCTCCGGGAGATACATACATAATCATTAACGTTGCATGAAACAGAGCGATTCTCCGTCATGACGCAAAGGCCCAGACTTTCTCTCCACCCATTTCCTTCTCCTTTTTGATCCTTCTGTCTCATCTTTCTCTCGCCTCTCACTTTTGGTATTTGTCTCGTTGATTGTCTTCATCTCTCCTTCCTTGGTATCCTTGCGAAGACCTTGTTTTCCCTTCTTTTCTTTCCTTCTTTCGTTCTTTTTTCGTTACTTGTTTCCCCCATCCTCTCCGCTGCTATCCATCATCCATCCATTTTTCCTCCTGGCTTCACATCCCTGTCATCCTCCGACTTTTCTTCGTCGCTTTCCGTCTCGGTTAACGTCAATCACTGGATAACCGAACAATTCTCGGTGTCTGTCGCCGGCAGCGACATACCGAGTGATTGACTGCTTATAATCCGTCATGTTCCGTCGACGCCGGAGGGGCTCGTCACATCATCAGCAAGTCCGTCGAGAGCGGCGAATATTTCCCTCCCATCTATTCACCATGCTAATCATTTAAACAGCCGCTGTCTTCCTCCTCTGCCCTATCTGCCCAGTCCGCTGCCAGCCATGCCTTCCTCAAATCTAATCCTTCCTCCTCAAGCCTCTCCGCCGCCGCCGCGGCGACTGCCCTTCGGACGCTGACCCCACCCCCGACGAACGTGGAAAATGTACAGACGAAACGCACCCTCCAGCGCCAGTCTTCCTTCTCCCAGTACAGTCGCTCCAGCAGTCTGCGCCCCGCCAGTCGGAATGACCTTCGTCGAAGCAATAGCTCTAGTTCCATGAGTACGCGGACCTTTCGGGAACAATCGCCTCGACGTCCGGTCTCCAGCTCCGGATCCCTAGATAACATGCCGCCTATCCCTTCGATCCCCAAGGAGTATGCGCCGGCGCGGAGTACTCCAGTTCGGCGCTCAGTCAGCGTCGGGCCTTCCACGCGGTCCTCGCCTCCTGTGAAGTGTCCGTCCGGCCGCGGAGCGAGCATGGATCGAGAAAATATGCGGTGTGGGAGCCCGAGGCTGACCCCGGTGCCGGAGATCCAACGCGCGGGAAGCAGAAATTCCATTAATTTCTCCTATCCGATGAGCTCTCGCCCAACGTCCCCGTCCATACCACCGGACGCCCTCGATATACCAGACACGTCGATAGGTGCATCGCTGGCGGACAAGCTGTCCACCCTAGCCACCTCCCAGCCCCAGAGCTCTCTCTCCCAAACTGCCAACACCTCAGCCCGGCAGAGGACTAGAAATCCTAGCCCCGGCAGTCCTGGGAAGGCTGCCCCACCAGTCACCACCGCCGTCGCTGCGGCACAGGCGGCCATTGTACCCCGGAGCGATGAAGGGGCTTCGCCCCAGACCCCTTCGGCACCGCGAGAACCAGATGTGCAGCTCCCAGCCCCGTTCCAGATTGCGGGACAGCCAGATCCAAGACAGCCCGTGTCTCGTCCAGCCTTTCTGAACCGGCCATCGACCGTCCCGGAAGACCCCAAAGGTGAAGAGCGAGCCGAAGCGGGTGCTCCAGCAAAGAGTAAGGCGGCTCCCCCGTCGGGCAGTGTAAAGCCAGAGAACCCATCGAGAGTCAAACCATCACCAACGCCCGAATCGGCGAGGGAACCGCATGCGCATCTAAGCTCCGTCGTTAGCTCCTCGGAATCAATGGGTTCTACAGAGCCAGGGCACGGGGTACCGCCGTCGCTCATGCGGAAGCCAAGCAGCAGTCCCGGGAGCTCGGCTCGCTTTTCTACACAATTGTCCGTTTCCGGTTTCCCGGGACGGTCATTGCACAAGCCGCCGCCTCGATCAGTGTCCCCAGCCAAATCAGCGATGAAGAGTCCGAGGAGCTCCCTGTCGCCCGACGGCAGAACTGCAGGTGTGTTGCGACCTGGCCCTCCGCTCAGCGAGATCTCGGACGGGACCTCCTACGGATCTGACGATGGTTCCAAACCGGGATTCCGAAAGAGGCACCCCAAGGTCAGTTTCGATGACGAGGCGGAGATCGTTGGAGTAGCGGCGAGCCCCCCGACATCCCCCGAAGACGCTGTCCCTGACGCACCACTCCCCGGCTGCTCCAAGGCCAAATCGAAGTCTGGTTGGTTTGGCCTCGGCAAGAGGAGGGCTCATGCATGGGATATTGTAGGGTCGGACGAGTTTGATGCAGTACTCAAGCCCCGGCCTACACTTCCCTCGTTCGGTAGTATACGAGGAGCTCGAGAAGGCGAGCAGGGGGAGCCAAGCTGGCATGAACCAAGTGATAATGAATCTACGACCTCATCGGAGCCCAATCTGGGGGCTCCAACATGGTCTGCCTCGAATGATCATGTCCTTGGAGCAATCATATCCAATGCGGAACCAAAGGATACAACCGCGGGGCACACGAACGATGACAGTGAAGCGGCGTCTCTTCCCACGAGTACCTCTGTGAGGGACACACCTTCAAATCACTCAACCACGGATCCATCCAATGGCAGAACCATCGATCCGGCTCGCCCCCAAGGAACATCGGATGCTCATGGAAAAGCGACGGATGGGCCAGCCGCCGATCCGACCTCCCCTGTCCCCGGAATCGCGGTTCAACCGGCGACGCCAGAATTTGAGAACAAAAGGTCAAATCTCGAGTGGTATACTGTGCCAGGGGGATTTCCACGATCATCGGTGGAGTCCAAGGGTTCCACCAGTCGCAGGAGCAAGAAAACTTCCAGCCAGACAGCTGGCAATTCTACTGCAGTTACACCCGAGAGTGATGGTGGCGATGACGAATCCGGTGGAAGTATCTACAGTGATGCCGAGGAGGATCTAGAAGGGGATGGATTCGGGTCCATCAACGCGATCGTGGATGGCAAAACCGAAGACAAACAGATAGCATCAAGCAGCCACAATGGCGGTGCTGATCGATCATCTAACAACACGCCGGATATTCCTAAAACCTGCCAGATTGCTCGTGTGGAGATCCCTGTACAACCAATGTGTTCGCCGCCACCTCCACGGTCTCCTGCTTCTCCCAGAGAACCTCTACCGTTGTCTTCGCGCTCTCCTGTTTCCACGCCGCCTAGCGATATTACAACCGCTAGCAAGATAGACGGAGTCCCCCACTCGTCTGCTACGAATCGAACAAGACGGTCTATGTCAGGTGATGGCTACAAACCCCCTGTTACTCGTGATGGAGTGGAACGAGTTGGGAAGGGCATTCTGTTCCCCCGTACTGAGGACGGCGCACCTCAACCGCGGGTTAGGGCTGGACAGGAACAGGCCAAGAAGCGGCCAGTCTCGTGGGGTGGTGCCCTTTTGGAGGAACAGGCCGTATCCGGTAAAGAGCAACAGGCCCATGGAACACTTCCTTCTCAACCTCAGAGACGACTGTCCAATGGCAGTGACTCATCGAGCAGTTTCGTACGGACCTATCGACCAACCCGCGCAAGCCCACAACACACCCTGCGACGGACCATGCGAGGAGGAAGCCCTCCTCCTAGCGGACGAGCTGCCTCCCCGGTTCAACAGAAATTCCCGCCCGCCGAAGTGCGACCTCGTTCGGCGGGTTCAAGTACCGGAGCTCTTCGCCCGACTTTGCGGGCCAGTGAACCCCGACGTGAGAAGCCGTCATTCTTTTCCACGGGCAAAATGCAACGATCCACCGCACAGACGTGGAAAAGCCGCTTCGAGGATTCTAGCGACGAAGATGAGCAGGGAATAGGCAATCTTCGCCCGGTTCGCGGCATCCCGCGACGTGCGGGCAAATATGATGGGGATTCGACCGAATTGGAAGACAGCTCCGACAACGAACGGCATCTACCCGCGGCCCGTACGGTGGTCCGTCAACCAGACCAACCTGGCTCACCCAGAAACAGTCCTGCGCTGGGCACAGTGGCCAACTCTCGTGGGATGACCGAGAGGGAGGCGGAGGAGTTTCTCCGGCGGGCCCATGGTGAGCGAAAACCGAGCCTGTTCCACCGCATCGGCATCCGACGACCCAAGCCACCGACCAATCGCCCAGGGCCAGCCAAGCTAGGAAAGCCAGATCCCAAGCCCAAGCGAGTACACGAGGAGCAGCCTCTTCCCTTGGATCCAAATCAGGGGAGCTTCGTAACGACCATCACTGCGAACAATTCAGTTTCTCCTGCAACTCCTCGGGTTCTCAAGAGAGGAACTCATAAATCCTCTGGCAGTGAGACCTGGCCACTCCGTACCAATCCCCAGGAGCCGGGCAATGGCAGCAATAATATGTCCGGTCGACCTCAGACTGCAGATGCAGCCGCTCAAAATGGCAACGCGGACGTGGTCGACAAGGCAGCACCTGTCTTCAAGGAGAACGAGATCCCAGTGGTCAAGAGTGACCGCCTAATTGTCTCGGACGTTGGGTTCACACCCGGTCGAAAAAAGCGGTTCCCTAAAATTCGCAAAGCGTTTGGCCTCTCGAGTTAGACGTGGCTCCTCTTCGATGCTTCAGCTTTTACCTTCTTTGAGATATTCGATGTATTTGTTTGTAATCTTCGACCACCTCATTCTTTTCTATTTTTTGAAATATTAACCACATATTTATAATTCAGCTGCTGTCCACGATAGCTGACCGCTGTGGGCGGCACAGGCATCGGAAAAGCTTACGAGATACGCATGGATTCCTAATTTTTTGTGTTTTTCTTTTTCTTTTTCTTTTTCTTTGATGATACGACAGGCGCATGGTCATCATATTTGGACTTAAAAGTGGAAATTTGATACCCTTATTTTGGTTTCGGATCGGGCCCTACAACTTCTGCGATAGATGGAAGATGGACCATGGATTAATTCGACTGCGACATGACTATCTTGTCCTGGTTTTGGTTTAGCCATCTAATATTCTTGTATTGTCTTGGAATCTTCCTTTCTCATAGTGAACCATATCTTGAAGAATGCTAGGAAATCAATGGAGTTTTCTCTACTGATTAATTAATTCTCTTCTCATCTTTTTGGGTATGCGCGGGATTCATTCACGGCACTGAACGGATGGACCTTTGTTTACGGTGCAACAACCTCGGATGGAGAACTCTCCACTTCGATCGCTGGGACGACTCTCCACACGGCAATGGAGCTACCTGGCAGCCAGCCACCCAACCAACGACAAGGCGACAGACGTGGAGCTCCGCGACCAAACAGAAATTGTGGCAAACCCGGCACGTTGGGGAAGTCACACTCACAGTGGCTGGTAGAGCCCAGTGCAGAGCAATCACCATCGTGCCTGGGAATTGGGAAGTGCGGCGGTGGAGCCGGGAGGGGGCCAAAGATCTCCAAATCCAATAACGAGGAACCACGATGGCCAGTTGGAAAGGGCGTCGCCGAACACCAGTATCATCAGATGAAAAGTATTTCCGGTGGGAGTTCGTACAATTTCCCAGATATCTTGAGACAGCGAGCGAGAGACAGAGGGAGTGACAATCCAATGTGGACATTCCACGATGGTGGATGGGAAGTGATACCCATCCTATCATCCATCAGGCAACCATGGAGTCTTGGGCTGTCGATCGTCTGGAGCTCAGCGCCAAGGGATCCAGATTGCCGATTCGACCCGGGGAAATTAGAGGTTGCCATGGCGATGGGGAGGCTGCTGGCCAACCTCGTCAGGTCTCGGGATCTGGGAGGGCCCCGTCAGAGGGATCATGGGCAAATCACGAATCTGCATGTGAAGAAGCCTCATCTGCAGGTCTTCAAGCGAGAGATGGAGCCATTGAATGCAGTGAGCGAATAGATGGGGATATTGCATGGTGTATATCTATCCACGAGGACATCTGCATGGACGGGGGATGATGGAATTGAAGCTAAACTAGATGCTTCGTAGGGAGAATGAGAAGGGAAGAATGGTGTACCTCGGGACAGACGAGTGTCTACCTTGACATTAGTACTCTGTTAACACCAGGGTTATTGATGATGGAGCGTGCTTTGCGAGTCCCAGTAATCGAGAGGAGGCTGGTCTCGCCCCAACAGGCAAGGCGTGGTAAACAAAACCACGCGTGTCGACCAAAACAACCGTATTATTACGACGACTGCGTTTGTTTTTATTAATTGCAGATGCTTTTCTCCTCTTCCTGTTTCTTGCTCTCTCCCCTCTCTTCCTCTCCTTTCTTCTCTTTCCTTTCATCATCAACTCCATTCATCTCTCACATTCCAATCCACTAAGCTTATCAATTCCCCCCTCCCCCTCATTCTTATATCTCACATTCCCCCCATCGAAATAGATCCGATCAGATCTATCATTCTTCCCCCTCCACCCCCACTCTCTTCCACGAGAAAGACTTCCTCTCAGTAAAAAGTCTTTTCTTGTCTAGTCTTTCGAGTTGTTGTTCAACAGTTCGAAAGGCATTCGAGAAAAGACGCTCAAAGGACAGCCAATCTGGACTTTGACGCCCGCGTCCCCATCCCCTTCAGTGTCTTCCCGTCGTCGTACCGGAGTGACGCTGTTCCTGAGACTACTCTTGTGACTGAAAGAGTAGAGGGAGAAGTCAATCTCGATCGCACTTCGCGCGTCGAACGGGAAGATACTCGAACCTCTGCTCCTCTTCCGGATCCCCGTTCTTACGGCAAGGAAGAAGTCGATTTCCGCTTTCAGAGCGACTCGCGTGCCACCCGTCGTGGTCCTGACGAGTACACGGTAGTTCAAGAAGCCCGTGGCCAATCTTCTCGGTATCCCGAGGTTGATCTCACTCGTGAACGGTGCGTGGTACTTTTGTGTACTTCTTTTTTTTTTTCTATTGTTTTTGTTGTTTTTTTCTATTTGTTTTGTTTGGAAAACGGATACCACCAAGTGGAGCGCACAAGAAGCGGTGTCACCATCCTGCATCCACCATCCACCAGTGGCTTCAGCTCCTCCGGGGCTAAGAGGGACCTAGTCACCAAGCTAATTAATTACGTGGCACCAAAACAAATCAATCCAAAACATTCCTTCCCAACCTCTTCCGTCCCCGTTCCCTCCAGTTATATCTCGCCAATCATCTGTCCCTAACCCACTTCCCTTCTTGTTTGTTTTGTTTATCTATCCAACTAACCCTCATTATCCCCCCTAGCTACCGCGAACCTTCGGTCCGCTTCCAAGACCAGAACCAACAAATCCACGACAAGGCTCTTGAGTCCCAGCTTGACATCACTGAGCGTGAATATCGTCGTCGTACCAGCCCAACCTACGACGTCAACTACTCTTACGACCGTCGCTCCCAAGGACGACCGGTAGAGTCCTACGAAGGCCAACGCCACCAGACTACCGACGTCTACGACCGGTCTTCCCGCTCCGAGGTTGATATCTCGTACGACCGCGCTGTCCAATCCCAAGACAAGGCCACCACCTACGACAGCTCTTCTCGCCGCCCCCAGGCCTACGTCTCCTACGACCACGCCTACCAGTCTCAGCCCGTCGACGCTTACCGCGAAGACTCCTACAGCCGTCGTAACATCAACGTAGAGTCCGTTGCTCCGGCCCCGGCTCCCTCTACCAACGTCAAGGTTCTCAAGTCCGAGACTGTGATTGATCACCCACGTGCTCGCAAGATGGGTTACTACGACGACGACGGTAACTACCACTCCTTCCGTCGCGGTGTGGAACGCGCTGCCGACCGCATCCTGCACCCTCTCCACCATAACCATCATCATCATGATCGTCACGACCGTGAGGAAGTTGTCGTCGCTGCTGACGATCGCGGACCAGTTCGTTTCCGGGACGGCGTTCGCGAGGATGTCCGCATCGTCGAGCCCCGTGGCGGCTCCTCGAACGACTCCGTGCCCATCCCCTGTCATTTCATCCGCATTGGCGACATCTTGATCCTCCAGGGCCGCCCTTGCCAGGTGATCCGTATCTCCGTCTCCCCGCAGACCGGCCAGCACCGTTACCTGGGCGTCGACCTCTTCACCCGTCAGCTGCAGGAGGAGTCCAGCTTCATCTCCAACCCCTCGCCCTCTGTCGTGGTGCAGACCATGCTCGGTCCCGTCTACAAGACCTACCGCATCCTCGATCTCCGTGATGACGGCCACGTCGTCGCCATGACCGAGACCGGCGATGTCAAGCAGGGCCTGCCGGTGGTGCCCCAGGGCCACCTCTTCCGCCGCATCCGGGATGCCTTCGAGGATGGTCGTGGTAGTGTCCGCGCGCTGGTGATCAACGACGGTGGTCGTGAGTTGGTTGTGGACTACAAGGTGATCCACGCTTCCCGCCTGTAGATCTTTACCAGGTTCGGATTAGCTCCGGGAAATCGGTTAGTGTACCGTGCGACCCAAACATAGAAAGTAAATGGTTCAGGGGAACTGACGTCACGGACAGTGCTTTCAATGAAATCTTGACGACCTGAAGAGTTGTGTGACTCTGGATATGGATGATGGGAATGGCCTTGGAAAATGTTCAATTTGCTTCTATGTATCATGGCCTCCTTGTAACTGGCAATAGTAATGTTCTTGGAATTGATTATGTTTGTGCTATCTTTTCATTTTCTTTCTGTTTCTTAATCGTATCATTTAGTACTCGGTAGAATGAAACCTGATCACTAGAGATTCCAAGGAACTCATACTCCCAACAGTATACAGTGTAAACGTATCTAAGTGAGATTCCAACGAGGAATATAAATGAAACCTGGCACGTATTTAATTCTCTTCCAATTTTTGATATTCATCAGTCATCTATGTAGGGCAGGAACATACACAAACATAGATGCTTCTCTATTCTACTCCACAGAGTATCTTTAAATGAGATTTGATGAGTGTTGGTTTACATTGTAGATAGGCTAGCCTAAAGATCTGATGTCCATCATCGAGTTCCATTTAATTACACCATGATATAAGAGTAGACAGATAGATATCAATTAGCAACTGTTTACAGATAGATCATGTGAAGACAGACAGACACAATTGGAGAGAATGTAGCCACCGACGCCAATGTCCAAGGAACAAACATAAATGAGAAAAACAAGATAAAAACAAAGGTCACTAATATAGAACAAACGAAACCAATAATAGAAATTGTTAATCCTATAGCCATGCAAAGTCTTCAGTATACCACATACCGGATAGAAGTCAAAAATTAAAAAAAAAAAAAAAGGGCCATATCCAAACAAAAGGAAAGATAACGCCGGCATGCCGGATGGATGACCTTGGGTCATCTAGGAATAAGACACTGGTGCCATAAATCGCATGTAAACGCCACAACCGATCCAGTTCAAGATGCTGTTCCAGTAGCCATATTATACATATCCACATGTTGAGAGAGAAGAGACAAACAGGGTATCGTACGCATCAAACGCCCCGTGCATGAGTAGGGGTTTGTCCAGAAGGAAGAAATCTCAGAAACGAGGAGGAATGGTCTCAAGAGTCGCGGTAACAAAGTCATCACCTCTCTCCAAACTTGCCATACTCTTGCTGCCACTTTAGTAAATGTCGTGTGAGAACATCCATCATCTCCACACTGCTTAGATCCTTGAAGTCTTTCTCCACCGATGATGGTTCGACTTCAGCGCCACCATCAACGGTGCCCGGACCAGACTCTCCCTCGCTGGTTGTTGACAGCAGCACGTTATCGAGCTGCTCGCCCACGGTTTTCATTATAATACCATTGGGTCGGTCGCCATTTCCAGGGGGAGTGATGCTCTCCCCAGCGACTGCCATTTCGACCTGCATTCGTGATATAAATTCCAGGATTGCAGCAACACGTCTTTTCATCTCATTCAACGTTGTCCGTTGATTCACGTACCGCGGACGACTGGGCTTCGCGGTATCTCCGCCGTTCATATGCATTCCATTGGTGCTGCCACCCACTTTCGGCGAGTCTCCCCCCGTATCATGCGACTGGCCGCGCCGCGGAGAATTCGTCATGGTGCTCGAGTCTCCGCCATTAGTATGAGCATCGCGGTCTCGGGTATATTGGTTGCGCCCCACTCGAGTGCGTCGTGCAGGAGGCCTGCCGGATTTGCGGGTGGATAGACGAGAGGATGCAGGGTCTTGAGCCAGGGCAGGCGGGTCTGGGGTGGGTTGTGATGGCTCGGGTTCGTTCGCATTCGTCACCGGTTTGGTTTGGGAACCCGTGTCGCGGTCAGAATCTGTTCCTTTCGCCCACGTTAGTTTTCAAGTGCAAGGAACGCATTCCGAGAATATAGCGTACCGTCACTCTTCCGCTTATCAGCCTTGCCTTTCCGGCGAGGGGCCGTCTCAGGATTCTCCACCTCTGGCTCTTCAGCATCATTTGTCTCTTTGTCACGTTGACTTCGGGATGCAGCCCACTGTCTTCTGACCCCATTGGTGGCTGCTTTTGCTTTCGACTCGTCTTCCGATGCGGGCGCAGACCCCGCATTACTTTGTTTCGAAGCAGCCCCTGGGGAAGGGGAGCTCGTACGCTGTCGTTTTGTTACCTGTTTATGACTGAATTGGCGCCGTTAGCAACAAATTCAGCTAACACTCAGCCTCCTACGGGATGTGCGATTCCTAGAAGACAAGGATGAGAGCTACTTACACTTCGCTGTCACTGCGACCCCTTTTACCCCTTCGAGCTGCGGTATCTTCCGCAGCAGGACTTGTATCTTCTTTGCTTTCCTCGATTGCACGGCGCAGTTGCTCTTCCTCATCGTAGGCTGCGTCGCGACTATTCATGGTCGACCGGCGTTTAGGATTGGCACCCGAATCGTTTGCCCGAGACTTTGGGTCCTTCACACGCTTAGAATTGTCCCGAGAGGATTCGCGAGAGGTGACCGCCGTAGAAGGGGGGGCGACGGGGAGGTACTGGGATGAGTGTTGTCTGCATTATAGTTAGCGAGCAGGTCCCAGTGACCGTGAAGGATCCAACAGTGTCGAGAGGGGGAAAATAGTAGATTATAAGGGATTGGTAGTGGAGGATGAAGAAAGGGAAAAAAAAAAAAAAAAAAAAAAAGGAAAAAGTTTTTTTTTTTGCCCTGGACCCCAGGCCGAAACATGAATTTTTTTTTTTTTTTTTTTCGCGAGACGAAAACCTTGATCTCTACGGTAAGACCAGTAGATAAAAGAAAATTAAAACTTACCCATTTGATTCATTTTTGATTCGGTGGAGGTCTTTCCGGCACTCCTCGCAAAAATATTCATCGGGACTCATGGCTTCATCCATGATCCCCACGCAACCACCATGCTGCCAAACTTTGCAGGAATCACATTGGATGAACATGCTGCCAATATCATCTGACATCAGATCTGAAGAGTCGGCAGAGAAGTTCAGGGCAGATTCATCTTTGATTCTGCCATGAACCCCACCGCGACCGAAAATCTCTCGACGAGAAGGAGGCAGACCGGGATATTCCTGCTGGCCGCAAAGGCATCTGGTGATCTCCTCCTCTTCGTCTTCGTCTTCCCCATCCTCGTCTTCTCCATTCAAGATATTGTCTTCGTCTCCCCTGGGGCGCTGGCGCTGGCGCGTTTGTAGGAAGTCATTTTTGGAGGCATCGTCCGCGTCCTCGCCGGACTGGGACTGATGAGGGGAAGAAATCTTTTTTGGTTTGATCTGGTACTTCTTTCGCGGGTCAATGAGGCGGAAGAACTGGAAGAGTTTATATGTTGTAGAAGGGTAGGAGCAGGTTGCGAAGTGCGAGCCCGAGAGGAGCGACGAGGCGTCATGATGAGAACAGAGGAGATCGATGTGGTAAGGAGAGAAATCTGACAGTATCAAAATAATAATAGTAATAATAATAAATAATCCAGACGGCACGACCCGCGAGGAAACACACACAACGCAATCAAGCCAAAGCTGCCCGGTGAGGACGAGCTATCGCACTTGGTGGAGAGCTGAGATTCGTCGAACAAAAAGCGACAGTAGGGGAAAAGAGAAAAGAAAGGAAACAACTAGGGGGACAATTGAGACCAAAGACCGTGAAGATCCAAAAACAGCGTCTGGAAGCTCACGAGCCAGGCGAGGACTACATAGTCTGAGTCTGAAGAGGAGGGAACGAGAGGTGGATGGAGAGAGAGAGCAAAGAGAGAGGAGAAATGAGAGACGAGGAGAAGGAGGGAAGGCCGGAACGGGACGCGGTTGGCGGTCAACGCTCTCTTCCCCGCTCTGCTCCAACGCGATGCACCAGTTCAGTTAGAGAGAGAGATATGTATCCATGATATAGGTCGATCTGTCTATCGGTTGATGAAAGTATTCGCATACTGCCGCCCGGAATTGGAACTGATCACGGTCGTGGATGACGATCGATCGATTGAATGAATCCCTCTCGTCCATTCGAATTCTAGCGAGACCCCGCTTCCCACTTGCGCCGACTCCTTCGTCCCTGTACATTCCTCACTCTACCTTACTTTCCTCGGACACAGGGCGAGCTGGTTCCGGTATCAAACTGATGAGTCCGATAAGATCCTCCGATAGATCTGAAGGGTCTAGGATGAGAATACCGCGAAGAATCCCGATGGCTCTGGGCGATGACACTGGGCCAATGATGGGCCTACGTGAGGGCCACTTAATTTATCTCTATAGGGCTCCGATGGAATACACTAGATTAATTTACTTTAGCAGTGAGGCATTCAAACCGCTTTCTATGGAGTATATCTGTATAAGTATATAATAGGATGGTGGATAAGCTTCGTGTCTCTCTCTATCTTTAAGTAATGATGGTACTGGGATCCGTCTATTCACCATCCATGTGGATGTCAATTCATTCTTTTCTTTCCTTTTTGTTCGTATCCTCTCCTCTCAGGCAACTAGTCTAAGCCATCAAGGCATCCCTAGGTGTCATGTCACCCTTTCATCCTGGTTCTTTATAGAATTCGAGGGTAACACTGGGAACAGCTGACAAAAGAACGGCTGGACGGTCGATCGACGCAAGGTGCGCTGCTGAGTCCAGCTACTGTCGGCAGGGGAGCTAGTTAACTACCTTAGTTCGCGATCGGAGGAACTCAGGTGGTACAGGACGACATCTCCAGCGCTGCGAAGGTCGAATCGTATCGAATTCCGATCGCGATGAAGCAGCAGTTCCGAATCTGGCATGGCGTGCTGCCTGAGGTGTCCCGGGGAGAACGGGATTACTAAGCCCCGGGCAAAGTGCCATTCATTCTTCCCCTCCGCCTATTTCCTCCCCTAACTATAGTGAACGACCTTCCCCTCCCCTCGGTCCGCTCTGGTGGTGTTTGTGATTTCTCCCGTTGCGTTCGCCTGTTCTTGGTGTTGTTGGGTTCGGCCCTTGGTGGGTTGTGGTTTCTGTTCCCTCGTGGTGCCTGGTTTCCATCCCCCTGTCCGTGATTTGTTGGGACCATCGGTCGGATCTCATATTCTTGGTTCTCAGGGCCTTCTTACCGAAATATCAAAAAAGTCCTTCAGTGGTTGGATGACGATCAACGGCTAATTCTTTGGGCACCTGGTAGGTCTCCTTGTGCTTCCCCTATCTATGGCGGGGGAACCTCTCTTGCATCGATGCCAGACTAGCGGAATCCGTGACCAAAATTAGGCACCGAATGTGCGTCTGGCTCCGAATTGCCAGCGTTGCTCTTTGTACCTGTCAACTGACTGTGGATAGAGTGGCCTTGGAACTTCGTATTCGTTCATTCATTCTCCCCCGATCTCTCTCTCTCTGTGTCCTCCATATCATTCCTGGCAAAGGGAGCAACCTAGGAAGGTATCGGAGGTCATATTCTTTAGATAATATCCCGGAGGAATTGGGAGGTCTGGAATATCAAGGAAGAAGGAATCAAACAAGAAAGGGTTTTTTTTTATATTTTTTTTTTTTTTTTAAAAAAAAAAAAGGAAGAAGGGAAGGAGAGAGGACCACCTTTTTTTCTATGGTTGTGGAGGTCAAGATAGCCGAGATTCTTGCATAATGACTGCTACGTTGAGTACGTCCTTCTCACCAAGGATACCTGGTCCTCCCGGAAGGCATCATCTAGCCTGAGTGCGTCCAATCGAGGAGGTTATCTCAGAGCCGGATAGCAAACTCCCGCGAGAGTGTGTGACAGAGAATCTGCTGGTTGCTCAGGTGCTGATATTGCTCCCCCCCCCCCGCAGATGGGATGTATAATACGACCCCAGATACTCCGTCCCCTATCTATCCGGATAGGCTGATCCGCCCCCTTCCCAAACGAACCCTGCGCTCTCGTCTGTCCTCCGATGCGGCCGATTCAATCCTATTCCCTCCGACGCCCTCGGCGACTCACCTGTTCTATGGTGCGGATACGGGGGAGGTGGTGAACGACTCCAAAATATATGTGCAGGAGAGCGATAGCCATGATCCCGAGCGTGATCGCCGTCACCCTTATGCGAATGGCGCTCGTCTCGAGAGCGACGAGGACGACGGTCCCGTCGTGGTTCGTCGTAGTGCCGGTTTCCGCGGGTCGTCCCTGTCGCCCTCTACGCAACCCCAACTGCTCCCTAGCAACGGGGAGGCACCACCCACCAAATCATCTTCGGCAGGACCCGACGGGTACGATGCCTTCGAGAACACTAACAATAAGAAGAAACGCAAGATTCCCACGCCGGGAAGCTTGGGGGGTCATCACTCCACATTATCGCCCGAATTCTCCAGCATGGGTTTGGCAAACTCCTCCCAACCTTTGTCGAGTGCGTCGGGGGAAGGAAGCCATGTAAGTACCTTCTATGGGACCGGAAGTCCGGCATCTCCGGTCGCCAGTGGGAACTCGAGTTCTGGAAGAGGTCGCCTGGCGCGCTATCCACTACCTCGCATGGGCCCGGGGAGAGCCCCGCCGCCACTGCATTCCCCGGGCAGTTGGCCTCATGGTCGAGCCCCAGTTCGTCGCGACGGTCTTCTGTCCTCTCCAGGACCTGCAGGTACGATGACATTTTTCACTTCCTCCCCTGGTTTCTTGGTGGATCCCGCTCACTCATATTTAAGGCGATTCGGCTGCCCACTCCGACCAGGGGATTATCTCCGCGGCCATAGCCAGTGCTGCCGCAAATGCATTCTCCTCGTCTCCTCGAGGCTCGGGAAGTGTCAGTATGCTCGAGCAGCAAGCCACCACTCCCACCAAGACCCAATTCACCTTCACCTGCGAGTCCGACTCATCCAGAGGGATGGCATTACAGACGCAGAACACGTACCAAGTACAGCACCGTTCCTCCAGCTCCCTCCCTGCGGCACCGCAGAACCAGAGAGCAAGCTCCACGCAAGGAACGCAGACAAGCCCGCGGATCGCCCCGCAGATGAACTCGCCTGCCCCAGGAGCGGAACCCCCTGCTGCTGGCCGGAAGAAGAAGCGGTCACCGGGCAGCATGTACGCTTTGGCGGCTCGTCAGCGGAAGATACGGCAGCAGTATTCCAACCTCCATCATCCGCCGAGTCTGGAAGATATTTGGATTTGTGAGTTCTGCGAGTACGAGAGCATCTTCGGGCGTCCTCCCGAGGCATTGATCCGACAGTACGAGATCAAGGACCGCAAGGAGCGGAAGCGGTTGGCGGAGAAGAAGAGACTTCTGGAGAAAGCCAAGATGAAGGGACGCAAGAACAAGAAGGCGACGAAGAACGCCGCCAAGAACGCTGTCTCACAGCAAGCGACGTATGAACAAGGATACGATCGGGCGTCAGCCGACCGCTCTCCGACAGGGGGAACTGGATTTCATGACGATGACGACTACTTAGCCCATGATGACGACGATGAACAGGCTTCCGTACCGCCTGGACCGCCGCCAGGCTCGTTCAAGACGCCATTGCCGCACGGGCATCCGCCAACTGTACCCCCTGGCGCCAAAGATGCGGCAGACGAGACGAGTCGACCGCCCTGAAAATTGGGTGTGATTGTTCTTTGTCACGTCGTTTGTCTATTGCGAGTCATTCTATTCTTAAGTCCTTTTATCTCCTCCTTTGCTTTTCATGGTCATAGTATTAGCCTTTCTCCTTTGTTTATCACCATGAATATCTTTATTCACAGTTGCATCAATGAATCCCCACTCCGGTTGATAAGCATGATGGCGGCAGCAGTATAATGAATGCATTGAATTCCTGGTCTTTGTTTGGGTCAACACAGTATTATGAAGCTCCACTCCCCTCCCCTCTTCTTTCTGCAGGGTTAGGATCAGAACAATGGGTCATCGTCATGGATGGCTGAAGGCTGAGAAACAGATGAAACAATGAGTTCGGGGTGCATTGGATGATGGGCATCTGCGAGACAATTGATTCTCCTTCAAACTATTCAGAGTGAGCAGAGTAGGATAATGTCCAATCGTACGTCGCGATAAATATAGCCCACATGAGAGCAAACGGCTCCTGTCCACTCAAACCATCTCATTCCCTGTGTCGAGGACGGAGTAAGCAACGCAGCGGATCGACAGGGCCCAACGCGGATTCACTTGGCGCGCGCGTGTACGCATCTCATCTCCGTCGGGTTTCAGACCTTACCTCGTGCATGTTGTCAATGGACGAGGCGGTTGCATTGTTGAGATGTATATATTTAGTTCGGTGTCTATACCATGTAGCTCCTTATATAAAGGGGGGAGTTGACTAGACCGGTTCTCAAATCTTCTGTTTTGTATAGATATCCTAATTGTATTCTTCATCCATCTATCTTCTTTCCCATTTTTCAGCCTTCTTTGTTTGCGCTGGACGCTCTTCTCTCTCTCTCAGCTTCTTTATATTTCTGTCTCTGGATATCCTCTAGATCTATATCTCTAGTTCTCTTCTACAGATAACTGCACAACACCAAGTCTACAAAAACTACAAGAAGACAAATAATAAGAAGGAAAATGTGGTTCCTCCTCCTCAAAGTCTTCAAATTTGGCTTTTCCCAAGCCAAAAAGCACAAATCCAAGAAATCCAACAACAACTCAACCTCAACAGACGACCTCACCAATCCCTCCTCCTTCAACATGTCCCAACCATCACCACCAGCATCACCAGTTACCCGCACCACGAAGCTCAAATCATACATCATACTTGCCCTGCACATCCTCCAATTCGTCTTCGGGATCACAGTGATAGGTCTCTACAGCGGGGCGATCCGACACGCAAGTGAATCCAACGACGCCCTACCCTCGAAATGGGTCTATGCTGTTATCGTGGCGAGCTTGGCGTGCGTGACGGCCGTGGGACTGTTAGTAACGGCTGTGGTTAAGGGTCGGATAACAGAGGTAGGAACAGGGGCAGTGGGGATGATGCGGTTGACTGTGTTTGCGTGGCAAGGGGTCCTGGTGATATTGTGGACAGTTGTGTTTGGGATCTTTGCGGAGAAGTTCGTGGGATCGGATCAGAAGAAGATGAGACGTGCTGTGTGGGTGGATCTGGTGAATTTGGTGATGTGGATTGGATCGGCGGGTTGGGCAGGGCTTAAATGGTGGAAGGGGAATCAGAGGGTTGGGGAGGTTGATAAGGAGGTGGTGTAGACTGCTGTCTGAATAACTGGTGGTTGGGGATGGGTGGTGGTGGAGGTTTGGAGGTCGTTGGACTGAGAATATTGGGATACTGGGATACATAAGCGCTTAATATGACGTACCATTGAATATCAGATCCTAAGCTACTATCTTATACTAGATCTAATCCCAAAGTCAGGTCTCATCACTCTCAGTCCCCTGCTTGCGACTCTCCTCAAGCAACAAGCTCAGTTGACTGCGTCGGGACACGGAGCTGGGCGTCTGCAATGGAATTCCGCCACTGTCCATGTGACCGTCACTGGAAGTAGTGCTTGTTGTCGGCGTCATAATCGGGATGCCGGAGCTGATGGTGGACGCTACCACGTGCGAAGGCCCCGGTCTGGAAGACGACGGCGTTGGTCGGTCCATGTAGGCACTCGGGGAGCCCTTCGCGACGGCATTCGGCGCGATGGCCTCGAAGGGTGAGCTCGAGTAATCCTCAGATTCCTGACGCTGTCGCTCTGCGAACCGCGCGCGGAAGTTCTTATCTACCAGTGACACGGACGACGGTTGTTCGTAGTTCTCTGACGAGAGGAATTTTACGTTGTAGTGCGTGAAGTCGTCGCTGGTAACGTAGCCCCATTTGGGTGGTGTCGATTTGGCTCTATTGGGTGGCGAGCGTTTGTCGGCGAAGATGTCTTTGAGACTGGTTAGAAATGAGACTGGTAGTTCTGCCGGCTTGTCCATGGCCTTGTCTTCACGAAGTTTGGCGGACCCTGGAGATGAATTAGTCTCCTAATCATGAGCTCGAGAACCATATACACACCTTCCATCGACGGTTCTTCCACTTCTGAGGCACTGCTCTCGTCCTGTTCCAATAATTTGACCGGAGATGGAGAGGTTAGCGGAGTTGAGGTCCGTTGCGGACTATGGGTACGGGTACTTGCACCGGAGGAAGTCTGTGATGACCGACGGCGCATAATGGCTGGCCGCCGCTTTGTGCTCTTCCCTTTACTTGCCGCGAAGTAGGCCTTCTTACGAGATGGAGGAGGAATTGGGGTGGGTGGTGTCGATGGTTTGCGGGTAATGCTCTGGCCTCCTACTCCAGTGAGAAGCAATCGCGTTGTCTTCTGCGACTCCCCTTGCACTTGCGACGATGTACTGGACTTCTTCAGAATAGGCGGTGGCAGTGCGCGACTGGAGCCCGTACTGGATGGCGTTTTGTTGTCCGTTTGATTCACGCTGGACTGAGATCCTTTCTCCGGGGCCTGAACAACCTGATTAGTAGGATCGTTCTTTTAACCACCATGGTCATTCCCCATCACACCTTCGCCGTTGTCTGCCGCGGGGCGGAGAGAGACAGTGGACTAGCCTCCGTTATGCGCAGGAACAACCTGGCCAGTGCGAACCCGTTAATAGAACGGCGGAGACGCTCGCTGCTCCAGATCCTCCAGAAGAAGTTCTCCAACCGGTAGCCAATGTCACCCCCATGTACAGAGGGATTTGCACTGTACACTGCGACAACGTGAGTTAGTCGACTGGGGCCTGGCACAGGAGACTGGTCTTTTACCTTTCCACAGTTGTATAATATCATCGATTTCCACAGCGTTCAGATCTCGTAGCTCTGTGGGAATGTCGTCTGTTGTCGATACTAAACCTTTTGGAAGCCCTTTCATTCTGGAAAAGCGCGGCGATGATTAAACGGAATAACAAGAGGGAACTCCAAAAACTACATGATCAGGGAGAGAACTGATGACAAGCTGACTTAAGGAGGGAGGAGAAAGAAAGGAGAAGGAGCTGTCAGCAGATGTTGGGAGAGCGATGGGTCTGGCGGTGAATTGAATAAACAAATATCAACCCAAGCAGGGAGGCAAGCGATATACAACCAATGATCGACAAGTGAAAGCTGGGGAAGAAAGAAGACCCCAATGAAGAGTTGACCAGTCTGGGGTAAAGCTGCAAGGGTCGATGGGCTGTCAGTGGTCAAAGAAACCAGTCGGCCTCAATCTTACTACTACTACTATTTGTGGCTTCATGCCCTCAGCCGCAGGCCAAAGTGAATGAGAAGCAGAATAGAAGAACCACTTGGTTTTACCTTGAACCTCCAAACCAGTCGATGCTTGATCCTTTAGGCACCTGCTGCTGCCTTATCCAGCTGCAACGTACCGGCGGTTAGGTAAGTCAAGTACCTAGCAAGGAGAATAATAGTTAGCTATTGTAGGAAGGATATAAGTATATCCACATTAAATTTAGGGAAAAGAAAAAACCACGTCAGAAATGCCAGCCTATCCTCGTATCGAACCCCCCAGGCAAACGAGGAACAAAGAACTGCACCAATGAAGACGTGGTCCGATGGTCGGGGTAATGCAGGCAGAGGAAGCCATGTTTACCTGTTCGATCTAGATACGGAGTGGGGATGGATTTGCAGACATGTTTGCATATAGACATATGTACTCCGTAAACAGGTACATATAGTGATATATGTACGACGTCGAGAGATATATAGGTCTCTCTATCCCCAAGGGATCCCATCACGAGAGATAATATCCAGATTCTTGGATGTACAGCCCGGCGAATTAAACGGCTCCAAGGGATCGATCTGCTGTCAACTGACCTGAACCCCATCTGGTTTGCAGGGTCTATTGGAGATGGTAGGTCCAGACTCGCTACCATGTTCAGAAACTAATCGTCCGTTCCACGGTCTTGTCAGACCTAAATCAAGGCTAACTGCGTCGATCTAGTGTCCGGGAGATCTTGTACGGCCTGACATTGGCCACACAGCCTTCTTTGTGATGACGAGACTCCCAGTCCATCAGTCACCAGTCGGCTGGTCAGGTACTGTACATCTAATAGGCAATAGGCGCGTCGGAATGATGGTAACTAAGGCACGCTATAGAGAAACTAGCTAGAAAAAACAATAAACACCCTCATGAAGCCATGATCAGGGGCCATGTCACCTGATGCCGTCATTCGGCCTGCTGCATTTCTTTGCCGTGCCGCAATCTTTAGGGACAACGCGACGCGGACTCGACGAGATGTCCAAACAGCAATTCTAGTCTCAGTGTACTCCGTAGGGGAGATCCTGCAGCGCCTTAAATGGTCCACTCTGGCGGCAGTGTCGGCTGCAGACAATTCACAGATTCAGCCACTGTCCTCAGGGACAAACACCTCGATTTAGTCGGTGTTGCACAGAGGTCTCCAGATGGATTCTTTGGGTCAGGCCTTGCTAGTATTTTTTTCAGGGAGAAAGAAAGAAAGGGGGGAAGTGGGGGTAAAAGGGAATCTAAGACAATATTAATATTCCCCTTTCTCACTGAGATTAATCATTCTGAGCAGTTAAAGCCCTGACTATCAATGAAATGACATCATGCTAGATAGAACATAGAAACTCCTTGTCTATTTATCGCAAACATCCGACCGTCATTTTTGGGTACTCCACAGCAAGAATACAAATCAAACGTTCACCGACGTAGACGCTTCTCCAACGGAACAAAAAAAGATGGGAAAAACGAAGGAGTAATGCAGCTCAATGGGTATCCAGGGATCGCCTCATCGAGAAAGAATAGAAGGCGCAAAAGCAAGCAAAGCCCGCCAGACAAACAATCAATGGCAAAGCTACCACAGCGTAAATAATATATAAATAAAACAAGCCGGTCTATCACGAATCCATGACCAATCTAGACATCGTAGCACATATTATAGTTACTAGATATCGAAAATCAATGGCAACTAAGTCGAGGCGCGTCCACTTAGGTGAGAGTGTAGCCACCATCAACTCGGAGGTCGGCGCCAGTGATGTATTTGGCGGCGTCGCTGAGGAGGAAGGTAACGGGGCCCATTAGGTCCTCAGGAGTACCCATCTTTCCAGCGGGGATGAGAGAGATCCACTTGTCTCGCAGTTCGGGGTTTTCGTCCAGAATCTTGCGGGTCCTAAATGACGTCAGTATAAGCAGAACCGCATCAGACTGCTCCGGAGGATTGCAACTTACAGGGCAGTTAGCATGTATCCCGGGCTGATGCAGTTAACCCGGATCTGATGACCGGCCCATTCGACGGCGAGAGACGCCGCCAGGTGGCGAACGGCAGCCTTGGCGGCATTGTAAGGAGCCTGCGGCTGAGGCACATTGACAATGGCACCAGACATACTACCGATCATGACAATGCTGCCAGGAACCTTACGCTCCATCAGGTGCTTCGCGACACCGGTCGCAAATAGGTAGGTGCCGTCCACATTGACCCCCCACAACTTTTGCACGCGATCATAAGGGTAGGAAATGGCATCGAAGTTCTCGGTAAACCCGGCGGATGTTACCAGATTGTCGATACGGCCGTGCTTCCCAATGATTTCCGTAAGGGCTGCGTTCACCGAGTCTGGGTCGGCCACATCGGCGTAGTGAGCGGTAACGTTCGGCATTCTAAAACACAGCACTTATTAGCAAAGCGACTCGTGATGCAATCGATTCAGTTGACGTACTGTTCCAAACCCGGGTTTTCTTTTCTGAATTGCTCCACCAATTTGTGTGCCTGCTCCTCGGCTTCCTCCTCTGCGAATGATATTAGAAATCGGTACACCTGGAGTAAGCTAAATGAGTCTACGTACTGTTCAAGTCGACAATTGCAAGATCAGATCCCGATGCGACGATAGCCTGAGCCATCACCAAACCAAGGCCACGAGCTCCTCCGGTGACCAAGCTGACTTTGTTCTCCAACGAGTACTGGGCGAGGGTACGCTTGAAGTGCATTCCACCCCGGCCTTGAACAACGGGTTGGGGAGGCATATGTTCATCATCCGGGTATTCGATCTGCAAGCTCTCATCCGTGCGGGCGAACCGACCCTCTGTCTCTCCCAGAGTGCCCTCTGGTGCATTGGTGGTCGCAGTCACAAGGGGGTCCTTCCTCGACTTGTTGTTCCCATCGTTCTGGGCACGGGGAGCGGTAGAGGAGATGGGGCGGAAGAAAGATCTGGCCAAGGCTGGCCGGGACGAAGCTGTCAATACAGCAGGACGGGAAGTCTGTGTAAGAGCCCTGACGGCCTGGCGAGTGGCTGTAGATCGGAACATTGTATAATGAGGAAGACAGCTGAGAGGAGAGGAGAGAATAGGAGGAAGAAATTGGGTTTTGTCAAGTGCTGACGTCAACGATGGGATAGTAAGAGAAGAGAAGGGAGGAGAGAGAAGAGGAGGAACGAAGTTCTAGGGAGAATCGATTGGGTATTATAAATACTTCCTGCTCTACCTAACTAACAGATGAAATGTGGGTAAGGAAGGATTTGAATTGTTCACCATTTCTTCGGTAAAGGGGGAAACGAAGAGCTATTCACCAGAGGCAAAATAACCTAGTGGAGGAGCAACAAAAGCGTAGGTGTTCAGTGGGCGGTGGAGGTTCCCATTTTTTTTTTTTTTTTTTTTTAAAAAAAAAAAAAAAAAAAAAAAAAAAGTTTGAATAAAGGAGCTGCTGGGGAATGTGAATGCTGGTAGCCAGGGGAGCATGGCCATGATCAGAGGATGAGAAGAGCAATTGCGGTGAAAATTGGAGCCTGCCAAGGGAACTGAGAAGCTGCAACAAGTCAGACCAAAAGAACAGGAGGTGTGGGTATGTTGACTGGTTGTGAGGAGTGGAATGAAAACTGGGGAACCATTTTTTTTTTCCATTCCCTTTTACTTTTCGATACAATCAGCCAAAAGGGTGATGTCAGGCGGCAATGGTTCCTTGGCTAGGCCCCAACCGCCATGCAGCGATCTGACCAGGATCTGCCCACGGGTGGAGCCCTAAAATGCGCCATATGCACCGGCTCCATCGCCGCGACGCCTTTTCGCCTCCCGCGTGACTCCCTCCACACCTCCTCGTTCCGCGCCCTGTTTCACCGGTTGTAGATGATCAGTCTTCCAAGGCCTTCTGGATTCACTTGGATGATTAGTTTTAGATAGTGATTGGCTATTTCTTACTTTATTTTTATTTATTTATTTATTAATTTTTTTTTACCTCACTGTTATCTTATTACTATTAATTTTTTTTCTTTTTGAAGAGTTTTCTTAATCTCGTACTTTTTGGTTTGTCTCCTATTATTAATCATATCTTGAGTCTGCAGTTCTACGCGCTACTATGCAATTATTCGAGAGCCGACCGTACAGCATACAGCAATAAAGTCATGCAATATTAAAGGCTATCGCACTCGGGATATTGACTAACTACCATTTCAATCCATCTGATCCGTATCAAACCATAATCCGTGGTTTCCAGGTACGTAATACGCCTTGAAAATAATTGTATCTATTTTCCTCATATCAATGAAAGTAAAAATAGCGTCTTTGTTCCCACCTCCCTAGAACCTAATCCCGAGTCGATACATCCATAGACCCTAAGGATGGAGTGATAAGCATGCATATAATCATCCATTCAAAGTCATTCCGAATCGAATCAGGCAGGTAGTTAAGAAGGTCCGCGATAGCAAGGGTTTCCCTGTACGAACGGAGGTCGGAGTGGGGAGCACTTTAAAGCATATCCGTGCTGCAGAAGTACCGTACATGGTAAAAAGAAAAAAGATCATAATATGCACCTGAATCCATGACAACAAACGCAGTTCGCCACAGTGGTCCAACCCCGGACCCCAGCCTGCCCTAAGTCAATTTTTAATTCCTGTCGTTATCCACCGGTCTCTGGTTACAAATAATAAATATCCACTATGGACCATGATTCTACCCAACCTGCCGTGCACTAATCGGTCAAGTCGAATATAAAGTGGGGTGCATCGACTGGGATGGGGCCAACCGTCATCTTGGCCGCCGAGTCCTAGCCTCTCCATCTGATGGTCTTTACCTCTTTTTGCCTATGGAAACACGGGGTGCATTACCAACTCGGATTCCCTTGTTTAATCCTGTCAGCCCGTCGCATTCTTTGTCCAATCCATCCTTCTCCACTGTAAGATTGGGGGTCTACCAACTGCCAAGTTCTAACAGCGGTGTACGGAGTACAGAGTACGCTATATTGCTTCTTTCCTGATGAGCCGCTTATATACGACATGCGGGAAATGCACCCACAGTGCTGTTGGCCAGGTATCTAGCGATCTGGCATAAAATTGTCCACATGACAGCGCCTCGGACCGTACTATACTGGATTCAAAGTTAATTGCGTGATTTACTGACTACAACTGGCAGAAAATTCTTATTTTGGTGGGGGGTGGCTTATGTTGAATCACCTGTTTTTATTTATATTTATATTTATTGGTCTTTATAACACATTTTATTTATTTATTTTTAAAAATTTCCTGCCATCTGGATCGCCACTATGGATACTCTTATCTAGCATTGTTATAGAGTTCATATTTCTCCATTGAAGGACCTGACGGTCTGCGTTCAAAGAACAGTAGCGATGCCGCTTAACTTTCTTTCCCACTGATCTTCACTCGCTGTTGAATATTAAATATGTTCCTATTTATTTGATTCTGTTGTACTCCGTAGAGACTATGGTTTGAAACAATTTCTTCCAGTGCTACTTTCTATAAGGCTGTCACATGTATACTCATTCCCAGAAGAGACCAAAAGTCTAGTTCTCACCGCCTTCCTCCGCAAACTCGACGAGTGGTGTTCCGCTTTTGCATTGGTCCTGCAAGGTACGCGCTAGTCAGCTGACCGGGCTCTTAATTGATTGGGAGTGGAGAATTTCGAATCCAAGGAGAATGGCTGTGGAAGCTTGACATCGGGGCCCGTGCTTTTTACACAGGCTTCTGAACACGCCCCAAGGGATAAGAGGAGGCACTGGCAATTCCAGACAGTTGCGAATCCAGGCAATCCGTCCGGCTCGGCGCTAAGCCACAGCCGGGCCGAGAGTAGGACAGTCACCAATGACAGCAGGGGCTAGCCAGGTCTCCGGAGCATTATTGAAAAATATATGGGTAATATTGTGCACACAGAGGGGAGGGGGGGGAAGTGACTTACTCCTTTTTGATGTACCACTTTGGCAATGGTGCCTTTCTGAGGACTGCGGATCACCGTTTCCATCTTCATACTTTCAATCACCACCAGCGGCTGGTCTTTTTCGACCACGTCGCCGGCTTGAACTTCCACGCGCAGCACCTTGCAAGGCATAGGCGCTAGAACGCTGTTCGTGACATCCTTCATTCCCAGTGCCTTTTCCATCCACTTCGCTCGTGGGATCATGAAGCGATATTGCTTGCCTTTTTGGAACGCAACGATCATGTCCTCGTCACGTATCACTGTAGTATCTAGACGAGTATAGGGGAAGTAGGACGTAACCACGCGAGCTGCTGGGTTACTGTGGCTTCGTACCTGCTCAAACACCCGTCCGCCGACTTCCACGTCAAATGTGTTCTCACGCGTTTGCTGGACCCGAACTTCAAAGGTGGTGGTATCTTTGCTTCCAGGTGCTGACTCCACCAGCGTTATCTGCCGAGCTTGATAGCTTGGGCTAAAGCCAACCGCGGAGCCTTCAAAGTTGGCCTGTTTTCGAGTAACTGGGTCAACATAGTGGTGTAAACAAGCCAACGCTACCTGCGCCAGCAGCTCCGGGTCAGTCGGATCTCTGGTGAACAGCTCCTCGCGATGTTTCTCGATATAGCCGGTTTCCACCTCGCCCGCAATGAAATCAGGACTCTTGCAAATGGTTTTTAAGAACTCAATGTTGGTAATCGGACCGGCAACTTCGTACTCCTCGAGCGCGGCAGCAAGCTTGCGAATCGCTTCCTCCCGAGTACTACCTCTCACGATTAGTTTGGCGATCATTGGATCATAATGAGCTGAGACCTCATCCCCAGCAACGAAGCCTGCATCGATTCTGACGTCCTCAGAAACAGCAGGTGTGCGGACATGAAGCAGAGTACCTGAATCTGGGATGAAACCTTGATCCGGATTCTCAGCATAAATTCTCGCTTCAATCGCATGTCCCCGGCTAGCCATGTAGGCTTCCACTTCGTCTTGGGTCAATGGAAGTTTGGCGCCTTCGGCCACCTTGAGCTGCCAGTAAACAAGATCTTGGCCGGTGACCATCTCTGTCACTGGATGCTCAACTTGCAATCTGGTGTTCATCTCCATGAAGTAGAATTCCCCAGTGTCATTGTCAAAGATGAACTCGACAGTACCAGCGCCCTCGTAGCCCACAGCCAAAGCAGCCGATCGGGCCTTTGCCCAGAGGTCTTTCCTTGTAGCATCGGGCAGATGAGGGGCCGGCGACTCCTCGAGAATCTTCTGATGCCGCCTTTGGATACTGCAATCTCGTTCACCCAGAGCAACAGAGTTTCCATGCTTATCAGCAAAGACCTGCACTTCAATATGTCGTGGCGTTGTAATGTATTTTTCCACCAACACCTTGTCATCGCCAAATGAGTTCATAGCTTCTGATTTGGCAGATTGCAGCTGGGATTGGAACTCCGCCTTCGAGTAGGCTATACGCATACCCTTGCCACCGCCACCCTTGATTGCCTTGATAAGCACAGGGTATTTGATTTTGTCGGCTTCGGCCTCAAGAAAGTTGACATCTTGGTTCTGACCGTGGTAACCGGGAACGCAAGGCACCCCTGCCGCCGTCATAATCTTCTTGGACTGACTTTAAAGGTTTTAGTATTAATACGTCACAAATTACATCGTGGGCTGGCTTACCTCTTGTCTCCCATATCCTCAATTGCCTTCCAGGGAGGGCCAATGAAGACCAGTCCAGCTTCTGTGCATTTCCGAGCAAAGGCGGAGTTCTCACTTAGCTAAAACGAACACAGCCATTAGCGTTTGACCCGCAGCTACTTCCTGGGTTGATAGAACCTACAAAGCCATAACCCGGGTGTATCCCTTGACAACCCTCTCGTTTTGCTATCTCGATGATACGGTCTCCATCGAGGTACGCTGATACAGAACCTAAATTGAACGCGAACGGTGAACTTAGAGCATGCTGAGCCCCGCTGTCTGGGTCTGTATATAACGTAGTCACGCGGATCCCGTGCTCTGCAGCCGTCCGACCAACTCGTCTGCAAAGGGGATCCAGTTAGCACGAGTCGTCCACGCCAGAGTGATATATGTGAAAGAAACATACAAAGCAATCTCGCCTCTATTGGCAATGAGAATCGAATCCAACGAATTCTGAGTCTTTGATGTGCCCGAGGCAACCGAGGATGCAGCTCTCCTCAACCTCTGGGCAACAGTCGGCCCTAGGCGGGATGTAGTGCGGAGAAGCGCAGGAAGTGGCATTTGTAGTAGTATGGAGTCTGAGGATGGATGGATATTAACACCGTCAAAGGTTATAGATAGGCAGATGGTCAGCGCATTCTCATGCACATGCAACGCAGTGTTGAAAGAGAGCTCTGGAAGAGTGAAGAGAGAAATTGAATGTAGCTCCAACTTACTCCGCCCGCTGTCTTCCTCTTTCCCCAAACTCCCCATTCAGCCGACGCAAAGCGAGGCTGCGGGGAATGTCGCAACCACGTGATCAGCTGGCCATGTTCTGCCTCAGGCCCACATGAATCACTTTTTCACCGACGGAGAAGCGAGTTCGACGTCATATTATAGCCTAGAGAGACTTTTGTTGCCCTTGATCGCTCCTTCTGTCTTGGCCTCGTCTGCTGCTCCTGGCTCCAGATTTTATCCCATTCGCGTCAATTTGAGACCCTCCCTTTTTTCTATTATGTCGGATGATGATGATTATTATGATGAATCCGACGAGGAAATTTTCTGGATCATAGAGCCTGAACCTGAAATTGCTGTACGTCTTTCCCCCCAAAAAAGACATTGCTTCATGTGTCTCTCTACAAACTAAGCTAACCTGGGGCTGGATACAGGACGAACTAGCCGAAAACCCAACTGCCGACCCCGTCTTTTTCGATGAAGACTACTTTGACATGGAGATACAAGAGTACTACAGCGACTGGGACGAGATGGTAGATGACTACTACGATGCAGATCCGACGGCCGAGCGATTACAAAGTGTGATAGCCGAATGGCCGAAGAAGAACCCCATTAACGCACCCGCTCTTCCCTCAAAGCGACAAACACAGCAACATACGAAGTCGGAGTCGTGTTCAAAGAAAATCCCCTCAAACGGCCCCCAGATAAACAAGGCTTCATTTCACGGCGTAGTCTGGCGCACCCCGAGCGATGAGCGCAGTCTCAACGAGTTGTATGAGCCTGGCGACGGGGAGAAAGTGGCTTTGCTGAAGAATTGGCGTGAGGTCTTCCGCACGTCACACCCTGCTATCGACCGGACGCGCAGTCGGAAGGGTGCTTCTCTCAAGCCAAATGAAGACACTGGACATGGTCGTGCACGTGCGGTGGACGAGGCGCTGCACAATGCTGGGTCGAGGGATTTTAGTGTTGATTCGGACTATGTGGTAGTGGACCGGTTGATGGACGGTGAGATCAATACTGCTCTGTCTAAGGCTTGTTCTCCGCCGCCAGTGCATAGAAGCCGGGTGATTGAGTCGGCGGTCGATCTGCCGGTGAATTCGAAGATGATGGAGCATGAGTATCCGTTCGACACGCATGAATCGTACAGTGAGACCCTGGAGTTGGAGGCGCGTTCTCCGGTAGGGTCACCTAAGGCAAAGCCATCGTTGGGGGGAAGCAGAAAACGTAAAGCGTCCGTTTCTCTCGATGTAGAGGTGGCGGTCGACCGGACCGGACCAGACACATCCCTTGGGTCGAGATCCAAGCGAGTCGCAATGAAGAAAACAGAGGAAGCCACGGGAAATACAACAGCGTCAACGGAGCCTGTACGGAGGTCCGTGAGAAGCCGGAGCAAGAAGTAGACGGCCGCGCAACTTACTTCTATATAACATACGGTTGCCCTCTAGATAGACATGCTGCGAATACATTACAGCTGGAATATGATTAGACATGTATACATAACGAGGAGACAAAGCGCATTCGTTTTTAAAGGCACGCCCGATCTCTATGCGTATTCCTTATTAAACGCACGCCCAATAACCATCCGTCTAATTTCACTGGTGCCCGCGCCAATCTCGTACAACTTGGCATCACGCAGCAGTCGGCCAGCGGGGATTTCGTTGATATATCCGTTGCCACCCATGAGCTGGATAGCGTCAAGGGAACACTCAGTGGCCCTCTCTGCAGCATAGAGAATTGCACCGGCACAGTCTTGCGTCCGGATGGTCATCTCGGGTGAAGACGCAGAGTTATCGACCTGTCGCGCCGTGGCATAGGTGTAGGCACGGGATGCCGCAAGCTTCGTGTACATGTCCGCCAGCTTACCCTGGATCAACTGGTTGTGCGCAATGGACGTTCCGAATTGCTTGCGGACATGGGTATAGGGAAGAACAAGGTCGAGGGCTGCCTGCATGATTCTGTGTGAGGTTCGGTCAGCACATACACGCTGCCGGTGGAAAGATATCGGGGTTCACCTACCCCAGCGGACCAGCGCTGAGAACCAGACGTTCCAGATCAAGACCCTCCATCAAGACCTTGACGCCTCGGTTCAGTTCTCCAAGAACATTGGCCTGGGGAACGAACACGTTGTCGAAGATCAGCTCTCCTGTGTTGGAACCACGCATTCCCAGCTTGTCCAGTTTCCTTGCGCAGGAGAAGCCGTCGAACGTCTTCTCGACGATGAACGCCGTGATTCCTTTGGAGCCTTTCTCCGGTTCGGTCTTGGCATACACGACGATGAAGTCGGCATCGGGGCCCTAGGAAGCACAGAACGATTAATTATGTGATGTTCCAGTCAATAGCGACGAATTCCACGAGAATAGGGAGAATCTCACATTCGTAATCCACATCTTGGTTCCGTTCAACAGGTATCCCCCATCAACTGCCTTGGCCGTTGTCTTCATGCTGACGACGTCGGAGCCTGCGGAATGTTCAGACATTGCGAGAGCACCAATTTTATCACCGGATAGAAGACCAGGAAGAATTCTTTCCTTCTGTTCGGGAGATCCATTCAGGGAGATCTGGTTCACGCAGAGCTGGGAGTGAGCTGCGTAAGACAATGCGATACTTCCTATAGAACAACTCAATTAGAAATATGGACGTGGCAGAATTCAATCGCATGCGGATTGTTAAAGTAACAATACCAGATGCGCGGCTGATCTCCTCCATAACGATACAATGAGCTTGGTAGCCCATCCCAAGACCGCCGTATTCTTCGTTGGCAGTGACACCCAGAAATCTGACTAGGTATTAGTTCCCTGTCTGTGAATTATACTGTCGAAGATATTCAGCAGGGATAATTACCCGGCATCTCCTAATTTTTTCCACATCTCCGACGGGAATTCATTCTGTGCATCTGTTTTCGCAGCGATTTCCTCGGGGATTTCGCGCCCTTGATTCCGAGGGTTAAATTCCCGAACTCCACGAACTGAAGACTGCTCCGAGAATACTAACTAGTAAATTCTTGCACTCGCTCCCGTAGCTCTAACAGATCATCCTCGGTGGGTGGAACAAAGCCCTTGGGATGCTTGGTTGACAATGTGCGTAATGCGGGGGCGTTGACGAAGGGTTTCTGCACTACCCCGAGGGTCCGGGAGGAGCGCAAGAGACAAGGAAGACGAGGAAGAGCAGCCATTGTGAAGGTAGGTATATGGTTACGAGGGAGGTTTTTGGAGAGAGCGAGAGAGAGAGAATAGGAACGAGATAAACAGAGAGATAGAGAAGAGGAAGCAGAGGAGTTTCCTGAAGCTCAAGGCCAGCCTCGGTTAGACGCGGCTGGCGTTTCTCCGCAAGTCTGGGGTTGTTCTACATCCTTCTTCATCATCTTCTTCCTCTCCATCTCCCTGTGTTCGTTGACCACTTTCCTGTCGGTCAATTTCAAGGCCATGAGATAGTCCTGTCAGTGACATATACACCCTTGCCGTCTCCCAGACCATTCATTTCTTGATTCTCCCCATAATCCTCCCCCGCAATGCGCGCTCCGACTCCGCTGCTCCGGAGCCTGAGCTCTAAACCAACATCTCTAGCTCCCCCCCGAAAGCTTCCCACGCAGCGTTTCCCCAGTTTGACTCGCTCTAGTCCCCTCTGCCGGTCAGTCGCGAGCTACACGCATCCCCATCATGCTTCCGCCATCTCAGTCCTCCCCTCCGTGGTAGATACCTCCTCACCCGACTTCAAAGAGAATGCTCGGCAGATGACGGAGCTGGTGGACCGCATGGCCAGTCTGCATACCAGCATCTCACAGGGTGGGCCACAAAAAGCCAAAGACAAACATATCGCTCGCGGGAAGATGCTTCCGCGAGACCGAGTGTCAGCTCTGATCGACCCGGGCACCTCCTTCCTGGAGCTGTCCGCATTAGCCGGCCACGAGGTATATCCCGGAGAAGACGTGCCTGCGGGCGGTATAATCACAGGGATTGGAACGGTGGAGGGTGTCACCTGCATGATCGTCGCCAATGACAGCACTGTCAAGGGTGGCACCTACTACCCCATCACTGTGAAAAAGCATCTGCGGGCTCAAGCAATTGCACAGGAGAACAAACTCCCTTGTATCTATCTCGTCGACTCCGGCGGGGCGAACCTCCCCCACCAGGCCGATGTCTTTCCGGACAAGGAGCACTTCGGACGCATTTTCTTCAACCAGGCTCGAATGAGCTCCCAGGGAATTCCCCAGATCTCAGTAGTCATGGGCCCTTGTACCGCTGGAGGGGCCTACGTGCCCGCGATGAGCGACGAGACCATTATCGTTGAGAACCAGGGCACCATATTCCTGGCTGGTCCGCCCCTCGTGAAGGCCGCCACGGGCGAAGAGGTGTCCGCTGAAGACCTGGGCGGTGGTCAACTTCACAGCACCATCTCCGGTGTAACAGACTACCTGGCCGTGGACGATGCCCACGCCCTTGTCCTCGCTCGCCGATCGATCTCCAATCTCAACTACCCGACAACCAGCGTACCGCAACAGTTGTCCGAAAACGCCATCAAAGAACCACTGTACGATCCCAACGAACTCAATGGCATCGTGGGAACCAACCTCCGGCGCCAGATCCCCGTACACGAGGTGATCGCTCGAATCGTCGACGGCAGCGAATTCGCCGAATTCAAGCGCGACTATGGTACCACCCTGGTCACCGGCTTTGCTCGCATTTTCGGCCACCAAGTCGGTATCGTCGCCAACAACGGTATTCTGTTCTCCGAGTCCTCACTCAAGGGGGCCCACTTCATCGAACTCTGCGCGCAGCGCAACATCCCCCTCATCTTCCTTCAAAACATCTCCGGTTTCATGGTCGGCGCCGATGCCGAAAAGGGCGGTATTGCCAAGAATGGTGCCAAATTGGTCACGGCCGTCGCTTGTGCCGATGTACCCAAGTTCACCGTGGTATTTGGCTCCAGTGCTGGTGCCGGTAACTACGGCATGTGGTAAGTTCCCTTCCCCGCCCCCGACAAAAAGAAAGAAGGAGAAGGATATGAAAGTTAACGAATGACCTAAGTGGCCGTGCATATTCCCCCCGTCTCATGTTCATGTGGCCCAATGCCAAAATCGGCGTCATGGGTTCCGAACAACTCTCGTCCGTGATGGAGGCCGTCGGCCGTACGGCTGATCCCGCCCTTAAGGACCGGATCGATCGGGAATCCGAGGCGACGTTCTCATCTGCTCGACTGTGGGATGACGGGGTGATTCCTCCTTCGCAGACCAGACGAGTCCTGGGGTTGAGTCTGGCGGCTGCGGTAGGTGGAAATGTCGATAAAGATGTACAGACTCGGTTTGGGGTGTTTAGAATGTGAGACTATTCTCTCCCTCCCTCTCTCTCTCTCTCACACACACACACACACACACACACACATTCTTTTCATAATGGCTATGAATATAAATTGTAGCCGAATTATTGGTTATACTTGACATCTACCTACTCGTTCCTATAATCCTGTTCAAGATGGGCGTATTATAAAGCAATAACTCCTAGGGATAGAAGTTCACGTAGAAAGCCAGCCAGGTACACTCTCCAGTCCGAAAGCAATCTCAATATATTCTAATCTATACCCTTCTGTATCTCCGATAGTAAGCAAAGTAGCTAGGCATATCAGAATCATCAAATCCGTATCCGGATATTCATCCATTGATTGATCGTAAAAGAATTTTGTCGCGAGACATGACATCTTATCGCCGGCGAGAAAAAAGGGCTATAGATAATATAGAAGACAGCAGAAGAGAAAGCACAAAAGGAAAGTGAAAATGAAACAAGAATAAAAGAAATAAAATATAACTCTCGGTAAAGTTCATGGGCATAGAATAAGAATGACATTTTGGGGTCCCTGGATCTCGGCAATTGCAATTTCTCAACGAGATTCAGATTCTTGATGTTTTCAATCGCTATCAAAGAAACCTGGTTAACGGGACTTGGGGAATTAAGAATTGGTATTCCGTAGGTAAAGATAATAAATGTATGGCACTTTTTTCCTTTTTCGTTTCTTTTATCGTTTTCATCCAGACGTAAGATACCAGGTGGAAGACGTATTGGTGATCGGCTATAAAACAAAAAACAAAGTACATATATCTATCGTTGAAAGACGTTGACGTTGACAGCGTATGATAAACATGACATGAAAGGGAGGAGTTTGATATCAAAATCTGACAGGAATGGGTATGTGCATAGGGAAGGGGATCTGCCCCAAGGGGCAGTGTCCTGTCATGATCGGTAGTGGTGGAGATGGTATACAGATGGAGGTGACTCGCTCGTTTCTCATCTGTCGCTCGTCCCCGGTCGTTCTCTTCATCGAGCCCTGTGAGCTATAGAATCACACATGGCCCCCGCCGTCGAGGTTGTCGTCTTCTTTCCTTCTTTCTCTCGCCTCGATTGGGACCTTCCCGCTTCCGCGTTTGGCCCTCTGAGCCTTGGACGAGTTTCCCTGCAAGTCCTTTCGGATGATTTGTCGGCAGAGGTCGATGAAGACTTCGTTGACGTTGGCTCGTCGCCTAGCGGAAGTCTCGTAATAAGGAGCATTGCCCCAGCTCTGGGACAGAGCAAACGCGCGAGCCCGAGGCACCGCTCGGTCCTCCTCTAGATCCGACTTATTTCCCACAATTACAATGGGGACTTTCTCGTCGTCCTTGATGCGGGTGATTTGTTCTCGTAATTCAGATAGCTCGTTCAATGAAGACATGCTGGTGATGGAGAATACGAGGAGGAACCCCTGGCCTTGTTTCATGTACAGCTCTCTGGATTGAAAGTCAGTGTGCGGTGCGGATGCGGGGGCGGGGCTGGGTGAATTCGAATATTCATGACGGAGTGAGAGGCTAGAGATGAAATAGGAGTGATTTACCTCATAGCCGCTAAATATATGTTAATGGCGCCGTGCTGTTAGGATCAGGAGCAGGTCGACTTACTAAACTGTTCTGTTCCTGCGGTATCAAGGCTGCAAAGAGCATGTTAGCGGGCATGGTCAAGACATCGCAGACTTTCCAATCCAGCCGGATATGGAGCGTACATTTCTAGTATGCATTGTCGGCCCTGGTATCGTTAGTGACCCACATTCGCTTTCAGGAGCCCATGTCCACTTACGTCCACCTCGATCTGCTTCCGGTATGAATCTTCAATGGTCGGATCGTAGCTCTCGATCCAGACATTCTGGACGAATTGAGCTGCGAAGCGTGAGCGACAGTTACAATAGATAAAAAAGAACCGAAGTCTCGAGTCAAAATTGGCACCACAGAGGCCAACGGAAAGGATGGGCAGGTGGATTAATACCAGTTAGACAGCTTTTCCCTACTCCTCCTATAGCGTAAACACGAATTGACCCAGATCAGCCACGGGACATCAAAACGAATCAACCAGAAGGGGGTGATGCCTACCGGCGCCTAATACGACGATATGATATTCCCGCCTAGCGATGCCATTAGCATTCCCCCATGCGACGATACCAATCAAGTCGACAAGAACCCCGGACTTACTGCGGCCGCATCGGAACAACTGGATGAAACAGCGGTACTTCGACGGGATAGGTCGTTTAACTTGCAATCAAGTCAAGACGAGCTCCTAGCTAGTATAGATAATAGTAGACAGATCAACTTCCGACCAGACGCTGGTATAATAGGCGGTATGACCTCGACCAATGAGTTAGACACGAATTCGGAGGCTGGATAAGAAAAGGACACCGGGGCACGTCCGACGACGAAGCTGGTCCCAAAATTGTAATCTCGGGGATTTGTTCCCAATGCCGAATGTTTACGGCGAAGAATGGACGGACTGCGAGCTGGTTATTTTTTTTTTTAATTTTTATTTTATTTTTTTAATATCTCCCTTTCCTGTCTTGTTTTGTCTTCTTTCCGATCTCCCTTTGGGGGCGGGGTGCGCTGGACGAGCAAGGGCAGCGGCACACGAACCGTTACATCGGTCTTCGAAACGGACTCCCAACCAATTTGTAAAGGGAGAGGTAGGGGTTGGAAAGGAATGACCGCCAGGAACGCAGGGGGCAATTGACGGAATCGATTGAGGGCAGGAAAAGAGGGAATGGTGGATTGATGCCAACCGATGGAATTAATTATCGGGTGGATTTCCGGAGACTAAAGAAGGACGCCAACCAGGGAAGGTTAAGTCAGCAGTGGCTAGACAAACACCCCCAAGACTGACGAAATCCTAATAAAAGGAAGCGAGATGAAGAGAAGAAGCATACCGATAAAGCGAACCCAGTCGAGGAAAAGGGAGAAGAGAAGAAGAGAGATGACGGAAGGTTGTGCGACTGAAATGGCCGGTTCCGCGGCGGAAAACCATGGGATCTTGACATGGAAATCGGGTTCGGACAAGTCGATTCTGCTCAGCAAGGTCGAGAACAATAATCAAATGCATGTTTGCAGGATGAGATCATCATCTATACCCCGTACAGAACATTTTGTCAATATCTTCCTCAGTGTTACCTATCACCTCCCTAGTGATGGGGAGGTCCACCGGATGAGAAGCCGGTTAACTCGTGCTCTTAGCCCAGAGAGACCAAAGTACCACGCGAGTTGACAGATCAAATGGACGCTCTGATGCCTCTTCTAAGTAGGTATTATCCAATCCTAGGATGGATGGCCCACCGTTACCAGCACTTCATCCGTTGTTACCCGTGATCCTACATCTTATGAGAGAGCCTGTCCCATGCACCGCTCTATAGCACGCCATCTGTATTTACTGTACATACTTTTATACTTCTATGTAGGCGGGCATGCTCCATAGGATCGATGTATCTTCTTATCAAACGATGACTGGATTACTGGGCATACCGGCGTCGTCATCGAGCCTCCTTCTTGATGCAGGAACCAGTGCCACCACCCACCTTTCTATCGCATTAACAATGCAAGTGCTGACCTATGTACAAGTGTCTGAGCTCTCACTTTTATTGGACCCCGTTAAGGCCGCAATGCCATCACCCTGCGCCACCTGCTTTGCGTCGTCACGCTCTCTGTTCGAGCTGTACAGCTCGAGCGCCTCGAAAACATGGTGGAACACTAGCTGATCCACGTCTTTCGCCCACAGGAAATCTAAGTGTTCGTATTTGGCGATTTTCTTGGCCATGGTCGCGCGTGGTAGCTCCTTCAGCATTACGTTGATATCGACGAGACTGTCGCTGCCGCCGTAGAGCAGCACAATCGGCGTCCTGATGTTCTTGGTGGGGTACTTGACCGGCTTGTAGAATCGTTCACTGGCCACCACGCTGAAGGGCGCCTGGATTTCATCGTCGTAGAATTGGAAGTTCTTGTGTCGGATCATTTGGAACCAATGGACCACCGACTTGGTGCTGGTGAAGGAAAAGAGATGTAGATACCCTGCCATCTTCTGCCAGCGGCTGATACTCTTGCATTTCCAGTTGAAGAGCGTGGATAGAGATGCATCGATGATACGCACAAATATCGGCGGATAGAGGACCGTCTGCCACATCGTCGTCGAACTGAGGATGCTGCGGCGGCCAAACAGAAGAAACAGGAAGTTCGGCGATGCTTTCATAAGTGAATCGACGAGAGGATTTGGTAGACCGCGGGGCGCCATTGCTGGTGCGAGAGCCACAAAGACACTAATCTTTTCATTCAGTAACGGATGGATGGAGAGGGTAGCGAACGCTTGTGCCGTTCCCTGAGAGAATCCAACATACGACAGGGACGGTTGTCCCGTCACCTCAAGGATATAGTTGATGCTATCGGGGATATCGTGGAATGCAAACTGGTCGATCGAAAAATCCCAGAATTCGTTGGATAGAGGGGAGAATCTGACTGACTTCTTCGAATATTTATTGCCGCGGTTGTTTCCCAGCCACACGTCATAACCTTTTTCAACCAATTGAAAAGGGAGACAGCGTTGCTCTTCCGTCAAACACACCCAGACCTCACTGCACATGAGGAGCCCATGGTGGAGATACACCACTTTCTTCTTAACACTGTCCTTGCCCTTGTTGACGCGCACGCTCTCTTCGCCCTTCCGGTAGGCCAAGCGATGGAGACCGAGAAGATAGCCATCCCCCGTCTGCACGATGTGTTCTTCAGGCGCGTAGCCGAACAAGGAACATATGTCCACAAAATCCGATGCTTGTGCAACCGCCGTAGCAATTCGCTCTTCTTTGCTGCGCTTGCCTGCATTCTCGGGGCTTATGAATAGGTTGAAAATTGTCTTGGACCGGTCGTGGAAGAACAAGATTACCGGGTCCGCTGTTACACGTCAGTCTAGTCCAGATTCGCAGGGCTGATATAAATGAGACCGGGAGGTACAAACGTAGACAAAATGCTATTATATGTATGATCCACTCCAGTAGAACCAATATCAATGACGCAAAGAGTGCCAGGTACTCAAACCAGAACAATCTTCCAATGACTGGTACACGCGCCATGATGGGATATACACTGCTTTCACTGCCACAAACAGCTGAATCGATCGCAGATCATCAGCCCAACTCCCATAGTGTCCGCTCAGGGATGTCACTCTGGGAGAAGCTAAGTAGAATCCGTTCTGAAGGTCACACCGTGAAGGGATGTTGCCCCCAGACGTCATCCACGCACCTCTCATGTGATGCTTACTTAATCTGGGGAATCCATCGCCGTTTCTTTTTTTGCTTCAAACATCCCATGGATCGCAGCACCAAGCAGTTCGCCAATTGCACAGCAAAATGCCGAGCTCCTGCAAGGACATCAGTGGGTTTTTCCTCCTCCCAGTATTGATACGAGGATGACCAGGCGCAGAGCGCCCAACCCCCCACCCCTTTGAGATAGTTCAAGACGATGCTAACAGAGCTCTTACAACGTAACAGGAGATGCATTGGCCCAGTGCCTGCAGGAATCAGAGTGTATCATGATCCAACGACGCAGCCCGCGAGAATGCCTCAGCTCTCCATATGCCGAAGAACTGCCCATGAAATGCCAACAGTTGCGGAAAGGATTCAGCGAGTGCAAGTGAGTCACCTGGTCTGCTTGAATGGCTTCAGCCAGCCTCAGGGGTGAATATACGATTCTAATGCTATGTTCTTCGGTTAGACGTGGGCTGATCGATATGCGCAAACGTTTCCGCGGTAACCAACCCATTTCGGTATCCAACGAGGGCCAGTCCTCGAAATCCGGACAACTATATGCCGGCAAGCCGGCATTTGAAACGGTCAAGGAGATTAGTGGAGATGAGGTGCAGATGGACCCTGAGAAGACAAGGGGGCTGTGAGTGAGATATCCGGACATTGGATTTATCGTGATTGAGATTGATTGCACGAGCCATATAAATGGAGTTTGATCTGTTCTTTATTGCCTTGGCATGGACGGGAGTTGAAATGGTCGATTTTTGAAAGTTTGGATGTATATCTAAGATCCGATGTATGCTTATCAGGTGATATTACAGCTGTACATATTGAATAGACTTCCCTCTATCATCCACCCTTTCCCTCGCCTACTATGGCTATGGAAGAGCTCCACGATTCTCAGGCATCAATGGCCAGCGGGAAGCTTGTCTAATAGGAATCTTCATTCAAACAATCATTGATAAACACATTACTTACTGCGTCTTAGTCGCTTGCGCAGCAGTCGAAGGTGGAGCAGAGTAGAGCCACACAACCACAAAGGTCAAGAATCCGCCGATAACAGACCACAGGCCAGCAATCCAAACCCATCCTCCGGAGATCCTCCAGCTGCGGGGATACTCATCGTGGGCATAGTGGCGGACAGTTACTTCGTGCTTTTCTTCAATGTTGGTGAAGAAAGGACGCTTGTAGTTCACACGGAAAGAGAAAATTCCATGTTGGTCGGGAATAGTAAAGCGGGTGCTATACACGGTGCTATTTTTAGTTCGGCGAGAGGGTTGGAGATCAAGGCGGTGGAAAGGAGAGAGCATGGTAAATTCAAGCTGTAGGGCGTCATTGGAAGGAACTTCGAATGGCACGAATCGGTCGTGGTCGTACTCGGAAATTTCGATGCTGAAAACCTGTGGAAAAGCACGTTAGCAGAGACTTGCACCGCAGTCCATGATCATAACGTACTGTATCATTCTTAATACGGTAGATCTTGGGGTTGAGCTCATCCGCATCAATATCCCCATCCTTGGCGAGGTGGTGCTCAATTTTGCCAACCTTGAGAACCCCGGTCTCCTTGAAAGTCCAAGCGGTGAGCTGTTTGGCAAACTCCCTGTTGACGGTCTTGGTTTCTTTTCTGTCACCCGGCGCCTTCACAATCGCAGAGAACCACTTGTCTTGGAGACTATCCACGGATCCTAACAGGGTAAAGCGGGCAGAGTTTCTAGCTTGCATGGCAGAGACGAGCGCCAGTTGAGAGCCGGTAGCCACAACATCCTCTACCGAGGGCGAGTCGTCTTTCGGGTTGTAGCTGTAAGTGGTCGCCGGGGCGCGCAGGATAGGCGCAATTAGTGAGCTGGAATCACCCAGAGTATGAGGAGAAGCCGTCGGCAATGCTAGGACACCTTCGCCATCGAAGAAAGCCTTGGTATCAGGTCTTAGCTGGCCCGGCCGCTGAAGAAGTAGAACGTCATGCTTATCCGCGGCAAAAATGGTATCATAATTGAAGTGGTCGATGGCGACTGAGGAACGGTCCGAGGACAAATGGAGATCAAGCTCCAGAAGGAGGGAGCTGATAGCGCTGGGTGTTGTGGACTTGCCGGAGAGGGCGAGGAGAACATTGCCCTCCTTGCTCATAAAGTCGACGATGTTCTTGGGGGTCAACGAAGGTCCAAATCCTGCTCCACATGGTCAATTGGACTGCACTAGGCAACCTGTAGCGTAATCTTTCAGGGAGGCCGCGAACCTTTAGACCGAGGAGGAAGTATCAGGAGGTGGTCGTATGCTTTCTCTCCATACTCAAACAGGGAAAACCCCTTGTCCTTGGGGGACTTAAAGAAGAGGTTATAGCCTCGCCCTATGGGGAACTCGCTCAGCATAAATTCTTAGTACATTTGAAGCCCTACTAACCTTCTAGATCGCTCCAGAATGTCGAATATAGCTCCTTGTCTGCGGCATCTTCCAGAATCACCGCTAGACGATTCCCAGAACTACTCAAGGCATGTGTGATGGCCAAAAAGCAGAAAAGAAAAAGGGACACGCACCACCGCATCTTCGAGAAATCCGCACAGCGGGGCGGAAGGATGACGGACGAGGGTATCACCAGGAGGAAGAATGGAGCAAATCAGAGAAGAACGACAAGCTAGAATGCCGGAGTTGGTCGATGAGGTCGGAAGAAACCCATCTAAATTGGCGACGTGTTTGGACTGGATGCCAAGACCCGCTCGCCGCTCCAACATCGGCTGTCGTCACTTTCAAACTCCATTCTTTCCCCTCTCGTCGCAACTTCGGCCTCTTCTTCTCGCTGTTATCTGGATCTCGTCGAATTGTACGACATCTTCAATTTCATAAATTGGTATTTCTCCCTCCCCTCAATTCCCTACTCCGTTTTGTCCTGTCCTCTCTAATCTCCGCAAGAAGTTTCTTTCCGCACCCCAATTTCCTGTCTTCCCGCCTGTCACAATCATGACTACTCCTCAATTCTGGTCGACTCCTCTCCGTTACCTCCGCTGGGCGTCGCATGAAAAGCCCGCTATCTTCTATGCCCTCGTGACGGGTGCCATGGGTCCGGTCTTCCTAGTGACCCTGCCTCCGATCAGACGGTACTTCGGCGATGTTGACCCGGAACCCGTTCCCTTGACATATCCCAGTAAGGACTCTGGATTTTACCATCTACCGACTCGCCTTGGCATCCCGGTCCCTCCTATATCATGATGCTGACGTCCGTGCTTCGCGACTTTAGTTCCCCAGGGACCTCGGGTTATTCCGCAAGGTTACGATGACAAGTGATTGCTTTGTAGACCTTTGCATCGAGTAGATTTTTGTTCAGATTTGGCTTATTTCTGTGTATTTAGCTGGGAAATTAAAGGACAATTCAAGGACCTTTTCAGTGGCGCAACGCATGACATTCATCAATATATCACGTGCAGCTGGGGTCGGGTCGGGGAGACCCAATTTGTTCCTGGTTATCTTGTTATCTCTCCATATTTGTCGTCACTATGCCTATGTCCGTCCAGTCTGGATCCGTCTACGTTACTGTTTATTATACATGAAGGATGAGTATAAAGCGAAGAAGTACGCCATTTTAATCTGTTCCCTATTGCAATGCAACCACTACTACTGTCAACAAGATTAATGTCTGCATGGAGAGCAGAGTATATAGACAGCAAAGAGGTAGGAACCTGTGTGAGGTGAGGATGGAGAAAGAAACAGAAAAAAGAAGTAGAAGACAGGTAAAATAGAGGGAAAGAAAACCTGCCCAAAATGAACCCTCATTGCAGATATTCTAAATCCGGGGTAACAAATCCCCTCATATGATTCTTGGTCTCAGGTAATTTGTTCTCGAAATCTCGCGCTTCGTTGCCACACATGCGAAGAAGCAGATAAAACCGTGCAAGGCTATCTCCTCTGGCATGACTGCGCACTGGCAGCTCTGGTACGATAGAACACTGTACCATAGGAATAGTGGTAGTCTCTCGCTACTTCATGCAATACGCTGACGGGGGAGTTCTACCACATAGCGGTTTCATTGCCATAGTATGTGTCCGATCCCCAGTCCCTATCATTATACATTACAAAAGGAAGATAATTAAAGTCAAGTTTTCTGTGGTTTTCATGTTCTCCAGATATTCATCAGTCGCTTCTATGAGCTCACGAGCATAGTCCGGTAGCAGAGTAACTTGCTCACGACCTTCGTCTGCTGGCGTGCCATTTCCCGACCAAAGTGGATTATTGAACCATACGTTTGAATTCGCGCGAATGGTGCCGAAACACAGTGGAATGAAGCTGGTAAATATTAGAAACGATTGAAACAACGGAAATGTTGAAGTCCCAATAAGGATGGAAGATCAAGGCTGTGGAGTCCTTCCGAAAATCATAATATCCGTCCCAAATGGAAGCAAATAATATGGATAGAAAGAGGATATAAGGAAAGAGAGAATGGAGAAAGTTGAAATAAGACCTTCCAGTAGACAAAGTGGATGCAGAGTTTTCTATAAAGATGGTATCCAGTAGACAGTTCCTGATGTGGAATAGGTAGTGACCAATGCGTTGGCAAAGTGTGTCAGCAGAAAAATCCAGTGGCTCAGGATCCATTGAATGATAGATCGGAATGTGCATGGCACTGTGCTTTCGATAAACTGGCAAACATCAATAAATTTAGAACAATTCTGAACCTTTAAGTAGCATAGAAGACATCGAAAACCCAGAATGACAACGCCATATATGCTCATATCTACAAATAAATCATAAACATAACTGTATAGCATCAAAGCCCCAAGCTGGCGAATCCCATAATCAGTTGGATGCCTCCATCAGACTCCACGCGAAGAAATGGTTGTACCTCAAAATAAAATGCCAGAGGTAAGTAAACAGGCGAAACAGAATACCACAACCAGTTCACCATGAAATAGCTCCAAGCGGGAATGAATTTCGGGCGAGAGAAAAAAGTAGCAACCAGGACCGGCATTACAGAAAAAAAGGCTAGAAAACAAAACACTAAAAAGCCACCCTTTCATAACCCCATCATTAAAGGATCTCCGAGTTGGTCAATCTTAATTATTAACGCTATAATAACCTCTCACATCACATGAATGGGAGTAGTGGTCAGCCCACATCATATACCAGCCGGCTAATACGTGCGGGAGCGTTTGCCCAGTTTCAAGTATAGCCAAGGATAATTCGAGTGGCATCCAGGTTAAATAATATCCAGGCGTCCAAAAATCTGGCTCCGAAAAGGTTGCAATTTGGGTCCGATACTAGACATGCTTTATCCGGTTTGATGTCCAGAAGGCTAAAATGATGAAAGATTTTTTTAAGGTATGCGAGGAATTTCCGAGGCGAAAAATGTTTGCGGGTTGTATGGTTCATCATTTCCGAGGTCTTCTTCAAGAAGACGGGATCAATGTGTCTAATCCTTGGAGCTCACAAAAACAGAAAGGAAATGGATTTTTTTATTTTTATTTTTATTTTTTTTTGCTCTACCGGGGTCGGCGTGTGGTATCCCTCTCCCTAGCTGGCTGTGGTCTATTGCGGTCCGAGTATGCCGACTCCGGGGTATATCTTGGGTCTATCCCTCCTATCCGGGGGTCTGGGGCTGTAGTGGCAGGATAAGCCATTCCGGAAGTAGCAGGGGAATATTCCGATTCGGGTTCATAGCCAGGACCAGGGTATCTTGGGGCATTGTTTCTCCCGTTTTCGTAGCCATAGCCAGTAGTGGTCGTGTATGTGTAAGTTGGGTGCATCTCAGTAGTAGACACTGGGGGCTGGCTTGGAGCAGAGTAAGGAATCTGCTGAGGGGGGTATGGGTTTTGGCCAGGCCCTCCAAAGGGGGAGTGGTTCGAAGGATATGATGAAGGGGGTGGATACGGGGGGCTGTGTGTCTGTTGGTACCCCGCCTGAGCATATGGGTCCACGTACGACTGAGTAGGTGGTGCAGAGTAGGTAGGTGGAGGGGACGGACCCTGGGTCTGGCGCCCTTCGTGGATCGCTGATGATGCATAGTTTGCTGGAACTATGTTAGGTGGCTGGGACACACTGTAGTCATGAATGTAACTACCTCTCGGATAGCCTTGGTCAGCTCGACGTATCACATCTGCCTCCCACCGAGCGGAATCGGCTTTGAGATCAGCAATCATTTCCTGGATGGAAAATTAATCAGCTCCGTCTTTTAAACTAACGACAGCATTTTACGCGGTTAATTTCCACTTACAGAAGTGAGGTTCCGGTAGGCACGGATGAAATAACCCTGGCGGCCCTGTTCACATAAAGTCAGTAACGGAGTTCAGCATCAGAATTTAGTTAATTGATAGACTGGGTTGTCATTGGTACTAGTAAGGAGACAACGGTGGACAGACATTATGGTTTCCGGGTCTTACGAGCGCATCATTTCCAAGATAACGGCAAATATCTGCTTGGATAACCTCCCGGCTGATACCATCGCCGGGAATAAAATACTCGTTTTGACGCTCCGGGCGTACATCATATCCATGGCGTCCAGTCATTGTGTCCAGGGGAAGGTCCAGTATTAAGGCAGTCTAGTAAACGGGTCCAAGTGGCCACCACGAAGTCCTGGGTAGAAAAGCCGAAAGGGTCCAGATATGGGAGGTGACAGGAGAATAGCTCTCCGAAGGGCTGGCTGGAAGAAGAAATGGCACAAGTACAGTTCTAAAACGACCACCTTCCGGGAACTCCAAGGCTGATAATCAAGGCTAAAATCTGACTTTTTGTTTGATCCCAGAATGTAGCATAAAAGGTGTAGAGGTTGAATCCAAGAACCCTTTTCTCTCTGGATTTTCCCCAGCGAGGAAAGAAAAATGAGAAAAATTCGGGCGAGCGCGTTATTGTCCGGAGTTGTCAACCAGTACTTGGTTCAGAATCCTTAGGGAAATTTCTTCCAGTAGAAACCAAGGTGGCAACGACAGGACAGAGTTTTAAAAAAAAAAAAAAACAAATTCGAGTTGATGAACAAGATAAGAAAGCCCCCAAGAAAAATTAGGAGAAAAGGATCAAAAGGTAAGAGGAAAGCAGGATTTCAGAGAGGGCACCAGGGAAGGTTCTTGTGTGGGCACAATCCGCCTTTAACCGCGCTCTTCACTCTTCAACGCTCCTGTCTGTGCCTCTTTAGAACTGGCGAGAGATGCCAGGGTGGGGAATGAGAGAGAAGAAGAAGGAAGGGAGAAGGGGAGGAAGAAGAGGTAGAAGAAATCTGGATGAAGACGAAGGGAAGATAAGAAGAGAAGAGAAGAGAGAAAGTGGAGCCGGGGGGGGGGGAGTAAGAAAGGGCAGTGGGTTGTTTGGTTGTTGATTGATTGAAATGAATGGGGGAAGTGAAAAGGCGACTGGACGACGCGCGGTTGGCTCTTTGGGCTGTTGGGCCGGTTTTGGGCTGCCTGGCTCATGTCTGGTGCCACGACTGACTCCACCCCAAGGATGATTAGACGACCGGGAGCACAATGAAGGTGACTGACTGCAGTGGAAAGCATGCATGGACTAATAGGGCTTAGGCGCCAGAATGAGAGGAGTCAGTGGGTGGGAGAAGAGCAGGGGATTTTCTGTCCCTAGCCGTCTGCTTCTTGTACATACATACACATACATGATGGAGATGGGCTATCCCATCACCAAGTTCATCCTAATATAATAATAATAATAATATCTGAAGAATAAAGGCCAATTGAATGTCATGGATGAATAAAATATCTCGAGAGTTATCGCACCTAGTAAAACAGGCATATACATAAAGAGATTTATTTTAAAAAATGTACAGATCAAAATTTGCTATCCTATCATTAGTAGATCGTATGAAACCATCCAATTTTCTTAGAAATCTAGGGAAGAAAATCCAACTTGGAGGGGGGAATCTTCAGCCTGATCTATCAATCACACCCCATTATTGACCATTGTAGCCTCACGGACTGCTTTCTCTCCACTATTCCAATCTAGGCGAGGTTGGTGCTTCAAATAGTGTGGCAATAAAAGCCATCATCGTCGAGTGTCTTAAAAGACGCCAGATGTCATTTTGTGTTCGTCCTAGTCTTGATCCGATGACTCAGCCAAAGACTCACGGCAAAATGGAAGACTTCGAAAATCTTCTGGTGGTCAGGTTACACACTTAAGCTGCTGCTGTATGTAGCATGTATATCCTGTGTATGGTTTGAGGGTGAAGGGCGGTGCTAATTAAAATTCGAGGAGAGAATCTCCTTTGGAAAATATCTCCGATGGAGACGAGCGTATTTATTCTACTATTATTATTATGTTGAGAGGTTAGTTACGCAGAACAGAATTCCTGTATCTTCAGCGTCAAGGCCCTACTGTGAGAAAAAAGTGCACCAAGAGTACATGCTTGGCCAGCGAGGACGCCATAGTTCCGAGGTATCCAGGTGAGCAAGGAAGTACCTTCACTACCCAAAATAATCCTGCGTCACAACCCAGCATCGTGTTTTGGTTGCCGAAGCACTCCCAGCCAGTCAGATCGACGGTACTTCCGAAGCGCGCAGGAGCAATGGCAGGTTGGGCAGAAATGTGTGGCGGTTTTGGGCATTCATCCGCTGTTGATACTAGCGCTTCAGGTACCAGGTACCACAGTGTCTGATTAGTAAGGCCTCGTACCTTGGTTCGCCTCTGCATGAATGCATGAACCAAGATTACTGCTGGAAGTTGTTCATATATCCTGCTACTATGGAGTAGCAAAACTGCTAATGATAATTACAAATGGTAATGATACCGGGCAAAAAGAATGGGAAATTTTCCTTATTCAATGCTCTAGCCAAAAGCTAGAAAATGAATTTTCCAAGGAATATCTGTAGATAACTAACTTGGATAATGCGTCTTACTCATATCCATTACTTCGAGATTTCGCAGCGGTGTTTTTGATGGACCTAGTCACCAAGGTAAGAGAGACTCCTCCGTAAGTAAGGTACCTGGTACCTTTCTCTAAGTAGTATAACCAGTATAACCACCGAACACACTCGGCCACTTGCATGATCGGCTTTCTCGTTTTCCACCTTTTCTTTTTTTGACTTATGATGCGGGTTCGAAGACTACTAACCTTCTCGATAGAACCCAAGCCCTCAAGCTTCCTTCGAAATCTTGAAATATAATTTGTTGTAATACCTAATATCTTTTCATCCCCGCTAGTAAGCCACAGTTTCTGTACAGAGTACTCCATACTTTTACATTGGAGATTCAGGATTTTCCAACCCGCCCCTTCCGATCCCCATATTTACTGTTTCAAGAATGATACCTATGTACAGCGGTGAGCATCCGAACTGTGGACCCATCTCAAGTACCTATTGCTCGAATGATATTAGTACAGGTGTCGTCCTTCCGCTGCATGGTCTCCTTTGGTAATTGTATCTTAATCTAGCTCTCTCGCTAAAGGTAATCAAGGCGGCAATCCAAAGCAAATGAATGGTTCTCATTTGTACAAATTCCCGTTCCTTAACCCCATCCGTCATACCTTGCCAGCATATCCTAGTGACAAGCGGGTGGAAACGTTATACAAAGAAGACGGCGGCAATATGACAGACTATTAGGTGTTATCACGTCAGTATCCACTTAATGCTAATACTTAATTAGTATGGAAATCCATCGGACAGCTAGTGCATTCCTGGCTCTTCATCTGATGTGATTGAGAACCAAATGCCATTGACTGTACAAGTCATTGTGACTGGACACCAGACTGGCCGCTTCTGGCCTGATTTTGATCGCAAAAGGCGCTAAGAGCGCATCCTACATGGTCTCTTAGGCATGTGGGTACAGCATTGATTTATTCGAACAGCTTCTTTTGTTATATAGAAAAAAGTCCCCTGGCTGAGACTAGTTTGTCTGCTTTATTGTAGCCCCCTGTGCTACTTGTCCAATTTTCTCCCCTTGAGCTGATGCTCCAAGAGAATATTAAAAGGTTTGTTGGCAATATTTTAATAGATACCTAATAAATATGGTATTAAATTTGAACATCTGTGATTGATACTATAAACAATGAAATAAGAGAATTTAGATGATCAAATCAAAGTAAACAAAGGCAAGCATATATTAGTTAAGAGGCAAAAAGAAGAAACAAACAAGCCAAATATCATTGAATGCCTCACGGATATGGCATAAAATAAGCTAAACCTCTTTTGTCACTAGTCCCAATTGCAGTAGAAAGTAACGCAAAGCACAGACTCCGTTCATTTCACACCTAAGTTCTGGAAGGGCCACTGTCTTCTTGTTCCATGTCTAAGAGTTGGATTGCACCATGACGATAGAATCTCCTCATTTGGCATGTCGCGCTCGTCTCCGGAACCCTTCGTCGCATCGCCTTCGCCCCCAAGTAATTCCTTGAAGCACCACTCGCGCCATACCTATCGTCAGCTACAGCTTCTCCGCCAGAGTTCGACAGCCTCCCGCCTTCGAGTGATTGCTCACATTGATCTTGATGCTTTCTATGCACAATGTGAGATGGTACGCCTCCAAACACCTCGGGATGCACCCCTCGCCGTGCGGCAATGGGACTCCCTCATCGCAGTTAATTACCCCGCCCGATCCTTTGGAATCACACGAATGATTTCGGCTAAAGAGGCCAAGAATCTCTGTCCCAATATTATTCTACAACACGTCGCGACTTTTCGGGAAGGTGAGGGTGGAAATTGGGCCTACAGGGACGATGCGTTTCGCAGAATGAATATAGACAAAGTCTGTCTAGATCCATATCGGGCCGAATCTCGCAAAATTCTAAAAGTGATGAAGGAGGAATTAACCAGATGGCATGAGGGCTTGGTCGATGCTGAGAACGGCGTGGGTCCTCAATTTCAAATACAACCGGCCAGTCTAGAGAAAGCAAGTGTTGACGAGGTTTTCATTGACCTGTCACCGTTAGTCTATGGTGTCTTGGTTCAGAGGTATCCTGAGTTACGTATTGAGAATCAGGGCGATGACCGGATCACACCATTGCCTCGCCCGCCAACAACAGCACTAGAGTGGAAGCCAGAAGACAGCTTAATAGATTTGAATGAAAACGAGACAGAATTTGATGATCCTGACTGGGATGATATTGCGATGCTAATAGGATCTGAGGTGGTTCGGTCCATCCGAGATGCTGTTTGGGAGAAGCTCAGCTATACCTGCTCTGCTGGCGTCGCCAGAAACAAGATGATGGCCAAACTGGGGAGCTCCACCAACAAACCGAACAAGCAGACCATCGTACGGAATCGCGCAGTGCAAAATTTTCTTGGCGGGTTTAAGTTTACCAAAATTAGAATGCTTGGAGGTAAGCTGGGGGATCAAGTTTCTGCTCATTTTGGGACGGAGCAAGTAAGCGATCTCCTAGAGGTTCCCCTTGAGCAACTTCGGGCCAAGTTAAATGATGATACTGCTGCATGGCTATACGGTATCATCCGTGGAGATGATAGGAGCGAAGTCAATCCGCGAACTCAGATCAAATCCATGTTATCAGCAAAGTCCTTTAGACCTAGCATCAATTCCGTCGATCAGGCAGATAAGTGGCTGAGAATTTTCGCAGCGGATATATATGGACGTCTTGTTGAAGAAGGAGTGCTTGAACACAAACGCCGCCCGAAGACTATTGCTTTGCATCATAGACAAGGCAGTCAGGTCCGTTCCCGCCAAAGTCCCATTCCTGGCTCAGCCGTAATCGATGAGGCACTTCTATTTGATCTCGGAAAGACACTGCAGCGACAGATCGTGGGGGATGGACGTGCATGGCCTTGTGCTAATCTATCTTTGAGCGTTGGCGCTTTTGAAGATGGGGTCTCGAAAAATCAGGCAATAGAATCCTTTCTCCTTCGCGGAAAACATGCTAAACGTATCGACCATAGCACTCGAGAACTTAAAGCAGATGAGCCGTCAGAGACCCAAGAACCAAGCGAAAAGCGAAGGAAAATGGATGATAACAGCATAAAGCGTTTCTTCGCTGGTACCTGTATAAGGCCTCATTCAAATAATCACGAATCAGCTGCACCAGATATGGAGAAAGACTTGCCAGGGGAGTCTTCTCCGGGGCCCCAATCGCCCCAAACCTCCATAGGGGTTTACACCTGCAGTAGATGCGGGAAATCTCGCTTAGAAGCTGAAAAGGATGAGCACGATGACTGGCACTTTGCTAAAGATCTGGAGAGCCAAGATATGCAAGCAGCAAAAAGTTTCTACCAGACACAGCGTCCGTCCGGCACTGCGAGCGTGCCCATTGCTCGTGGTAAGGGTAGCCGTAATAATCGCGATAAACCAGAGAAGGGGCAGATGCGACTCAATTTCGGATAGCCATGCAGTTGTTTCCCTTAATTTCCTTAAACGCCTTTCACCAACCAGACCGGGAAGAGTTGACTTTCAACCTGCCATGTACATGCACGGTGGCTATTGAAGTAAGCATCCTATGGGGTCCGATCAACTGCGAATGATGCCCTACATAAGGCTCGCATGAGACAACATCTCAGGGATCGCAGTCAAGGTCCGAATAACTTTGTAGGAGCTCCTTTTAGAGACCAAGATATATAACTTTCGCTACAATTTGGGTCATAAGAATAGTTGTGCTGGGACTCGATTGTGCCTGGGGCTTGTCTAAAGGTCAGTCATTAACATAAATTAGTGGAATTTCTACATTGGAATCAACTGAATTGTCTCTAGGCTAATCAATATTTCTCTGTGTTTTGATCCGAAATTAAAGAGAAGCAACGATGATGATGACCATCTCGAACAATATAACGTAGTCGGACACCGAGCGGCGCATGACACCGAGGGGCACGCCACTCACCGCTGCTCCTAAAATATTCAAACATCTCAGTATTTGAAGCCTTTTTGTCTTGATTTTTATTAATATTATCAAAATACATGCTTTTCCAATGATGAGAGAATGAAAATCGTTATCAATGCATGGAATAAGGACAAATTCTCATCTAAAACTGCCTGTGCTAAGGCATTGATATCTCTCCACGAACTTCTTCTTTATCAACTTAAAGGAAGAAGCAACCGCAATAATATTACTGCTAATGCCCGGAAATTATCCAATCTTGAAGAGAACACCTTAAATGGATTATTGATATGGCTGAGCGCGGTCTGCCTCCACAAAACTTCCAAGTTCAATATCTTGCTGGTCTTTTAATATCTGCACGTCAAAAGTCTTCATCGTCATCCCAGGCCTCTATCTCAGATCTAGTTAGTAATAAATAGGTTAATCGATTTATTTGATGCCAAGATGATATTAAGTCAAGATATAATTGTCGATATGACTACCAGCGGGTGAAGTGTGAAGATCCACAGGTTATCCAGGACTGGTTTCCATTGGTTCAAAATACTAAACAAAAATATGGTGCTTTAGAACAAGATATCTACAATATGGATGAAACCGGCTTCCAAATAGGCGTGACATTAACAGCAAAGTTACCTACGGCACGAAAACATGCAAATCTAACATAAGATTAACCCAACCAGGGAATAGAGAATAGATTATATTAATTGTGACTGTTAGAGCAAATGGTTGGGTTCTACCCCCTAAGATTATTTTTGCTGCTAAAAAACATCAATCTTAGTGGTATTCTGTTCTACTTAAAGATTATCAATTAATTAATTAAGTCTTAGCGAGAATAGCTGGGCTAATCTGGGACTTAATAGCTACAAGAAGTTTTTTTACAAGCATACAAGATCTTGCACTGTTGGTTAATATCAATTGCTTATTTTAGATGGCCACGGGAGCCATGCAACTGTTGAATTTGATTAATACGGCATAGAAAAGTCAATTATTCCAATTTGTCCTTATTTATCTCACCTTTGTTAGCCGTTTGATGTTAGCTGTATTCCACATTTAAGTCGCTATTATAGCCAAAACGTGCAAGAAATAATAAATAGTGGTATTAAAACTATTAGTAAGGTAGATTTTCAATCTATCTGTTTATTAGTTCACTCAAAAGCAATGTTAATATCAAATATATTAAGTGGATTCAAAGCTACTGGCCTTATTCATCTTAATTTTTTAACAGTAATATTAAAGCTGAAAATCAAGTTAAACATACCAACTCCACCATATTCTGCGGGCAGTAATCAGTTATTTTACTTGGGGAAAAAAACCTTATAATCTCTGTCAGTTAAATTGATAAAAAGAGCAACTTCCTGAAATTTAAAACCAAGGCTTTTTTCAATCGATTGCTGATACTTTGCTCGAAAAAGCTATAAAAGGCAATAAAATTGCTATGCAGTAAAGAGCTTTGCTGAAATATACACTTTATCAATGTCAGGTAGCTAATAAGTACCAGGAAAACAAAAAAAAAAAGAAGCGCCTAGACAGTTTATTTAGGATAGAGGCAGTCTAACTGCTGAGACAACATACGAAATAATTGGGGAGAAGGTGGCAGAGATTCAGGCCAAGGCCCAGGCACCCAGGTAGCGCAAGCCCCCCTACATGCAGTAATTGCAATACTCAGGGCCATAATCAATTAAAATGTCCTACAAGATACTTCCACAGCTTATTTTTATAATATATTTCATTTGTACGGAGATGAAAGCTACGAAAACTATCTAAATTAAGAAGCAGGCGAGGGAATGGTGAGGGTCGGGCCGCTTGGTGTCATGCACTGCTCAATGTCCGACTACTTTATAAGTTATTTTCTTTCCAGACTAAATACGTGGAAGAACTAAGTACTACCATGGTTCCAATCCACCTAAGTTTATCTCGGTCCTTAAATTTGTATACATTTCTCTCATGGTGGATTACGGCGAATTGTTGATATCTATGACTCTTCATTATTATGTTCCTTCTGGTACAGCGGACTTAAGTCCTGGGTTCAGTAGAAGCGCTTCCGAAGAGCTGCAGCGTGACATCAGCAGGACACCGCCGCGGGGTCAATTGTTTTACACTCACCAGGTTAAATTCTTCAGTGCAATATACACACTTGTCGCACTCCCTTACTACGATATTCTTGCTGGGATGCGAATCCCTCGATATTAGCTATTTTTATCCGTGAGATCCCACTGTCTTCGTCAGCTCGACTGCTGATTCTTTAAAAGTGGTCCGCATAAACCGTTTGGGGCGATAATCCTAGCCTCTCAAGAACGCACCCAGTAGAAAAAACCAGCCATCAATTCTTGCTCGACTCTCCACACTCAACATTGAGTCAATTGGCCATTATCACTGGCCTGAGCAATACTATAATATTACATACGCAACATGCCGCCACTGTCTCGTGCCCGGGAGTATGACGAGGATTTATACGATTATGACCGAGATCCATACCCCCGCAGATCTAGGCGGGGTCGGCGTCAGGAAGAATCCATGAGATATAACATTCGAGCACCTAGCCCGCCCCTGCCAATTGAGGAATTCGAACGTCTCGATGTTCGAGACCGTTCAGCGCCCGAGTTTCTTCGCGAGGACTTTGACTCCCACAGAGACCGTCGGCCTCTTCCTGCCAGGCGCGAACATAATGGTATCGGAGCACCGCCGCGCGAATTGGCGAGGGAATTTGAGAAGGCCAGAGGCGAAGCTCGCAGGTATCGAGGACACCCACATCCAAAAGAAGTGTTTCGGGAAGATGATTATATCTCTCAAGAGGAACCAGAACCGGAACCGGAGAGGTTTCATATGGAAAATGATACGGATGGAGTTCTCCCCATTCAGAGAAAAGAACAGTCATTGCCCCGGCGTCACTACGGTATCCAGGAAGAGTACATTCCGCGCAGTAGAAGTCAGAAAGAGGACAGGAGGATGCGACGACCGAGACTCGAAAAAGAGATTCCTCCTAGAAGGGTGGAAGTCAGAGGTGACCCAAGGGACCAGCATCACCACCACAGGGCTTCTCAATCGCATCCGGCATTTGGGTATGAAACGGAGATCTATGATTCTACTGATGAGGATGTGGAGGTGATGCGAAGAGGAAGACGAAGGGTGGACCCCCCAGGAAGAGATAGGCCCGAGGAAGACAATTTGTTTATCCAGGACTGGGGGATGCCATATTCGTCTGAGGTGGAAGATCCCAGATTTCCTCCCCCAGTTCGCATGTCTCTAAACCATCAAGATTTTGACTCAGAACATCGGCGTATCCGTGAAGGTAAGGACGGACACTTGGACATTCTGCTCAAGCCACAAGTATTCATTTATCTACAGAGTATCCAATGCCTCGAGCACCCCGTCCACCAAGCCCCGAAGTCAGCTTTGAGAAGCCGAAACGCCGTCATCGGTAAGGGCCCGAGACGAAATATCCATGTCTTCACTTAATGGTATGTTCTAATTACCATTCTAGCAAGGAGAGCGGCGGAAAGAGCCCCCAAGAAGAGAGAATCATTGAAACAAGAGGTAGGGAAGATTCCCCGATTCCAGTACATGACCTATCCCCGGAGCCCTTAAGTATGCAAAAAGACGATATTGCCATACCTCTTTCCCGGCCGAGATCCCTAGAACGCGAAAAGGATGTATTTATGCATGGGGATGAGCATGAAGATGGAAATACAGTCGAAAAACGAGAGAGTTTGTCAAAGAAATCTATGATGAAGGGACGCATGAAATGCCTGGAACTGCCGCCAAAGACATGGCAGAAGATTGGGCAATCGTCAATGCTTCCACCAACGCAAGAGATGCCACACGGGATGATAACCCGGGCATCAAACTGCCACAGAAACTAGATTGGAGATCCAAGTTTACTATGAGCGATGAAAGGCTATCTGATGGAGACGCAGACTATGACCGCGGAAAGATAGGACGGCGATACGTCGGGGTTAAAGACCGACGAGAACGTCTCTGGACAGAAATTACGAAGGATCTCGTGGTGAAAGAGGCAATTGAACGGATGGGGTTCGAGTGTGAAGAAACCGTATCGTCCTATTACATCTTCTCATATCTTCAATACGTGAGTCTCTCGCTATTTCAGCCCTCGAAGTAGTGGCCCACGCTAAAACCTCTGGGCGCAGGATGATGTGTCTGCCCTCGTTGAACTGTCCGAAGACATCCGTCGGGCACGTCGTCGCCGGATCCATGAAATGGAGCTCCAGCGGGGCTCGATGCACCCTGCCCCTGTGGCTGTTCCGGACAAACAGGCCCCGTTGCTACTGGATAGGCCTCTGTCTCCTCCGCTTAGGTCACGGGAGGGTCGGAAAAGCAGAGAGCGAGAATTGGCGGAAGGCCGTGGAAGGCCGCGCTTCGGACGTTGATAAATTTTGGCGGTGTTGCACTGAGTTCCTATAACCAGGCTATCTTCATGATACCTGTTGAGTATGAATTTATGATTGAGAAACGGAAATATATCAAAGCCATTAACTGAGCATATTGCCTTGTGAATTCATCCTCGAGAAACCACGCCAAGCGACTGATTGAATGGAATGGTCGTCACATTGTGGACCGGGCATTACGAAATTGATATACCTACAGTACCAGCAGCGCCACGTCAAATACCTAGGCACTGACCGTGTACTTTGACAATAGTCAGTATCCATAAACTCTTATTTGCTATAGACTCCAAGCACATGTTAGAGGCATGCAATTAGTGTGGAATATTTGAAGTATGAACAGTGACATGGCACGGAGCATAGCACCGACTACAGCATGCACATGAGAACTACAAACCAAGCAGAGCTACGTACCTAGCAGCCCACATGCTCCATCCATTTCTGGGAATGTCTCATGTACGGTTCAAATCCCGCAGATGATTGGGTCTCGGGGCTTTGTTTTCCCAAAACAGCATGCAAGCTGAAGTGATATGCCTCTCGAAGGTACTCCGTACGAGAAGGTAACTATCTGAAAGGACTGCGCTTTATGAAAAATAAATCTTGTTTTGATGTATCTTTTGAAAGATTCTCTCTTGAGAAACATCTATGCATACAAGGACATTCAGCAGGAAATACCTAATAGGTTTCCCGTATGTAATCCGAGAGGCACAATCTCTCTACGGAGTATATACCCAAAAAAATATGCTAGATATATTTAACTATATATGACATCGAGATAGAGTATTTGACGTATACTCCAGTCATATTATTGTTTACATTGTACAATGAGGCTATCTAGAGGTCTTCGTACTCAGTTATGACAGAAACACACTTTAGGGTCCACTAAGGTACATACCAAATATAGGCAGGTGGAAATTACCATGACATTAAAAACGCCACCAAAATAATTAAGTTCCCACAACGATGCAACTTAACACACGGGATGAGACATATACATTTTGTTTTGATCTATTTTTATTGGAAGGAAGGGACTTGCTCAATTTATTTTATCTAGAGTGTGGTGAGCGTCAATAGTAGTCAATAGTTAGTACTAGAGACTCGAGAACACAATGCTGTTGATTCTTTTATTATCGTTTTTATATACACTGCCTATCCGTACCTCTTTGGGATATCCGCATATTTACCAAGTGCCGCGTGTTGCTATTGTGGATAAGTAATACAACCAGTACGGGATCGACAGTGGATTGGATTCCATCCCAATTGTGTCATTCAGCCACAGCTCTTCCTCTTTTTTATTTTTTTAAGAGCCTTGGCGACCTGGTATTGGATGGGGTGCTGATGGGTCAAGTAATGAATGCCCTAGGGATAGCCGTCTCTTCTATTCAGGAAATATGTGTACTAGATATTAGCGTACACGTATCAAGAAAAATGTTATAGTCATACATGGTATAGAGAGGCTGGAAGTTTCTATTTAAAATTAAAAGTAAGAGAACTAAGCTAATCTGGCATACTACTGTACTGTAGATAAAACAACCATAAAGTACAATGCCTTTCAATTGTGCTCCGTAATCAATTAACTAATGAGATAGCCTGGCATTTTTTGATAGTTTATGAAGTCTGGTGATCATTACTCAGAGATAGGATACCCTCCACACAACTGTAGCGAGGGATGTAGCTTCCATTCTATTTTAAAGTTGATAGCGGATTCTTTCGGCAGGAAAATGCCGAAGATAAATAGTTTAAACCAAGGGGTATATTCGTTGAATGCCAACTGCGCACCTAGCAACATTCTTTAGTACAAACCCGGGTAAATGGAGAGTCCACAACCATATTGCCTCCTCCTCGAAGATTACAACATCAAGGGTGGGGTTTTGGTTTTTTATCAGTTGGTGGAGGTCTAAGTCTTTGAATCGTCATCATCCGTCTTAGCTCGAAGTCAATTCTTGGGATTGGTGGGTCGTGCCGGTTTCATTGGTTCAGGATTGTGGCTGAATGTCTTTTCGTAGATACCCCTGCTGGTCAGTTTACTCCCTCAAAATAAGTGGTCAAGTAGCCTCAGGGCAGATGACCAAGCATCACGTCGTCATCCGACCGACCATGTGCTTGTGGATGAAAGCGGAGAATTTAAGAAATAGCGCGACCGATGGAGAGGACCGCACATCGGTGCGTCGGCTTGTTGTACGGAGTAGGTAAGGTAACCCTCAGTCTTCCCCTTCGTAACTGGGGTCTGTTTTAGAAAAAACAAGAAATATGACAGAAGATGTGAAAGTAATAAGTTGGACTGATCCTGGTTTACATACCACTGGATAGTCTGCTGGGTTTAAATTGCTTTCTATATTATGCAACATACAGTCAGTAACTATAAGCATAGAGTATGAGATAAACACATATTCCATGCTTGCTTTTTGAACTGGCAGTTCTTGAATAGTAACAGAAATATCTAATCCCTGTCGATGATTTCGCTTTTGCAAAAGACAGGGATGTTTAGTTTTGTACTCTGGAATCGGTGGTATTGTTTCACAATATTTGGGAAGCAGGATAAAGTTGGGATGTTTTCACCTACAGAGTAAAAGTCGGGTCTAGATCTATGATTAAGCAAGTTCAAACCAAATGATATGTACCTACATTGTGGCTCATGTATCCATGGTACGAAAAAGGAGCAAGGAATGTTCAAGTATACTGGAAAAATAAAATATTCTACCAAAGATTACTCATATTATTCTCCTCTTCAAGAACGATTTGGAGATCGTGTTATGTCGCTCATATGCTGTTCAACATGCCTCGCGGTCCGCGGATCCTTCATAATCCCATTCTGTTGCTATCCTTGGATTACCGGGACGTGGAGGCCAGGCTGAAACCACGGACCACTTCCATCCAAATTAATCGAACTTAGTAATCCTCGGTATGAAAATTAGTTCGTACATTTCAATCCCCGGCAGTTGGATATTGTAACTAGTGCTAGTCGCAATGCCAAGGAGAAAGAGGAAGGAGTCCATATTTATTAGCAAATCAAGGCATAAGCAATCTATATCATACACATAGCAATCCTATTCCGTAAATTGCACCGTATAATACATCCAACATCCTTCCATCCAAAAACTGCTCCTTCGGGCCAAAATCAGTTGTCGAGCTGACCCGTCCACCTGTCAGAATTTCAAGGATCAGAGGATGTCCTGTGCGATCGGGGATCCTCCAGCCTGGGTAATGTATGTGACATGTGGAATTTTTACTAGGGTACACAATTTTTGACCAGCCAAGCCGGATTGAAGGGCCAGATCTGCGACCGTCGCATTGTCTCAAACCCTAGAGTGCCCGGGTATCGAGTGGCTGAATCGGCAGATCTTTGGCTGAGAGATATGGTTGGTATGGGTGAGTATGTTGGTTGGTACGGGGCCAGTGGCTGAGGTTTGGTTGTGGGTGGGTAGTATTCGTTTTTTTCATACGTTGGAATACGACCATCCGCGAGTCAAACAAAGTGATGAGAACAAGGGAGTTTCATCAGGCCAGTCAGTAGTATGATGACATGGATTGTTGCAAAGCAACGGGCTGACAAGGCCGGTTCTAGCTGTAAGAATCGATTAGAGTTGTCTGCTACTCTATTTACTCTTTCCAGTGCTACTCTGATATGTTAACCTTCCATTTCGCCATCACTACGTTTTTTTTTTTTTTTTTTTATCACGATGTTCATCGTAAGAAAGGTACAATACTATGATCTACCTCGTTGGTAGCTAGGTACCTTAGTTCCATGGTAGAATACGATGAGCCTCGCCAATATTTTCCTGAGGTGGCGCCACACCGTCAGCATTCATACTGCTGACTACCTAAGTAGGTGAAGTCTCCTTCTGGTAGATCGGAATTATTATTTTGCCCAGGCCTTGTGGTATCATTGTTGTATCCGTACGATGGATGACGACCGAATCTTACCGTGTACACTACAAATACAATAATATTGGACAGATTGGATTCGGTCCCCCGTAAGAAGTACATATTTTTCTGCAAAGAAACTGTCCATCCGATGAGATGGATGCCTTTTCAGACTTAAAATTGCTTAATAAATTGCCAGCCCGCACATATCATTTAATAGAGGGCAGGCTTGCTGAACCAAGCGTACTCCCTAGTCAAGCCACTACGCAGATAATCTGTACACAGAACAGGCAGCCTTAACCAACAAGTTGTCTACCTAGGTAGAAGCCCCAATGCGCTAGACTAATTCGGGAGGTTCCTTTTCCAAGAGGGTATGCCGGTATTTTTGGTATGTTTTCTTTTCCCTCCATACTTTCTGCATACATTAGGAAGGACAGGGCGGCCGGTCGGCTAGGACATAAGGATAGCCATGATGGGGACATACATACACCGTACATACATCGTACATTAGTACCCTAAAGGTAGGTAGCATCTTAGCACTAGCATACCTGAATCCTAATTTAATTTCTTGGTCCAGGTTTCTAGAACGGTTACTGGCCGTGCTACGTGGTGGAACCGGGAATGACCCGCTGTGCCTCTATTATTATTACTACTCCTACTGATTCCGCAGCAGTGGTCATCACTCAACTGACAACTCTCCCCCATCTTGCTCTTGCCCAGCGGAGAAGTATTCTCCATCTCTTTCATTTCATTTCCCTTTGTTGTTGATTTTATTTTTCTGCCACTTTCTTTGTCACTGGGACTGTCCCTTTTATTACATTTCCTCTTACTCCTCGGACCGGGTTTTATTCTACGGCTAGAAGTGATGCATTAGACTCCTAACCCGGTGTCGTCGTTGGCTCAAACTACAAATGTCTCGTGCTCCCTTTCTTTGCAGCTAACACTGTATTACTTTTGCAATAAAGAAATTGGGGAAACATTAGTTGGATTTGCTTTTCTGGTATGACTTGCTCTCCTTAAACTATCGAAGCACTTTTTGTGTTTCTTGGACTCGTGGCTGATCGCATCAGCAATCAAGTATCCTTCGTTTTAAGTTGAGGATCTTCTACAGAACACCTACTCGATCACTCTGAAGTTAATCTCAACTCCCCTTCGACACATTTCTCGCCGGTGAAGCTGGGGATACTACAACCCCCTGGCCGTTAATATCCGTTTATTCTGGTTACCGATCGTAAATTTTGGGACCGGATCGGTGGTCCTCGAATATACTGTGAATTGATTTAATTCTGTGGATGTTTGGTGGGTCATTGCCCGTTATTGGATCGGTTGTCCAGGTCGAGACCTCGAATTAGTGTCTTAGTCGCAGACGGATTTGAACGATATCTTGAGACGAATCTCCGCCATGCTCTCCCATTTAATTTTACCAGTTTTTGTCTTGTTCGCGTGGCCGAGATCTGTTGCCTCGGAGTCAGATATCACCTATTGTTCGTCGGTGAACACGGGGGCATTAAATGATCCAAGTATGTGGGACCTATATTCATAAAACAACTAGTCCTCTCTAACGTTTTGCAGATGTCAGCACCTTTCAGTCGAATGGTCTCTGTACGGACCACTGCAAAAATAAGTGGGCATTTGGAATCCTCCAAGGCAAGAAATGCTGGTGTTCGAACATCGCACCAAACAAAGCCACCAATGTTGATGACAAAAAATGCAATACTGGATGCCCAGGCTATCCGGACGACAGCTGTGGGGATGCCGCTAAAGGCCTATTTGCCTATCTAGAGATGTCCGGCCAAATGCCCTCAGGAACAGCGACGGTGCCGGCCCCGAAAAGTACTAACGGGAAAGAAACCTCGGTCAGTTTTCTCTTATTGTCAATACAAATTTCTTCTCTTGAACTTCGCGCAAAGCCTTGAATACATGAACCCGGCATTTGTGAGATGATATGTTTCTACCGCTTGAATTTGTTGGATCTATGGAAGCAATGGACAACAGACATCTTTATACGATCTTGCCTGTATTGTCATGCATTTAAACGCCTTTCGATTTTATTATATGTTTTCTGCTTGAAACTGTTACTTCTAGCATCGATTCGGTTCTATGAGCTGACCAGCCTTTAGTCGAAATCCGACAGTTCAACCAACACAGCTCCTGGTCCTGCAACGACTGGGAGCACCGTTGAAACAAGTGTTGGCGGCGAGATAACAACAATAATCGTGCCAAATTCCCAGACAAACCCAACATCAACACCAGACACTTCCAAGAAAGGGGATGATTCAGGCATGTCCGGGGGCACTGTTGCTGGAGTCGTTGTTGGTTCTGTTGGTGGATGTGCTGCGATAGGAGCAGTTATTGTTATGTTCATCTTTGCAAAGCGTCGATCCCGTGCTGCAAGTCCCGACCCGAGCGTTCAAAACATATTGCTAGATGGAAGGACAAGCAAGGGTTCTCAAATGAGCTTTATGAAGGGCATGTTTTCAGACAACCATAGTCATACCTTGTCTGCTGGGTCCACCATAACACCTGCTCGTATGCCAGGTTTTACCGACAACCGCATGAAAACAGACACAGTACTTTGGCCAGGTGGCCGTCGTGATAGTAGCTTATCACTTCAGGACAACGAAGATTATTCTCGGCCAGTTTTACGGGTGGGTGTTTGTCCACTAACATAAAGAAATGGGACACCTATCGCTAACGTCTTATCAGCTGACAAATCCCGATTGAGTGTTGAACATTTTGACATTACCTCTATCGTTTTGCGTCTTGAATCTCATATGTAGTTTCTATTTGCGTTTCGGCGAAACAGCGGTTTTATGATACCCATTTCTCACCTGATCGTTTTATCTTCTCTTACCTACTACACTCGGGGGTGTGATAGGCTCGGTGTCTTGCTCTCTTCAACAGTTGTCCAGGGCAGCACCCCGTGCGTCGCATTATCTTCTTACATCATCTCATATCTATACAAGATACAAAGGGACCGAAAGCCGGTGAACAACATGCGATTCGCCTGGCCGAGGGGTAATTAATTGTCTTATGATCTGTTTTGAACAGCTACTACATACTTTGACGGCTTTCGCTCGATATCAGAGTGATCCGGTTCCTTACCTTACCCTTGTTTACCTTGACCGTGTATATCAACCCAAGGCAGCAACAAAGTCCATACATACATATGCTACCCAATATTATCGATGTTATACTTTGTCTTGCTCTGTTCTCAAATACCTGTATTTTTCTGTCGGGCCTTTCGGTCTTTAATATCCTTGCTCCAGCTGTTATCATTGTCCCTAGGCCCTATTGTCGCATTTCGAAGGCGTTGGCTTGGTCTTTTCTTTCTTTTTTATCTCTCGAGTCTTACTGTTTCAGTTCATAAATTCAAGCCATGCTAGTATGTTGCACTAACCTATGCATACCTGAATTGACTGTATTGTCAACCCATGTAGAGAAGGCCCTTCATGAATGGGCTTCCGTACAACAGATACAATATTATAATAAGCAACAACATTTAACCTCCATGGGTTTAATTCTCACTTAACTACGTGTTTACACTCAATGACTCCCATTGATGGGTTTGCAGCTACCAAAGCAACATTGACTCGCACCCACACTTCAGTCTTATTATCCCAACGATGCATCGCTGTCCGCTGAACAACGATATTGCCCGCCTTGACCCGAGTCCTCGAGCCAACATCCAATGTTAATATTAGAGAAAGCTGTATGAATGAGGAAATCGTGCAACGAGGTGTAAGCAATGTAGCATATACGCACATTATGCGCACGGACTAAACGGTAGACGACGTTCAGCTAGCACAAAGCATAACCTTTGAGGTGGCAGAGAAGTTCAGTTCAAATACGGGATATTATGTTGGTAAAGGATATTGATTTCGAGGAAAATATGGATCCTTGGTAGGATCCTTTTCTTTTGGGTAGAGTGGCACGCAAATGTCCTATTATCCTATGAATATCCAGAGATGCCTTTGCGACGTTGAGATTATGGACCCCATCCCTAGTGTAGGGTGCAGCATTTCTGCATAGCCAGGAAGAAGCTTTGCAAACAAGCCGCAATTCAGATCGGTCTTCAACCTAATATAATAGAACCAGCTACCAATTTCTGGAACACTTAAGGAGTGGCAGAAACACAATACTTTCCAATATTTTCGGACAGTTTAGGGCCGTTTCCTAGGAGCGTTTGCTTTATGACTTGATTTCTCTGCAGAAGTAGAATAACTACATAGATCCCAGAAATGATTAGAACTATTTCGATAGGCCGAAAAGTAACTTGTCATGAGATTAGTCTTTAATGAAACTGTATTTTTGTACACCTTTCTGACTAAGAGCTTCACATACTGTCGCAAGGACAGTTTTGCCCTTTTAGGCAATGTGGAGGCATCTTTTTTACCAGTTCAGTTAATCCCATCCTGACCTGTCTTTACTATCTGTATCTTTATGCTACTTTAGCTGTAGTGGACAACTCGTCTCCATCACTAACTTGGGGTCCTATACGTCGTGGTAAACAAGTTCCCCTCACTTTCTGTGTGGGGTTGACTTATCTAGAGGGAACACGTAAACTAATATGCTGTGGTAGATTTAGAGACTTCTTATCCTTCCCAAAATGATAAAGAGGAAGAGGGGGAGGTTGCCTGCTTTTATAATCCGTACAACTTGGCGGTCGTGCGGGGACAGCACTAAAGATTACGAATCTGCAGTTCTGCCTACCTGAAATGGAGTAAATCCGTCATCCTAGGCCCATGGAGTATGCGCAAGACAGGGCAGGGCACTAATCTCCAAAGTGCTAGACTTGAATCTGTATCTTGACTATGAGGATAAACGTCGGAGAGATATTTCATCGAAACGCATTCAGGATAAGAACAGCTTCCGGAGCATGGCGCTTGCCACTGTATCTGCGTCGTTGAGTCGAAGAGGGTAAATGAACTCGCGCCACTGTTTCCTCGAAGGGACGTACTAGCGGTTGAATTAATCTAACCCTGCAATCTACGTCGAGTGTTTTGATGTAAACTTGCATCCAGGTCACGCTGGTCTTGTCCGTACAAGTGCTATTGTACCATCTTGGTTGCACTGTCATTTCTATTTTTTGATGATCTCTGCTCTGTCTCTCTCACTTCCCAACAGCTTCTTTCTTGTCTTCTCTCTTCTAAAGCCTTCTATAACTCAGCAAGAGCGCTCTTCTTGCCTCACATGGGATAACAAAATATGTACCCCTCATATCTAACCGATAATGTGTGGTTGGTGGGTCTTGTGGTGGTTGGATTTACTGGACTATGGCTTGCCTTGAATGGAGCTCAGGGCAAATACTTTTTGCATCGGCTCGGCTTTCGTCGTAGGCAGTCGTCTAGCCGGACTCCCCCGCGTTCAATATCACTAGAAAGGAAATCGAATACCATCCTTGTATCGCAAGTGGGCTATACAGAAGTGTTGCCGCCCCAGCGCCGGCACATTCTCGCCAATCTGCCGATGGACGGAATATCTTACCGAGAAGTCGACGAGAAGGAAGTTGGCGAGCACATCCTACCAATGACAGTGGATTACTGGAGTAGTCAAGATGAAAGATACACCCCGACGGGTTTCTCAGTGGCTGAAATCAAAGCATTAGGTGACTTTCCTAATTATGCGGAACTCAGCGGCGTACCTTTACCTGAGCCATATCGTGAATTCGACATTGATAAAGCGTTACCTAGGCCATATCGACCTTTCAGATGGGCCTATCACCAAACTATGTGTGCGTTATGTCTATAATCCCCACCATCCCAACTATCAGCAGCCAGAAGAGCTAGTAACTAACCTTGCCTGTATCACAGCGCTTACAAAGTTGGAAACTGACTGGTGGATCGAGCTCGAAAATACCTACAGAACGAGAATCGCGCAGCGTAAGGAGCTATACGCCAAAAATGGAAAGGCCGTGCTGGACGCTCTCCCGGGCTCTGAACTGGCTTGTAAGGAATTAATGGAGATGGTCCTGCAATTTGTTTGCGCTCGTTATCCTCAATATTTCTCATTGGAGAACCACTTCCTTCGCAACAGAATCCTCGGCATGGAGCAAGACATTCGTTCGAAGCATCCCCTGGAAATTATATGTGATAATATCCCAGAGGATTTCGGGATCATGTTGCGTGATAACAAGACGGGCAATTATTTTTTGCGCGCGGGAGTTATCTGCTCTGCGTTGGGTTGGAACGTAGGTACCAAGATTGGCCTTCAGCTTCATGAAATCCACCAGCCAATTCCGGACTACAAGGAAAAGATGCAGTTTTCTATGGATCGGTACGTTGCTGTGGCGAATGCTGCAGATGGAAGTTTGCTTTGTACTAAAATCTACGTAGGTACTTTACCAAGATGCCGAGCGATAAGCCCATCCAAAGAGGGTCCTGGGGTCTGGAAGTAGGGCAGCCACTGTATATGCCTGAGGGCGACCCTCACGAGAAGCTCAGGTTGTTTCAAGACCCCAACCTTCGACTAGAAGATTGCCACCTGCGCGTGGATTGGCAGACTCTACGACGCCTACCTCTCTCAGCCGCTGTTGTCTTCAACTTCAAGGCACTTTTCACGCCCGTGACTGAATTCCGCGACGAACCAGGTGTCCCTGCACTGCTGACCGAGATCTTGACGAAGGGCAAGAAAAATTTGATGGAATATAAGAACACATGGCATGTGGAACATGTCATTCTTCCGAAACTTGAAGAATGGGCAAAGGAGCAAGAGACAAGGGGTTTGGTTCCCAAGGACTGGCAGGTGGCTACCTTGGATGACAGCCCGTGGTACAAGAATTGGCAGGAGAAATGGCATCGCCAACAGGGATATTGAGGATGACATTGTGGATATCCTATAGAAGTCATGTTGATGGGCGTCGATACGGAGTGGCTTTCAGGAAGGGTATCTGATCATTTGAACATGAATCGAGCTATTAATAATACAAGGGGGACTCAAAGTAAACATATATCCCAAACTGATGTTGAGATCAAGTAACTAGCTTCACAGGAGTTAGATATCTGTAAGATGTAGCCTTCCTCCGTATGGCTCCTCCACGTCGCGTGACCCGTATCTCGCACCGGGCCCCTACAATAATAACAGCATTAGCAGCCCCCAGCAGCAGTCCCTCGTCTACGCGCATCGCAATCCATCCAGTCTGTCCTAACCCCTTATTCCTCTCCCACATACTCATTCCAGCCCAGGGACAGTCCTTCTGCAGTTGCGCCAAAACCGTATCCGTCGCAACTCGTAGCGCAACCGTCGATGCCGATGACACCTCGAGGGTCTACTGCCACTGCTGCTGCTGCGCCGTTTCCCCATCACACGCCGCCATCCGGCCCATCCCATGCTGTAGCACCTAAGATGTAATCCACTCTTACAGGTTGAGAAGCTAACGAGGACGGGTGTACTGAATGTTGCGGCCTGTATAATGATGTAGAGGAATTTGGCCAGCCGTCGCGCCCCCAAACATCGTGACATTAGTGCATGGGCCTAATGTCCGAATCGGCGATAGAACTTTGAGCCAAGATACGACCCGACCACACAGAGCCCAAAAAAACAAGCCAGGCCAAGGATCAAACTCAATCATCGCCAGCACTTCTGGCAGATCGTGTCTCGCTGGCTTGTCCGTCTTCATCACTTTCCCTGTCCATTTCCTCCAATTCCTCCGCCAACGGACTCACTCGCTCCTCGAGTAGGTCCAAATCCTCCAACTGCTGTCGCGAAGGCAACTTCCACAAACTGGTACCGCAAACACGGTCCTTGGTAAGAAGGTCATCGACAAATTGATCCATATAGGTCAGAACCAAGGAATCTCCCACCCTCCGCTTTAATTTTCGGTAGTCGAGAAGAAGAGGCTCCAGGGTTTTGTACACATCGACCGCGTCAAACGTCAATCGGACATAGAAAGCCGCCAGCGCACGCAGATACTTGAAGTCTCCTTGTTGTTTCATCACGCTACTCTGCGCTTGTTCCTCCGCTGTCGTTTCCGTCTCTTCACCGACGGGGTCAGTAAAATTCAGGTATTCCAGCACAATGTTTCGGTCTGGGTTGAGTTGCAACAGCTTGAAAGCGAGACAGAGAAACGGAGTGGGCTTTTCGGAAACCCCGTGGGTGCCTCCAATCGCAGTCAGCTCAACCGCACGATCGCATAGTGTCGCTGCGTTCAGTCCAAAGCATTGTTCCTTCCAGTAGTAGGAGTCCGTGATGCGGTCGCGCACGGCTTTCTCGAATAGGGTAGCGGGATTGACACCGCGGATAAGAGGGCCCTTGTAGCCGCGATTATCGAGAAAATTGCTGGCATCGGCACGGTGGGATGCCATGGTGGCGGTGGTGGGTTGTAGAGTGAGGCGGAAAGATAGAAAGGATTCGCACACGAAAGTCGTGGAAATGCCAAGCCCCAGCTTATCGATAGTCGCACCGACAACGGCACATGTAAACGAAGCCTAACCTTTTGCGTTCTCTATCTTTGTCTATCTTTCTACTACTTGCTACTGTTGATCTACGACTCATGGGTTACGTGTCTATGAACTATTTGAGCTGTGATTGAAATTAAGTCCGTGTTGTTTGGTGGTCTGTCTCTGCGAATTGTTGGTTGCTCCACACCACACAGTCGATCTATTCACGCACATCTATGCCAATGCTATCCCAGTCATGGTGCTGTTAACTTCCTCGACCGTCTCAGTCATCCTGTCGACCGGGGTTATCTCCATTTTCACCTTTCTTCTGTTTCTCTCCGGATACACTCTTCAACAGCAATCCGTCCGAAATATCCAACATGCTCTCCGCCCTCCGACACCCCCCGATCCCATGGGAGGCCATGGGCCGTCAGGATCGTCATTCCAAGGAAAAAAGCGAAGTATCCTGTCCGATATAGATTCAGACAGCACCCAGGAAGATGACTCTATGCGACGAAGATCCAGGGGAAACCTCGCCTATCTCCAACTTCTCTCAACCCCGGATCCATCCGACATATGCTCGGCGATTCTCTTCTTCAAACAACTCGCTTCAAACGGGACGGAAGTCCAGGACCGTCTCTTCATGTATCCACAAGAATGGGATCTGATATCCGCCAGCAATCTCTCCAAACCCGTCACAACTGCCCTCTCTCTCCTCCGCGACGCAAGCCTCAAATACGGCATCTGGCTCCTTCCCATCGATATGACCAGAGCCACTGCCGCAGGGTACGAGCCAACCGATACCAAACTGCTCAGTCTAGGTCAGATCCAGTTCATGCAATATGACAGTGTCTTGTACGTCCAGACGCCCGGTTTGCTACTGGACACGGGGAAGCTTGACGAATTGCTTCTCTCGCGACCATTGCCCCTGCGACACGACAAGTCCCGACAGGAGTCATTCAACAATGAGGCCTGGATCCCTATGCCGTTGCGAGCGGAACGAGACGCCACCCTTCCTCCAGTATACTTGATTACCGTCAATAATGTTGGCAGTGGCCAAGTCGAGGCGCGGGGTCATATTCCCAACGTAGCGATTCCGGGATTCGGGAGCCTAGTTACCGGCCCCTGGGGTGCACAGTCATCCCAGGGGAACGATTACGACCCAGATAAACAGCCTGCGTATGTCTTCTTCGAGCATGATGACGACGGACATGTTCAATGGGCGAAAAACCCTTTGTATGGGTCTTGGAGAGCCCAGCAATACCAAGTATGCGAGGGCTTAGATTTTGATGACGTGCATGATGATGATCTATAGCTTTTTATATTCTCTCACGATTTTTAGTTTTGTTGATGCAAATTTTTATTTCCCGTTTGGATTGGTTGGGATGGCGGCTGGACAGGTTGGACCTTGGTGACACAGTTCGTGATCTTGGATGGTGTTGATGGTGTAATATATTTCATTCATGTTTTTATCATTCAAATTCAGATGCATATATATTATTATGTGTTCGAATTTAGCGTTGTCCATGGCCTCCGTGTTTGCGTCGTATGGATGAGACTATAAGCTCTAACACAGATGCAAAGCAAAAGTGTGTTGTAGAATGCGGTCATTGAATCATGTCCTCTAATTCCTAATCCAATTATAACGCTATCGTCAACATCAGGCTGATCCAGCATAGAAGAACCCACAGCAGGTATTAACCACAGTCCAATAACACCACCAGTAGAAGAGAAACAAAAAAACGCTAACGCACAAAGCGTGCAAGGTATATAGTAATGTACAAGTTGACATGGCAATCATCGCGGAGCACCGATTTCGTACCCCAGCAACACTTCGGTGGTGTTGCCCTCCCAGCCTCTGTTGCCGCTGGTCGAAACCATGAACCGACAGGATTGGTCAATATAGAGTTGTGAAACGGTTCCTGTCCGGTGTCCCGGGATGATGAGGAATGGCACAGTTGAGTGACGTGCGACTTGCTCATGTTTTAGATCGTAGAGTCGGAGAATATCGTGAGAGGCACTGAAAAGAACCGGGGATAGGGTCAGTGGGACGAATTCCACGCGGTCAGAGTGACAGATACTTACCAGACAATATGTCTCCCATTAGGCATCGCCCGCAGTGCGGTGACCGGCCCGCTTCCTTGAGGAAATTTGAAGATCCGCTCGGGGTCCCGCAGACCTTTGTGAAGGCTAAACTCCTCAACAGTGCCGTTTCGGCGACCGGCGTAAATGTAGTTGCCGTCGGGCGACCAGCATGCATTCATGCACCATGGAGGAGAATTGCGAGGAGTGATGCGTGAAATGGTGTCCGGCTGTCGTCTGTCCCAGACACGGATAGTGCCGTCAATTGATGCGGCCAGGAAGACATTGTCTGGGCCGATACCAGTTGCTGATTGTGTTGTTTGACCAAAGTCCTGGATCTGTGAAGGTGCCTCTAGGTCGTCGGCATGCGGAAGCCCATTTACAACCGGCTGTGCTGAGCCATTGGGAACATTACCCTCAAGGATCGCCTGTTGTTGGGATGAAGCATTGACATCCATGGTTGGATTACCGGTATTAGTGGGATCTGCAGATATTTCTGCAACACCATTCTGCTGTTCCATCGAGTCAGGTTCTCCTGGCGCATCGGTATCAGGAAGGACGCCGTTGGCAAGAGCTTTGCCAAACTCGTCGTCCTCGTCTATGCCAAAGGCATTGTCTGATGCGCTTGCACCGTCCCCGCCAGCACCATCTGCATCTCCAAACAACGAATCGGCTCCCCCAAATAGTGAGTCTGCTGGCGAGCCCGCCGGCAGATTTGAGGGGTCCCCTTGCTCGTTTGAAGTGTCCATGTAGTTGAGACTACCGCCACCACTCGCCTGGTTGTTGGATGAATACGTGCCGTTCGGCTGGAAATTATCGGTTGTATTTACAGGGACTGGGAGGCTGGATTGTGGCCGTATGTCGAGTGATGAGATTTGCCTGGCACTGGAGCCAAATGTGCGTCTGGGTTGCCCGGTGTTCAGGTCCCAATCAAATACTCGTTTGTCCCAGCTTCCCGAAAGCAGGGACTTTTCGTCACTCGTTAGATTCAATACAGACACGGCTGAGGTATGTTGTTGGAGTAGCGCTATCTCCTTGCCTTCATCATGGCGAACAGACTGTAGTCGAATGGCGCCTGACTCTAGACCAGACAATAGCCATAGACCCTCACTGTGACTAGCCAAGGAATATACAGGAGATAGATTATTCCCATCCATGTTTTCCCAGTAAGTCATGAGCACACCCGCCTTCATCACGCTGTCAACAAACGGGTGCCTTTGCGCTACGGTAAGCATCAATTTGCCGTTGATCGAGTCAACCCAATTGAACTTTCGCACATATCCATCCGATCCTCCACTAAATACCCATCTCATGTCTGCTGTGGCGGTTACTGCGTTAATCGAAGTACTGTGAGGTGCGGCTGTCGTAGGGACGATATCGTACGTCGAGGCCGTCAGGCATTCGCGGCGCACGCTGGGGTGGAGCGCTAACATAGGATCAGACGCGACATGTGTAGGTCCATGTGAGGTCATGTCAACGTCTGGGTTTTGTTGTGTGTTTGTCTCCGCACTCTCGGATACATGGCTGGCATTGGATTGACTGTCTGCGTCCTGATCCGCGTCTTGGTCAGCGTCGGCCTCGTTGTCGTTCGCACCGTCATCTGCGTCCCGGAGAGTATCATCCATTTCGTTATCCGAGCTTCCATCCTGCGAGCCTGATAAGGTGCGAATTGTTAGCGCCATCATCTGTGAGTGGGATCGGGTGAACGAGGATCTCGCACCTGCCAAATCTCGATCATCTTCTTCTTCCACAACCGAAGCCATTGTTTTAGGAGGGGATGTAGGGTATATTATTAAGTGGCGTGGATCGCAAAACAAAGCGAGAAAGAACACGGGAAGTAATATATATAATCAATAGTGCAGTATGAGCGACTGACACTGGACTCGACTCCCAGCAAGAGCTCTGTGCCGTCCTTTCAGTGCACGGTAGGAGCTGATGTTTGTCAAGGTTGCATGTCGCAGTAACACAAGTGCATGGAGGTTTGCAAGTGCAGAGGAATAAAAGGCCCAGGTGTTAAATTATATAAAGACATGCGCATGAAGTGGAAGTGAAAGGCCGCCAGTCTCCATTCGAGTCTCCGCTCTCGCCTTTTCCCCGACTTAGTCACGTTTCCGCCCATTTGGCGCCTGAGGCAGAAGCGACCATCTTGATCAGGTTAGCGTGATGGTTTTCATGAAACTGCAATGATGTGAGCGAAATCAAGGAGATTTAGTAGAGAATGTGGAAATAGGAGATTCCCACTCCTGCCTGGTTTAATATTACTATATGGAAGTGGCTGCAAGATATTTTCCCACATATTTCTGGCATCCCAGGGACACTGGTGGGAATTAATAGGATGAACAGTACTAACGATATGATACGGCAGTAGTATAAGAAATGACGGTATATCTTTTGAAAGAATTGATGTCTTGTATTCCTCCATCTATCCATTTTAAATCTACCCAGTTTAGCTTTCCAGCCTCTATATATTTCAGCATACAAACCATGAATGTTCAAAGTACGGATGAGTGTACAAAGGAAGGATATTTTAATTAATGCTCTAATTATAAAATCTTCTACAGGTGTCTGGCCTTTTTGTTAAGCTAGAGCAGTGATTTTATAAGTCGGTAGATACTGAGACCGGCCAGAACTAGAATGGAGCTATGAGTACTAACTACTAGTATACATAGTTTCTCTCGTATTATGCAGAAGCCTTGCAAATTGACGGAAACAGAATATGAAGTGGTACTGAAGTACTTCTGATTATCTCTTAGTTCTGTTTTAGAGTATAAGTTGTAGTATTTCTCTACACGAGACTTTCGAGCCACTCTTTATGCTCTGTTTGTTTTAACAATGGAAGAGTGACCGTACTGTAAGACAAGTGAAGAAATCATTCACTATGAAGCTGAAGTTTAAGACATTCACCAAAGCAGAAGCGATTCCTGCCTGATTCCGTGGACACAAACAAACAGTGACCACCCTCTTTTCCATCATCTTACACTCATTTCCGCCTTACCATTGCCAATCTACCTTCCTCTTTTCTTTTCTTTTCTTTCCTGTATTTTATTGCTTCAAGCCTCTAACCTGTCACAGGCAATCGCAAAAATGGCGTCATCAGACGATTTCACGCCTCCATTACCCTCTGAGTCTCTCCACGAGCGTTTCTCAAAACTCGGAGTGGGTTCTATGGCTTTTGTCAATACAGATGTCATGGCATATTTCACCCAGCCTCGGCTGGAAGGCCATGAGCCGTGGCTTCGTAAGCCCGAGGTTCCAACGCCAGAAGAGATTATGGATACTGATTGTGATGAAAACTCTGAATATATCGAGCTAATTCCCAATAAAATTATGGGTCCCTGGAAATCCAAGGAGGAGTATCTCAAGGCTCATTATGAGCTACTTAGAGAGGATGCTGTTGCTCCTTTGAGGGATGCTGTAGCATATGTCAAAAACGATCCCCAGATGTCCGACTCACAATCTGTGGCTATTTATGAAAAGGTCACACCGATCGCCTTACCTAGTTGCAGGTAAAGATCATCCGGCTGATTATGTACTCTAGGTTTACATCATAGGCATCACTTTCGCACAAAGGGATCTGGCTTTTCGCATCCGATTTTCAACTGTCAGAGCCGGGAAGAACATTGCCTGGGAATATTCCTCACGGCTCATTACCGGTTCTATTGTAGCACTGTCCCCTGCTAGTGATTCATTCAAAAGCAGATGCGTTGTGGCAATCGTGGCAGCGCGGCCATTGGAAGGGGTCAAACAACAGCCACCAGAGATCGACATTTACTTTGCTCGACCAGAAGATGCAGAGTTCGATTCGCATCAAGAATGGATTATGGTTCAGGCTAAAAGTGGATATTATGAGTCCATGAGGCATACGATGACAGCACTGCAGAGAATGAAACGAGAAAGGCAAGCAAGCAGCGTCATCATAGACTTCCAAATCTCCAATGGTCATTATTTACCAAGTCCGTTCTAACTGTTAATCAGTTTTCCTCTAGCCGAACACATCTGTTTTTTAAATGCCGATGTTGATGCCCCCGAATATGTGAAATATACACCTATTTTTGACATACAGTCTTCTATTGAGGGATCTGGAAAAGAGGGGAAAGTCGACCTTCTTGAAGGCTGGCCTAGGGCACCAATCGGCGACTTGGATGCCACACAGTGGAGAGCATTGGAGCAAATGCTCACGAAAAGGCTTTCCCTTGTCCAGGGCCCTCCTGGCACTGGAAAAACTTTTATTTCAGTTGTTGCTTTAAGGATTATATTGGCCAATATGCAGGTTGGCGATCCCCCCGTCGTCATCTCTTCCCAGACAAATCATGCATTAGACCAACTTCTAAAGCATGTCTCTACCTTTGAGAGCAACTACGTTCGTTTGGGGGCTAGAAGCGGTGATCCAGAAATTAAAAAACGTACCCTATTTGCTGTTCGGCAGAAAGAGCCCCATGTCACGCTTCAGGGCAGCGTTCTAGGTCCTGCTCGAAAAAGGCACAGGGGCCTCATTCAACCAATCATCGAGCTACTGCAGCCTTTTAATTCTGAGAACGCAGATGCCCCACTGCTGTCATCCTTCTTTGTTGAGCATGGGGTGTTAACACAAGTGCAGTTTGACTCGCTCGAAAGGGGGGCAAAAGGGTGGATATATCACGGAAAAGAAGAGAACGTTGACCCTTTGATATATTGGCTTGGGGAAGGAATAGGTAAGTTTGAATTGAGCTACACCACCGACAACTTCGGTTTCGTCGAGGACGAGGTAGACCTTGAGTATGAGCAACTCAAAGAGTTGGAAGCTGAGCAAGGGATTGAAGAGGATGATTATGAGATACTCAAAGGTCAATTCATACATATCCGAGAAGGGTTCTGTGGACAGAGCGAATCTATCTCAGAGGAAACTAGCCTAAAGTATCTCAAGTTGCAAGACCTATGGAAAATACCAGTCAAAGCACGCGGCGCCGTCTACGATGCTCTTCGAAAGGCAGCCAAGATGAAGGTGACTGAAAAGTTCCGCAGGCTAGTTGCTCTCTATGCGAAGAATTCCAATGAGCTTCAGATTGGCAAATGGGAAAGGGACAATCACATCCTCCAAAGTGCCAGGGTCATTGGTATGACGACCACAGGTCTAAGTAAGTATCGGGGCCTGATTTCGAGCCTGAGACCCAAGATTGTCCTGATCGAAGAAGCGGCCGAGGCAATTGAGGCACCGGTGGCAGCTGCTTGTTTTGATTCTCTTCAACACATGATCCTTGTTGGTGACCACCAACAACTCAAAGGTCATTGCTCAGTCCAGGACCTTGAGGGGGAACCTTTCTTTTTAGATATGTCAATGTTCGAGCGCCTACTCCACAACGGGATCGAATATACAACCTTGAGGAGACAAAGACGCATGGCTCCCGAGATACGTCGTCTGATAGAACCTATTTACGGAGAACTACAAGATCATAAGTCGGTCCACAATCGTCCTAAGGTTCCCGGCATGGGAGATATACAGTCATACTTCTTTTCTCACGGATGGCCTGAAAACAGCGATAGCCTGGCATCCAAGATGAACGAAACAGAAGCAGAGATGATTGTGGGCTTCTTCATTCATCTTGTGCTCAATGGAACGCCGGTAACTGATATCACAATCCTGACATTTTATAACGGCCAGAGGAAAAAGCTCCTGAAATTATTGAAGAGCCATCCTTATCTCCAAGGCCAGTATGTGAAGGTAGTGACCGTTGATTCCTACCAAGGAGAAGAAAATGAAATTGTCCTTCTCTCCCTCGTTCGAAGCGACAAGCCAAACGTTGGGTTCCTGTCTGTTGAAAACAGAGTATGTGTTGCACTGTCACGGGCAAAAAGAGGGTTTTACGTCTTTGGAAATGGCTTATCACTTGCGTGTGCAGATCCACTATGGTGGCAGGTTATATCCATTATGGGCGGCGACAATCCACGGCGGTGTCTTGGATTCTATTTGCCGCTAACGTGCGTTAAGCACGGCAATCTGACATTTAAGCGCGGTTTGTATTCTTCCATCGGTGAGGTTGAAGATGGACTGCTAACGTAGAACTGTAGAGCCATCAGACTGGAATAAGACAAATGGTGGGTGCGATCTTCGGTGTGGCGAGATGCTTGAATGTGGACACATTTGTCCTTTACTGTGTCACAGGTGAGTTGAAATATATTTTGCCCCAGAATTATTCAGTTCACTACTAAAGCCAGGTCTCTATAGTTTTTCACATAACCAGGTCAACTGCGACTGTATGTGTGGCCAAAGGATGCCGTGCGGGCACTGTTGCACTTCCCCTTGTACAAAGTCCCATACCTGTTCTTGCGAATGCCCCCAGGAATCTGTCAACGATAAGGCAAGAACTGGCCGTACAAACCCTGGCACGCACACATATCATTCGGAAGAAACCATAGACGATGAGAGCTTGCAACGGCAGGCCGTGAAGCGGTATCATGATTTTGCCAATGGAGGTGCTCGGGACGAGGACGCTCGGATACAAAAAGTCGAGCGCAGTATGAGAGTTAAGCCCATGGAACGAAATCTGTTAGATGATAGCGAATGATACTGCGTGTCTTCATGGTCACATATCTGTAAAAGGCACTGTTTTCTGCACGCCTTTGCTAGAAGAGCCCATTTATGCCTGAGGCATGTAGAAAAGGCTGACCTAGCATGGCCTTTCACATTATCCAGAACCTTTCCCACTATACCACTTTTAATACATCACTTATAATACTCAGCCCCATATTCATAATAGGCCACCCATGTGTTTACCGAGGCCTAAAGCCCCTTGCAGCGTACAAGCAGGTTTGGTACAAGAGAGCTTTCAGAATGTCATAATTATCCGTGTCCCTTCCCAATTTTACGTGTGGCTTTTCAACTAGGGCCGGAATAGATTAGTCCTATGTATGATGTATGTAGAGTGACTGAGCTCCTCAGGGCGCTGCGCACTACATATAATCCATCTCCGAACATATACTTATGAATTGGGCGTGAAGACTCTTCTATATAGTAGAAACTTACATTTATCTTGATAGTGTTCCATACTAGACCCTTTGTGAATAAAGCCATGGTAAGAGTGGCCAGTTAAGAGCTACTAGGTTCTATAATACTTCACTATCACGCTGGCAATTAGCCTTCATTTATAGACCTATAGTCACCTAATCCCCTTGGTGAAAGTTTTAAATACTTTTACTTGTGCCTTTTTACAAGTCTAGACTGAATACAGAGTGACTAATATATAGATGATTTTCCGAGTTGTTATATATACCGGCATCCTTCTCCAATCCCATAAACCTTCTATTCTTGACAAAACGCCTTTTCTTTCACAACTTTATTCTATCACTAAAATCTGTTTACCCCGGACTCGAAAAATGACGGTTCCAAAGGAAGTCTTTCAAAAGGCCATTACTGACACTATAAGGCATTGGAGTATAGTTTATCAACACTCCTTTGCAACACCTCTCCGTTGGCAGAAACAATACACGCGCCTAGCCACTTGCCAACATGAAAAATACCATTTGGTCATAAAAAGCAATGGGCTCTTTGTGAGGTTTGGTTTGGTCATATTTATTGAAATCTCCATGGGAAGGCACTATGTTTTCCAGAAAGCGATATCTGAGTCCCAAGAGGACTCGATTAATAACATATTCTATCCAATCCAGGCTGTGGATCATGCCACACTACTGTAACCTACTGGTTGTGCTCAAGGTGTAAAAGTCTTAAAACGGTTTATATAGCTATTAATATTGTAATTAAGTAGGAGGCGACAGAGACAAAGGATATCAGCTTCTTCAGTAAAAAGGCATAGTAAGAAATTCTATAAGGAACATGGCTAAAGAAAAGAAGACAAAATCCTGGTATATAATTTAGCCATAGAGATACTGGACATAGTCCCAATGGCTAATAGAATGGAAAGTGGATTATCAGAGAGCCTTACCGAACTGCACAATGACATGTGGCTCGTACTCGGTGAGAATTGGAACGTTCAAACTCTCATCATAATTAATTGGAGAACGAACAACGATGCAGTTCTAGAAACAATTTCCAGTGAGTTCGAGGCGGTCCTGACAGCAGCGGTAACATGCACGGACTCGCAATACAAGAACTGCTTTGCTTTCCATAGGCGGACATTCTTATAGCACAGCTTCAGATGGCTTGTTTTATAGATATAGGGTCTTCCAATAATGCCAACAGATGGATCGCTCTATCGATAGCCTGGTTACTGTGCACCAGCACAGTCAACCCGAGTGTCGGGACGGACGGGTTTAGTTCCGCAAATATGTGATTTCTACGGCGAGAAGGGAATTCCACTCGAACCAGTTACGGTACAAGAGGGGCTCGGGTAACTGAAACATGTAGAAGCGACATAGCAGCAGAAAGATCAATATCCCGCTGAAGCTGGCCGAGATCGACGAAGCGACACTGGGCCGAGATAATGGAGAAATGGCCGGGTTTGCCACAGAACGTGGTGGAAGACAGAGCAAGAGCCTGGCAAACTTGCAAGTGATCGACGGGGTGGCTGATGAAGAATTGGCTCTGATTCGGCTTTTGATTACTGATGATTTAAGAATGTACTTGTCATGTATGCAGTTCTACCCTTCCTATCCTGGATTGCGTGATATGAGAACGCTACCTGCATCTTTCTCTTAGCTGCTAATAACAGTCTGGCCAACAGACCATTGCCTCTGGAACGACTGGTGGCATCACTCTCCGACACACTACCCATGTCACTATCTCATCGCCCAGCTATTTCTGTGTGTCATCTCATTCCCCAACATGGGCGCGGCATGGCCCGATGGTTCTGTATTGGACCTAGTACCTAATACTGAGAGCTCCCAAGTTGCTCGGGAACCAGGAGCATTGAGCCTTCCAATTATCCAAAAGGCAGGAGCTACACGGACGTCAGGGCCTCAGGCCATACACTCACATTTCTTCGGCCGTAGAACTAGAATGGCACACCTTCGGAATGAACATCCTCAGCCAAATCTCTGCATAATACTAGTCGCCACACCATTGTTTACTATCTATCATTACTATTGCTTGAATCGTTCCGTATAATTTGAGTCCATATAGTTTATACCTACAGCATGGCATTCCATCAATCGGAAATCCTGGGCACACTCTTTGAATCCACTATCAGGTATGATCCAGAAGGACGTATACGACATGCGTCTTGAACGCCCGCGTAACCTTCAACCAGATATACAAACGTTAAGCCTGTTGGTCTGGGTCCCTTTGGTGTTCTTTGGTATTCTTGCTACCCGGAAAGACTCGCCTTGTTGAACAGCCCGGCTGGGAACGCTGACCCCCTATTGTACCAGCTCAGCCTATGATTCGTTCGTCCAGCAAACTGTTGCTATTAGGAAGATCATAGATCCGTTTTCCACTGTCACCCTGGCTAAACGCACTTTCCTAGAGGTTAAGCTCTTGAAGCAACTGCTGCATGAGAATGTGCGGACTCCATACATTATAGTGAAAAGTCAGGGGCGTTGCAATGCTAATCTCAGGCAGCTTATTTGTTTGTCCGATGTCTTTATCTCTCCATCGGAGGAGGTGTATGGTCACGGCACTAATTCTGCCCGTATCCGGAAAGTACTATATCTGGCTAACGCAGGCATGTAGATACCTTGTCATTGAGCCTGTGGGATGCGACCTCGGCCGGATCATCAAGCATACGCGCCTGGATGAAACAACAACAAAATTCTTTATGTACCAAATTATGGTATTGGTACCACGTATGATGAGACTGTGTTCATTCTGCTGATGTTCCTAGCGAGGACTGAAATATCTCCACTCGGCCGGGGTGATGCATTACGACCTCCAGCCAAGTAACCTTCTAGTCAACCAAGAGAACACTTTGAAGATTTGCGACTTTGGCATAACCATCCTGGGAGAATCGCAGACGGTGGGTTATGTTCCATCGAAATTTTACAGAGCGCCAGAAAGTAATATGCTGGCATGGCAGCCACATGGGTTGCGAGTGGATGTATGGAGTGCAGGGTGTATTTTTGCCGAGATGTTGCGCGGCGTGCCCCTATTCCCCGGAGCGGACCAGCTCAATCAGCTCAACCTGACCACGGATGCGATTGGCGACCCTCCCCAGGAGTTCATAGACAGGATAACGAGCAAAATTGTGAGTTCAACGAGGCCTACGCAGGAAAGCATCTCCGACGGCTAATGGGAAGGGTCAGACACGAGAGTTTGTGGACTCACTGCCAAAGAAGGGCCCATATTCACATCAGTTAAAAACTATTTTTGCGGGATTCGAGGAGAGTGGTAAGGCACTGCCTCATTTTGGAAACCGATATATTTGGAACTCATTCAGAATGATAGCCGTGGACCTCCTCGAAAAGATACTAGTGTTTACACCTGAAAAGAGAATTTCCGCCGGCGACGCTTTGCAACATCCGTACCTAGCCCTGTACCATGACCCCAGTAATGAGCCTGTGGCAGAAATACAGTTCGACTGGTCCTTCAAAGATGCCGATATTCCCAAAGAGACATGGCGGGCCATGATGTAGGTGGTGTATTTCACACTCTGAGACATTGCATTGACGACGACTCTCCAGATATGCCGAAGCTGAACACTTCTGCACAACCATGCTGATGGCCATAAATGACCTAAGTGGATTAGCATGGAATAACTAGTCGATAATATGTGCCTCTTTGCAGGAAGTCAGTCGCAATCAGAGTGATTCCTAGATGGAATAACATGCAGCCTCCTGATCTACCTGATCATCTGGCTCCATTGGCTGAGGTACGATACACTTCTCTGTAGTAGGCAGAATACAGGAGATGGAAACTATGCAGTGAATGGGAATGCAGTGATGATTGATGAGCTTCAGTTGTGTGCCTTGTCTATAAATATTCCATGGATTTTTATTTTAGAAGCGGAGTTCAGCCTTTAACACTTTGGGAGCATTGTTTTTTTCTTTAAGAGCCTGGATAGTTGCAAAAGTTGATATTACTCCCTGACAACACAAGTTCAGTTACATTGCTAAAGTCATCACTTCCCATTTATTCATTCCGCACAAAATGCAGGATGGCACTGAAAAAAACATAATAGGTGGTATACTTTCTACAGAACAACGAACACCGAATATGGACAAGAACAGTATCTAGGCGACAAGCCTTGGCCTCCATGATATGATTTATTAATATCAAAGGCGAATAAACAGTACCAATGAAACCACCATGTAAACTGTCTTTGTAGCCTCCTAAGGTATCTTCTCTCTCCCACCAGCTGCCAGTATAGTCTTTTCGGCCGTCCACCTGCGCATGAATAATCCGAACGCTACATGGGAATTCATGTTAATTATGTCGAAACAAATTAGGTGCTGAACCATTGTCATTGATATACTATAAGTCAGGCTCACACAATTTGTAATTTGAACACTATTTCCCTCGGGATCATGGGCATGAAGATGTTATTTACTTTTACATCCTCTAAGTTAACCTTTTTAACACCCTTACTCTGCTGTGTTCATTGATTCCCTAGGTAAATGATATTAAACGGTTGGCGTCTTGGATTTGAGGATCCACATGGTCAACAATCCATAGATTTAGCACACTGGGCTGCCGTGACCATCAAGGATGTCGCGTTGGAGTAGCAGTCGGGGTTGGACTGGGGTGATTGGAGTCGTGATGCTTGCTTTATACCTAATTTTAGCTTGGGACTTTGCCCGTTGTTCTGGCCGATTGGAACAGAAATACGCTTTCGTGAAATATACTGCATTGGGTGTGGAAAGGTAGTGGTTAGTGGCAAATTTTTCATGCATTCTTGGAAATATTCATCCTGTATAGATATAGTAATAACATCGAGTCTTTATTCACTAGAGATGAACAAGTATGGTCCAACTGTTCAACATCGATACAATCTATGTTGGAAGTCCATGATTCGTGATTGATATCTCTACAGTAGATTTGATTTTAATTTATTCAGATTTACTTTCCCAGAGAATGAACCCGGGGGGTTTATTCTGCTTAGTAAGTTCAACTGTGCCGGAGTCCGATCCCTGAAGAGGAACAGAATGGAGAGATTCCGTGACCTGACTCTGTTGATATATTATAAGACCATATTATTAGTGCTACTTAAGTGTATTAAATTGACTGGTGATTCGATCCTGTCTGCAATTTGGAGATGTTACTCCAACACATTGAGAGAAAGAGTCGTGGCTTGGCAATTGGAGAACAGCTGGAACAATGGAGGCGGAGCGAATATAATACTTTGTTTAGTTGCAAGGAAGTTAATAGAGGAATACGAGAGGAGGACGAGTACTTTATTTATTTATTTATTTTTTAGATGAGAGTGGCTGAACAGCGGTCAACGTGTCTGGAGAAGGTTCGCCATGTCGGTTCTATTTACTTCGATTTCCCAGTGAGTTTATTCGTTCGAACCATATGTACTGCCTCAGGAAATATCTTCTTACAAGTCGACAATCGAAACTGAAAAACAATAAATAGAAGTAACCCAGTCAAAAAAGGCGAGGTCCAACAACTTCTCCAAAGCATCGGCGTATCCGTAGAACCAGACGAAGAAGATGACTTCCAAACACTCCTAGCAGCACTTCATGATTGCGCTGAAACCGTCTCTCGTCTACCAGATTACCAACCCGTGCCTGATCTCAATCGATACCCCCGGCAGAATATACGACGCCCGACGCCCGACGAGCAAGTCTTGGGTCAGGCCTGGGCCCATCGGTTTCTGATCCAGGGTAATCCAGATGGAGGCATCTTGGCCGGCAAGACTATCAGTCTGAAGGACTGCATAGCAGTTGCAGGCGTGCCTCAGCTTCTAGGAAGCGACGTGATTCCGTCATGGACGCCCGTGTCGGACGCAACCGTCGTGACTCGAGTGTTGGATGCCGGGGCCGATATTTTGGGGACCTCCACTTGTGAGAACTTTTGCCATTCCACGTCTTCGTTCACCAGTGCTCAGGGGACGGTGGAAAATCCCTTTGCTTCGGGATATTCGGCGGGAGGGAGCACTTCGGGTGGCGCAGCTTTGGTGGGTGCTGGCTTGGTGGATATCACTATTGGAGGGGATCAAGGAGGGAGTGTTCGAGTACCTGCATCGTTCTGTGGCTGTCTGTGTCCCTTTATTCCCAAACCTTTTGATTCGTTGTTTGGCTAATGATTTCAGGCGTCGGTTTCAAACCCACTTATGGATTGGTCCCCTACAGCGGAATCACCAGTGGAGATGCCGTCAATGATCACACCGGACCTCTGGCCAGGAATGTGCTGGATGTGGCCTTGTGTCTGGACTCGATCAGTGGCTACGATGGGATGGATGACCGGTCGTTGGGAAGTCCTCCGCATGGGTCGACCACATACGCGCAGGCTCTACAAACAGGACCTACCAGGCTAGAGGGGTTCAAGATTGGGATTCTCGCCGAAGGATTCGAGCAGGAGATAGTCGATCCAGTCGTCAAGAGTACCGTCTGGGCCGCCGCTTGCAAATTCACCGACCTTGGAGCCACAGTTGACGAAGTATCTCTCCCCGAGCATCTCCATGGGCCGGCCATCTGGACCATTCAGCAGCGCATCGCCGGGTCTCAGAATCTTCTGGGACATGCTCACGGCCGACGAGGTCTCTCCATGACCGAAATGGATCGGGCTCGACTTCCCTGGACAAACGAGAGCTTCCAACGGGCGTTCCCTTCCACTAAGAACGTGCTCATCAACGGGATGTATCTCACCGCGCGGTTCCCCGATCTCTACAGCAAGACTAACAATTGGGGTCGGAAACTTCGTGACCGATACAATGAGCTGTTTACCAAATACGACCTCGTCGTGATGCCCACCACACCGGTAGTTGCCCCCCGGCACGGGAAATGGGGTCTTCCCATCGACTCGATCCGGCCCAGTATGGGACTCACTATCAATACGGCCATTTTCAATGTCACGGGCCATCCGGCAATGTCCCTCCCCGTCGGGTTTGCTCCGTCCCCGGATGATCCGCAGATTCGACTACCGGTTGGTATGCAGATTGTGGGGGGGTGGTGGAAGGAGTCGGAGGTTCTCAGGGCGGGACATGTATGGGAGACCCATTTCAACTGGAAGGATACGGATCTGTAGATAGAATAGACTTGAATCCAGCGGATGAGCGCTGGACATGGATATTGAATTATAGATGATTATGAGGCTAGTTAATGATATACCCCCCATCGACAACAAGGGCATGTCCCTGCACAAAAGATGCCAACGGAGAGCATAGAAACAGTGCAGTATCGGCCACCTCAGCGGGCTTCCCCATTCTTTTCATCGGCGCAATGTCCACGGCGGGTTTCAATCGCTCGCGAACTTCCTCACTGGAGGTTGTCATCGGCGTCTCAATGACTCCCGGACAGATACAGTTCACTCGGATCCCGTCTTTCGAGTAGTCAATGGCATCGGAGCGAGTAAAGGCGATTATCGCGGATTTGGAGCCACAGTATGCAGCTAATAATGGTCATTCTACAGGACTACAAGGGGGTAAAATAACCAACGTACGAGCATGAGGCCGTCCCACAATCCCCAACTGACTTGCAATATTAACCACTGCTCCTCGTTGAGGCGGACGCTCCGGATCATGACTGGCCAACGGCTCGTTCCGCAGCATATGCTTCAACTCCGCCCGGGAAGATAACCAACACCCCCGATAATTGACGCCGTTGATCTGGTCGAAGGTCTCTGTGGTGGTGTCTGTTGACCGGTGAGCCTCCCCGAGAATCCCCGCGCAGTTGACTGCGTAGTCCAGTCGACCAAAAACATCTACGACGTGGTCCATAAACGACTCGACAAATGCTTCATCCGCAATGTCCCCGACGCGGTGCACCAACTGGACGTTGGGGTAGACAGCTTGGAGGAACTGCTTGGTCTGGTCCAAGGATGTTGGATTGAGGTCTGTGATGGCGATCTTTTGACAGCCTGCTGAAGCGAAGGCTCTCACTACTGCAGCTCCAATACCTGGTTGAGATAGTAGTAATACTCTCGATGGTCAGGACTTAGCTGGGGGATGCAGCATACCTGTGCCACCTGCACCGGTGATGACGGCGACACCGGGAAAAGAGAATGAGAACATATTATACTTATTTATGTGACCTTTTGATGGTATTGTTCAATGGGAATGGGATGAGAGTTGGAGAAGTGAGAAGTGGGGTAGTGGCGTTGGAGCACGTGTTGGAGCGTTCTCGCCGACCGACGCCGAATGAATGAATCGAAAGAATCGCCTCCCGGCGTTGTTTGTCTCCCTACCCCTGCATTTTGTCTCCAACAGTGGAGGTCCCTATCTGTCGAGAAGCGTCATACCATCTCCCAGATGACTTGATGTTGTCTCAGTCATCGCAATTATCCCGCGCCACTCGTCGTTCCAGCGCTGGGTCCAAAACCCGAGTATGTTCCCATTGTGGGCGGAGTTTTAGGAGAACCGAGCATCTGGAACGACACGTTCGCACTCGTACGTCTACTGCAGCCCCCATGTGCTACTATGACTTCTGCTACTTCTTCTACTACTACTCCCCCTCCTGTGCTGTCGCCTGCAGGAACCTAACTGATCCGGTCGTGCAGACACCAAGGAAAAACCATACATCTGTTTCTGTGGGGCGGCATTTACCCGACGGGATCTGTTAAAACGACACTCTCGCATCACCCATGAGAATAATGGCCTAGTCTCTCCAAACTCCCAGCCTGAACGAGAGGCTCTTGAACATGCTACCTCTGCCGCTGCCGCTGCCGCATCCTCCGCCGCTACCACCACCGTTGCTACTGCAGTGCGTCGTACGTCGGACCTGTCGACCACGCAGCAACAATACAATGTGCAACCACCCGCCCCGCGATCCGAGATGCCTGTTCCCGTCCACTCGGCGATGGAACAGTGGTCCGGATCACAGCATGGAGCATACATGGAGCATAATCAGGGCATGTTGAATACCGGTAGCAACAGTGCCGGTCTAAATCCACCGGCCCCTGCTGTGACTCACGATGCCGATATACTCCAGGCGGCGCAGCTCCTGCTTCCCGGAAACTTTCGGGATGCTCATCCCCCCGGTAAATTCGCAGTCTGTCATCATGATCAGATCCGATGGCTAATGGTTAGCTAGCTCAACCGTTGCCGTACCTACCGGAGGAACTGAATCACTTCCAAGATTTCACGCATTTCCTGGACTCGATCGGTTTGCCTTCAGAATGGGTCCCCGCTCTAGGTGACGTTCCTCACGTTCAAAGTGCCATTCCCACGGAAGTGCCCGAGCCCGGTAGGAATGCTAGAGAGCAACATACTGCGTCTCGACGTGGCCAGAGAGAAGGATCCGGCGGGGACTCTCCATTCCGCTCCTGGTTGCCGTCCGTTCCTCCCGGGGACCAGAGCCTGGGAACAGTCTCCGATGATTACGGTATGTAATTAGCATATGGATACTCATGTGGGACGCCTGCTGATCTATCTCCTAGAACCCCCTCAGATCTCTACGAAGACCTCGCCACTGAAGGTCAGTGAAGATCAGAGGCTGCGCCTTGCCGCTTCTTTAGAGGAGTTTCGACATCTTATCCCAGACTTCATTCTGCCTTCGCGACATACGTTGACGAGGTATTTGACGTCGTTCTTCGACGGATTCCACTCACATCTTCCTTTTATTCACGTTCCAACTTTTCGGATCAACGAACGTGACCCAGAGTTTGTTCTGGCTCTTATGAGTGTGGGTGCACAGTATCGATTTGAGCATCGCAATGCACGGAGACTCTTCTATACCGGAAAGGCGATCGCGCTCCATAGGATTTCACGAGAGTCCCATCAGCTGCCGGCAGGAGCATACAATACCGTTATCCAAATACCATTGGATAGCATACGTGAATCGTCTCAGCAACCTGGCCTGGCCACAGCACTCCCTCCTGAGGAGAACGCTATCGGGATGAGTGCGTGGAAGCAGATCGAGAATATTCGAACCTTGCTCGTCTTGATGGGATACTCTACATGGGAAGGAGCAGAGCTGGTCCAGGAGGCCTTTGGTCTCCAAAATCTGCTGGTGCGATGTCTTCGCGAATTTGGTCTGACGGAAAATATTAGGGTGGCATCAAGGCATTCCCATTTACATTGGCATGAATGGGCTGAAGAAGAGTCCATCAGACGCACTCGCTTCATTGCCTTCTGCTTTGTCCACGTTCACAGCATCGCGTATAATATTTACCCGGTGCTGCGCAGCAGCGAAGTACATCTGCGTTTGCCGTGCTCGACAAACGAGTGGAATTCAGCCACAGCCCAGGACTGGGAGACGGCTCAAAAAGAAGTTGGCGCGCAGCAGTTGTTCTTTCAGGATGCATTGGCCCTTCTCCTACAGCAGTCGCGGACCACAGTCTTGTTGGACCCGATCCCGGCCCCTTTGGGCAATTATATTCTGCTTCATGGCCTTCTCCAACGTATTCATCTGGTGAGCGAGCTCTCTTTACCAACGGGGGACCAGATGATTTCAAAGCCTACAGAGGAGTTGAATAAACTTGAGTGAGTCATCCTAGTTGTGTGTGACTGTGCAGCCTGTGCATGATATATACTCGGATCTGGATGAACACTTTGCTAACTCTAACCGTTAGACGAGCACTACGGTCGTGGACCTCAGTTTGGCAACAAGCCCCTGAATCAAGCCTTGATCCCCATAACGAGAATGGGCCGATTCCTTTTACCTCCAGCTCGCTTCTTGGCCTGGCATATGTTCGGCTCTCCCTGAATTTGGGGCCTTATCGCCAACTTGAAACGCGTGATCCGTATCGCATTGCAGCCGCCCTGCATCGATCTCCACGACCTGGTCGAAGCTATCGATTAACACCTGCGCTCATATACTCCGCGCATGCACTAAGCATTCCTGTGCGGCTTGGGATCGATCACGTCGCCCGTAGCCAAGCCTTCTTTTGGAGTGTTCGTCACTCGATTGCGAGCCTCGAATGCGCTGTGCTCCTCAGCAAATGGCTGCTCTCGCTGACTGAGGCAGGCAGCGACCAAAGTTTGAGCGGTATGGCTGCTCCTAGAAGATCAAAGCCAAAAAATATTTACTAACGTTGTACTGCATACAGACAATGAAAGCCGTATTTTATATTGGACCAAATGCATCGTGGAGGAAGCATATGCCTCTATGGATTTGGAAGAGGGCGAAACTCTACCAGGGCCGGACCCCACCAGCCTTGGGTTTGCAGTCATTAAACTCTGGGCCCGTCTCTTCCGCAAGAACACCCAGTGGCCATTTATCAATATACTTGGGGAAAGTCTAGAAAAATATCTGGCCTTGATCCAGCCAGGATGAACACGAATCAATGGACGAAACAACATACAATCTACATCCAGCTTGAATTGAATTACAGAAGTCATTCTCTGCTGTTTCAGGATATCACTCTTCTGTATGCGCCACTGCGGAATCCCACGGAGAACATTGGCTGATCTTTCCGAGCCAATTGAAAGGCCAACGGCGACCGACCCCGTGGAATCCTCGAAGGAGGGACGCGTCCACATTGTGGGTATTTAACTTTTCTGTGGCTTGACCGTTTGATGCTGGTTACATAGTCTACGTGTCACTACCGTCGACCTCTCATTCCCCGGTCTACATCCTACTTCATTCGGCAAGAGATTGCGCGTTAGATGTAAGCTCACGGACATGGCCAACTAGGCAAGTTCTATGTCGCCAGGAAGTTGTTCCCAGTATAGATGAATACCTTCAGAAATCTTGTACATTATCCATTCCATGGCAGGGACGATTCCTTCCCTTCATTACATATAAATCAACATTTGAACATAATTAGATGATTAGAGTCAATAAGACCAGGTATTCATGGCAATTTTCTTGAACCGTCTGACAAGCTTAGAAGTACTTCCTTGTGAAACCCGCCAGCAATGACGAGTTGGAGCCATCGGACGTCGAGTTAGTCGAGTTAGTCGAGTTAGACCCGATGAGCGGACCGATGGTCAGATTCCCGCAGGGAGGCGAGGGAGCAGAGACGCAATTTCTGAGGTACGTTCCTAGCCTTCCGGTCCTATTTCCACTCTTCAGGACCTGGTCCGGAGCGTAAGCAGGAAGCAAGGTGGTGCTATTAGCTGGGTAGACGACACTCCGCTGCTGACTCGCGATATAGTGTGAGAATCCGCTATGCTCGGCGGCCAGACGAGCCACGAGGAACGAGACCTCAGGAGCCTGACTATACCCCGCCAGACCGATAAAAGCACCGGTAAGCGTCTGTTCCAACTGGAGTGCGTTCCTCACCCAGCTTGCGCCATCCCTGACGGGCGGAAAGGTGAAGTTGCATCGGGGATTGTTGTATCCGGGGACCTTGGATCCAAGCTGCTGGACCGCACGAACGCCCAGACGGTTCTGTCTCAGGATACCTTGGAAGTTGGAGTAGTAGTTGGCGCGAGTACTGTTGGTGGCACTGTTTAGATAGGTCTGATTCAGAGGCTGAGACGAGTAGTATCTCTCCGCGAGGTACTGCAGAGCCCATCCATACTGCACGACTTTGACATCGCTCGACTGCGGCGAGCAGGTCGAATTCGAGTTCGAAAGGTTCCGGGCAAACGCGGCTCCAGCAAGGAGAAGACCACTCAACGCTGAGAAAATGCGCATGGTTGGGAAATAAATACGTCTCCTCTATCGGGTTGGACTTTTTATTTTGATTATTTGTTTATTTTTCGCAACTGGCCTCGTTACTCACAGGGGAAAGGGATGGATGGCAAACGAACGTAGCGTGAGATACATCGATCCTAACGGAGGGGAGAAAACTCAGTAGAGGACAAAAATATTCGGACCAGCACTCTTACTCTTATAGCTTTGACCCAGATCCAAGTAGACTCTATAGTACCGAATTACGAACAGTCAGCAGGTGGGTGTAACGGTATGATGAAATCAACTCTATTCTTATCCCCGCCATTCTTTTGCATCACGGCCCAGACAGACGACCGCAGTGGCGCCTTGGATCAATAAATTCTATTGACCAACACAACGTATCATCCATTGAACCCCTCCGCGGAGGAGGAGAAAGCTGACGCGGCATTCCCGGATCACTGAATGGATGGACGGTCATTGAGCAGTGATCCTCAAAACAGATAACAGATACAACAATGAATTTTGGATTCGGAAAGACCGGCATGCAAATGGGCCACTGGACATGATATCATGTGCTAAATGGACGGAATATGGATTGGTTCATGATATCATTTCGTTGCTTCGGGTGACTTGATGGCCATATGACGAATGATATTGGCTGGGATCGCCTGTTCGTTCGAAGTGGAGACGTTCTTCGGATCTCTCGGCTTCGTTCGGGTTGATTAAACTCAGTGGGGCCGGTAGATCGGCTGTCAGTACTTTTATCAGTTCATGGGGAAAAAAAAAAAAAAAAAAAAAAAAATTTAAAACATAAAATGAAATGAAAATGAAAATAAACTGTGGGAGAAGTTGTGTTGTTATATATTTGTATTATTACTGGATCTATATTTATATCTTTTGAATAAATAATTGTTTATATTCAAAGTATCTTAGATTGTGGAGTCAACTATAAAACTATCCCATATAATCTGTATGCACACGCATTTTACAGTTTACCATTTTATATTAGGAACTCCATTGGGTATACTATAGCTTTAACAATGAAGTTAAATATATATGTACAGACATTTAAGCTCTCTGGGGCAAAAAAACCTGATAGGAACTATTCAACTTATAATGGGGCTAGATAAAATTACATTACGGTCCGATGTTTTAAATTTAATTCTGGATTCAGTTGAGCTTAATACAGACGATATAAACAAACTGTCCAGTTGTCTTAGATGTAGCCTAACCTGGACATGACCTATACTACATGTAGCACTTAGCCAGGATCAACTGTCTTTATTAATCCTTGACTTGCAGAAACTAGAATGAACATACATTATAATTATACCTGACAGATTGTGGACTTCTTTGGGTACAACCGGTTAGGTAATCAGCCCACCAGAGCCGCAAGTATAGAAGCATGTTCCCACACAAGCTCCTGTATCTAGGTCTTCATCATCATACCTTCAAGTTGAAGTAATCAAAATCAAATCGTCACGTTGCCTACCTCTGCATACAAAGCTTCTACACAGGTTACCTTAATGCGACACATACCAACAAGTAAAATATAAAATAAACACTGAATTTGCAGATACCTATAACAATGTCCTTTCATATACCTATTTACTGCAAACTTTTGTTCTCCACTGCCCTTAACACTGGCCAAAGGGATGGAATTACAAGAATATTTAATACAATTATGTATAATGGGTCTATGAATCATCCACTAGACGCTTCTGTTCCCATGCCTTCCTTGCTCCTTCCTGGAGAACCTCCATGTTGCCACTGTTCTCACACATGCTTCGGAAGAGGCCATCGGCCTGGTTGATCAGGGTCCAAGGATGGTCGTACTCAATAACGCGGCCATGATCCAGCACCAGCACCTTATCATAATCGATGATGGTTTGCAGTCGGTGGGCAATCGTGATAATGGTGTTGTCCCGGAGCTCCCGCAACGTCTCTTGGATCTTGTTGTCCGTGTTATAATCGATGGAAGCCGTGGCCTCATCCATCATCAAGACCTTGGGATTCTTGAGGAGCGCACGTGCGAGACACAATAGTTGTCTTTGACCTTGGGACAGGTTCGATCCGGATTCGGACACAGGAGTCTCAAGATTGAGGAAGATATTCTTATTATCCTGGGCTGCCGTATTGGTGCCATGGACTCCATTCGATGTCGCCGAGTTGGGCTCCAGATATGTGCTACCTGTCATGGGTGTTGCAGTTCCCGAGGTGCTGGAGCCAATCAAGTGCACGCGCCGAAGTGCGGTAAAAATCTGTTCATCAGTGAACATACCAAACGGATCAAGATTGCTCCGTATCGTTCCCGTGAAGAGTGTGGGGTCCTGAGGAACAATAGTGATCGACTCTCGCAGATCTTTCAAGCCAATAGCACTGATATCGATGCCGTCAATGCATATGCGTCCCTTCTCTGCTTCAAGCCCGCGGAAAAGAGCAAGAGCAAGAGAGCTTTTGCCAGCACCGGTACGTCCAACAATGCCAACTTTCTCACCCGCTTGCACGTTGAAAGAGACGTTTCGCAGAACCGGGTCGAGTTCAGTTCTATATCGAGTAGTGTAGCCGCAAAACTCGACTGCACCATGGCTGGGCCAGTTGGCCGGTGGCCTTGAATCGGGAATGACCGCCTCAGCTTCCTGCTCAACGCCAAGATATTCGTTTACTCGCTCAACGGAGTTCATATTCTGCTGAACTTCAGAGTAGAGCCGCACCAGCCACAGGACATTCTCTGTGAACGTGACTGCATATGTTAATGAAAGACCAGCAGCACCAGCGTCCACTTTTCCAATGTTGGCGATGATGAAAACGGCGGTGAAAAATGATACCGAGGCTCCCGTGATGTCAACACGGAGTGCCAGCCACCGATTACTAGCCCAGAGGTAGATGTGTGGCCGATTGTAGTTGTTAATCCGACGATGGTTGTCCACAATAAACCTTGGTCCGTCGCCATATGCACGAATAGTAACGATGCCATTAAGAGTTTCACCGAACTGCTGATACAAGGGACTCCGTTGTACGGATTCTAGTCGCTTGAGATCGCGAGAAGAGTTCAAGTAAACAGCACCCAGGGCGAAGTAGATAAGCGTAATGAATACTGCTGCAATCAAAAATCCAGGAGTGATAACAGAAATAAGAACCACGATCATAATAACCGATGCTAAGCAGTGGAGCATCCCAATTGCCACAGGGGCAACCTCCTGATCAACTGCTTCGACGTCCTTTGAAAACCTGTTCATCAATTGTCCTAGAGGCGTGGAGTCAAAGAATTTGAATTTTGCATGCATCACAGCCTTTAAAAGACGATGGTGAATCTTGAAGGACGCATGTAGAGAACCCCAGAAAAGAACGGCCTCTCTTGTTAACGAAATCAAAAGATAAAGGACACCAAGAAGCGCATAAACACCAAGATAGTATGAGACGTTCACGTCTGCAGAAGCGCTAGTAGTTGCCTGCATGTTAAGTTGAGGAGTGCCTAAGGCTGAAGTCCGTGGGACACCTCCAACATTGAATGATGGAAACTTCAAGTTCGTCATCGTAGCATACTGGCCTGCATCTGCTGTTACAGTATCCTCAGTGCGGTAAGAGTTTGCCCATTGTCTTATCCAAATGTTGGTGGACACGGAGCCTAACTGCTGTAGCGAGAAGATGAGTAGAGCGCTGACCCAGTAATACCTGGAGCCCATAGACTTAAGGTACATTTTGATAGTTGACCATTGGACACTACCAACCGCCCTTGACTCCACTAGCGTGGGACGTGCATTCTCCCCTTTGGCCTTATCAGTAGACCCGTTGGCAGCAGAACCGTTGGTCTTGTGTGAGTCCTCCTCATGTTGATCTTCCTGACCAGTCTGCCCGCGAGATGGGCGTGGAGAACTTGATCTAGAGGCCGGTCGAGATTTAAGGAGGTCGTCACCCAAGGCGCCTGAAGCTGCGACCTCATCCGGATGGCCTTGGACAGCAATTTTACCATTATCAAGAACAACAACATGGTGCGCGTGCGACACAGTCAAAGCAACATTGTGTGTCACAAGAATGCAAGTGCGGTTTATCATCAGAGGCCCCATGAGAGCCTCACTAAAGATATGCTTCGCTGTGTGAGAGTCGACAGCACTGAGACAGTCATCTAACAGGATGTGCCGGGCCCTGCTATAGATAGCACGCGCGAGAGAAATTCTTTGCTTCTGCCCTCCTGAGAGACTGATGCCTTTCTCTCCAACCATTGTCTGGTCACCAGCATCAAGGATGGCCAAATCTCGTTCCAGAGCACATGCTTTGATCACAGCGTTGTAGCGCCGCTGATCAAATGGAGATGCAAAAACAATATTTTCCTTTACAGTGTCATTCACGAGCCATGCTTCCTGTGCACAATATGCAACACTTTCTATAAGCCCAGTCTGAGGGTCCACTGGGAGTTCCGCTCTGCTGACAGTTCCACCTGGCAAATGGACCCGGCCTTCCAGGAGCTTCATTTCTCCAAGCAAAGCCATCAGGAGGGAAGTCTTTCCCGAGCCAGTTGGCCCTGCGATAATATTAAGTCCCCCAATCCGGAAAGACACATTGACGTTGATTAAACGGAATGCGTCCGATGTTTCCTCTGGCGTTTCATCCTGGTACTGGCCCTTGGAAGACCCCCAGGTAAGGGTGGCATTCTCAAGTGCGATCCTAGGAGTCAGCCCGCTCGCCTCGTCAGGCTCTAACTGACCATATTTATCGGTTTCTTCTTCGTTCAAATACTTATCCACACGGCCCAGAGAGACTTTCGACTCTTGGACGTGAGCTAGCATGTCGGCAAGCTGATCAAGGGGAACACGGAGCAGCGTGAACAGGGACAAGGCGGGGAATGCCACTGAAGGCGTCAAGTCCTTCTTCTCAACAACAGTGTACAGGAAAAACGAGGCGAAGGTGATAAGGATTGGTGTCCCATACCAGACAGTTGCTGCCACAGACCAGAGGATGTAACGGAAGCGCAAGGCCTTAAGTTCCGCTCTTCGTTTTTCGTTCACAATATCCTGAAACCGCTGTTCCCACGCGAAATATTTTATAATGCGTATGTTTTGTAGGATCTCGTTTGTAGCGTGGATGCGAGCATCAGTCCCCTTTAGGATCCGGTTTTGCAACTTTGTAAATTGCCTCGCAATAAAGATGTTTACGGGCATCATTAGGACCATGATGATAATGCCAGCAAATGAGCTGAACCCAAGCAGTCTATATAAGAGTGTGACAGCAATAATAATCTGCACTGGCACGCTAGCCCATAGGAAGTGGAGGTAGGCGCCGACCTCGCTGACTTTGAATGAATCAATCGCCATCAGGTTGATGATTGTACCGACGTTCGCCAGATGAGTCTCATCCTCTGCTTCTGACCTTTTATCTCCCCGGCTCGTCTCCGGGTCCGTGGTGGCCTTCTTCTTACGGCCGAAAGAAAAGATGCCTTTCTTTTTGTTATCCGTAAAAGAATCGTCTGCTTTCTTTTGCGTCGATTCAACCGACGCGCCAGCTTTTCGTCTAAGAGCTTTGGCATAAATCTCGCCAATAATGATAGCACGAAGTTTCACGCCCAACTTGCGCCCGATAAAGAGCGCCTGCCCATCGGCTATTCCCTGAATCGCTCCGGAACAAAATAACAATATGGCGTACAGCCAGGCAGCATTCGCCGTGGTTGACCTCGGGTTCTCAACATACTGTAGAATTGACCTGAGAAGAATCGTGGGTAGGTATGTGAAAAAACTTGAAAAGGCAGTCCATGCGCCTTGCATTAGGAGGGTGCCGGTGAAGTAGCGCAAGAGCTTCCAGGTCAAAGAGCCTTTGTACTGTTTGCGGTGAAAGTCCTCTAGCACTGTGGCGGCCTTCTGGGACTTGGTTAAATTCCAGACATCTTCGAGCTCAAGGGTTTGTCTGCAGCCTTTGAAGACGAGTGGGTCAAGCCAGGAGAAAGTGAAAAGAGATAGCAGGCTCGCCGTTGGGTGTCTTGCCGGCTCAAGCCCATCTTCATGAGGAATCAAAACCGCCTTGTTCCCTCTACGAGTGGTCATGGCGATAAGAAGCAGTAAAGTGGACAACGAAAACTCGACGGCGCTGAAGCTCATTGCACGCCTAGAAATCGGGTGAATGACCGCAGACCGGAAGACGAACACGGTAAAGAGCCATTGCAGCCCATACAAAGCCGCCGTGTGATCCCAGAGTCTGGGAAACGCATGCAGCCCAAGGGTCGAAAGAAGCAATCGAACCAGTACCAGGAATAATATGTAGCCCCAAGAGATTAACTTCGCCACCGCAGGCAGTTTACCACGATCACCCCAGCCATTCGTCAACAGAATAGCAACGAAGATAGCCACCTCTCCCACTAACGCAGCAAGCTCTAATGCAATAACAGCGATTTGACCTCGAGGGCGGTCGACGTCCAACTGGAATAGGTCGGCCTGGGCCGCCTTGGATAGCACTGGGTCGATCTCCTCCGCCTGCTCCTCTTCGACCACTCCGACAACGCGGGCATCATTTGCGGTGGCATGATCATGTAGAATGTTGTAGGAAACGCCCTTCTGGGCAACGAGATAACGATATACAAAGCGAAGGACGATCAATAGTAGCGAGAGACCACATGCTATAAGTGGAAAGATTACTTGCAGGTAACTAGATTTCAGACGCGGTGGGTAAGTAACTAACCGACACCAAGGTCGCATTGGAAGCAAGGAAAAGAGAATGGATGCGGATAGGGAAGTACACACTTTCGCTGGAAGCAACGAGAAAGATCGTCAACAGCCCAAAGGGGGCCATGACACTCCGGTATCATTTCTGATAAACGGATAGGGATGAGTCAATTTGAGAATCATTCGTTTTCCGCGAAACCAGAAGACTAATATGGAAATGGAGGGTGAACAGCTAAGTATTCGGCCTATGTTACTGGCAAACTGGTAACATTGAGACGCCGGACAGGCCTGACATTGCACGACTTTCGACAGTGGATTAAAATTTAAAAAAAAAAAAAAAAGTCAAGGGCGGAAGACAAGAACGAAAAAGAATGAAAAGCTAGGCGGAAGGATGACGAGAAAGACACCAAAGAATATTAAACCAACGTACAATACTATAAAGGGATGCGCAATCACACCTATAATAAAATAATACCAAGCAAGATCTGGAGAGGGGGCAGAATAATGTTGGAATCGGAGGGAGAGATTATGACGAAGTGAAGGCGGAAGCAGGGAATGCAGCAGTTCTAGTAGTTACTAACACTATGCACTGAGTTACCGCCTGGTGAGTAAGAGAAGATCCAGACCCACGGCCAAAATTCCTCGAGAGTCATTGGCCCGGTCGCGTTCCCTCCATTGCTCCGATTCCGAAACCGAACCTTTTGCGAAGTCTCTACTCTGTACATCGTGGGTATACTGTACTCCGGAGTACTCATATCTTACAGAGTACAATCAAGGTGGGAAATGGGCCCCATTGGTGGTGCGAAGAGCAGAGTTGCTGTACGGGGTATAGCTGGGCTGGAATGCGAGGAATTATCAGATGGCTGCAGCAGATTTTTAATTCGTTTATACGAAGTACGACGGATGGGAACCGGTATGTATCACGATTGTATCATTCTCTGCCTAATGTACGTAAGGAATCAGCAACAACAAGGCCACCAACATATAGTAAGACTAGTACAAAGTGGTTAGTTATTATCTGGTAAATGTCAACTAAGTAACAGCAAGAAGCAAAGCATGGTAGGTACCTCACAAACTGGCCCAGCTCGTATCAAACTCCAGGGACCACTTCCGAGCCGTCCGTGCTCCTTGCAGGCTTCCCCTGTTTGAGACCCCGACATGCCAAGAGCCAGCTATTTTTTTTATTGCTTATTGCTCAATAATGATATGTGGCTGGGAATACAAATGAAGGAATGGCTAGCGCAGTCTGACTCAATGCCTGCAGAGTGAGGTCAGTTGACAATATTTTCCTTCTCTCAGATGTAACCTTCTTAGTTCTGACTCAACCCTTCCGGGCGATTATTCTTCTAGCTTCCTCCAAGATAAGAAAATGGTCACCGACTCCATAGGCCTGTAGTAGGTAGAAGCGAGTACGAATCTACCTCGAATTGATACTCGAGACTGGAGAGCAAATTTATAGTCCCCACTCCAAATGTCTTATCATAGCATCGTCTCTCCACCAGCCGACCGCCCATGATGATACATACTCGGTCGCATCTGAAATAAGTAGGTGTCGATCTACATTGATGCTTCCCTATGTCTTGGAGAGCAGAGGAATGATATTCCATCTATGCAGATGCAGACAAGTAACGTGACAATCTATATCACCAGACAGAGTGGGGAGGAAGAGCAAAAAAATTAAAAAAAAATTCTCAGGGGATTGTTCTTAGCGCCACCCGGAACCTTCCGCCACGATTGCCACGGGACACCAACAGGTTGAATGGCCTCAAGCGCCAACCTCCAAATGGTCAGACAGAGCAACTGTTGACATCCACCACCGTATCTCTATACCACACTACATCTTCAATCTCCCTCAAATACTTCATCCATTCTTGGAATTCTCTCTTCCCTCAGCCGCGCATACAAGTGACCCCCGCGACCCCTGACCCTCAGCTTCTCTTATCATGGCAGAACGGATTTTGATGAACGAGTACAAGACTCTGGCAAAAGAACCATGGATGAATATTGAGGTGTGTTGCTTTCAGTGTTCTTATACTATTTCGAAAACTTTTCTTTCTTTCTTTAAAAAGGAAAAAGAGGGGGCTTCGAACTAACCGATTCCCGTCTCCAGTTGAACGAGGAGGATATCTTCAAGTGGACTATCGGATTGATCGTGCTTAATCCAGACTCCTTATACTATGGAGGCTATTTCAAGGCTTCCATGGAATTCCCAAAGAACTACCCATATTCACCGCCTGGTAAGTCTTTCCTTTTTCAAATGCGAGCGAGAATCCAGAATACCCGGGATCGGCGAGAAACATATTAAAAGTAACTATGACTAACCATGTAATGCTTGGTTCTATAGAGTTCCGTTTCCTACGCCCCCTTTACCACCCAAATATCTACGAAGATGGCAGACTTTGCATCTCCATCCTTCATGCCCCAGGCGAAGACGAGATGTCCGGCGAACTAGCCTCGGAGAGATGGTCCCCCGCTCAACGAGTTGAATCCGTTCTCATTTCCATTCTCTCGCTGCTGGACGATGCCGAAGTATCCTCGCCCGCGAACGTCGACGCCGGAGTGATGCTGCGAAAGGAACCCGAGAAATACAAATCCATCGTCCGAAGCAACGTGGAGGCGTCGAAGAGTGACATTCCCGAGGATTTCGTCATGCCAACTCACCAGTCCACTGCAGCGAAGCCTGTTGAAAAGGATGACTCGGACTTCTGGGCGGAGAGTGATGCTGACGATGACGTCTTCGGTGGAAGTGACTCGGACGAGGATCTGAACGTCGATGATCAGGATACCGGCAGCGAAGAAGATTAAGACAAGAAACTCCGTAACCGACAATACTGCTACGCTACACGAAGGGAAATGGGATCTTATTGGAAGTTTTTGGCGCCTAGGGGCTTATCTGATTTTGTTAAGGCATAGCGCAGGCGCATGGGCAGCTATGTGGCCATCTTTATGCATTAGATACACAGTTGGCCTTTATCAAGCATTTATGGTGGAGCGTGCATCTTTATTATTTCTTTAGAGAAGCTATTATTTTACAAATAGAATTTGAGGGCCTGAGAAATCGGCGCTGAAAATGACCGCAACTGAGGCCATTTACGGCTACATTTCAATCCCCTCTCCCTAATATTTGCATCTCATTTTTTTGTTTTCTCTTTTCTAGAGGGTACTCACCAGCCCCAGCTGTTGTTGTCAATTTCCTCTGGTTTATCTAGTACCAGACTCTTCTGCTAGGGCATCATGATCCTCTGGCACTTTAACTTGTTGAGGCACTAGTTTAGAAACTTGGGGTTCATCCGACATTGAGCTATTCAGGAAAAGCCTCTGTATCACCCTGTATCTGGAGTCTTCCCAAATCCAAAGCTGAACGTTCCCGTTGTTCAATATTGGCTACGTGATTCGCGTGTGTTGTGCGCATGGGAAGTAGCTGTTCAGAGTAGATATCAATTATTATTTCATAATGTTTCCAGCACATTTAGGGTCCTCGCCAAACCGCGAAGGAACTTATCACTTTTAAAGACTGCCTCGTAAATATTAGAAGCATGCTGGAGGCCTCGCTTGATTATTTCGGCCGAATACATCTCGGAGGGTATCCAGAGTTTGCCTTAGTACCCCTGAACTAGAAGAGTGCCAATTAGCTCATATTGCGTAAAGTTAGAGTGCGTCGATGCGGCCTCTGGCCAAGCAACTGTAGAGAGGATGTTTCCCACCCCCCGGAACATGTGTGGCTCTTGCCGAGCTGGAGCTAATTAAAAACAACTTGAGCCTATCCTCGTTAGTGTCTTCAATTACAACGCTGTCTTTCCAAGCTGTGAGTTGGTATTGATGACGACTATGCAGCAATCTTTAGAGGCAAGAGCAAAGCCAGCTGATCATGGAACACTCATTAATTGTTTCTGACCCATTGTCGAGATATTAGTCAAATTTAATATTCTCCCAGTTGCAAATGCAATTTATTGTATTTACGAGGGCCCAGTAGAATATCACTGATATTTCTATTGAAACACTCTCCCCTAGAGATTAAGCTGGAGTGCATGCTACATTCCTAGATGGAATTGGTGGCCTAGAAAAGCTCTCCAGGCTTCATGTTGCGCAGATCACTGTCCCCACTGATCCAGCAATCCTCCAACGGATCTTCCTTGGAGCAGAGTAAACTGGATGAAGCTGTTCCTGGAAGTCCCACTATCAGCATGGTGAGATTGATCTCCCCGACGCTAACTCTTCCGCGGATTTACAAAACATGCGCGTCTTCCCTGGAGTTTCGGTGAAAGACCTCTTGGCCTCCAGATGACCTGGATGATTCTTGTGGTGGCCAGGACAGCCACAGTGGTAAAGACAATGTGATTCTGTCCGATGCCGAAGATGAAAGCGGCACGGCGAACAACTGAAAGTCGACAAGTGACCAACCCGCAGGTGAAGGACAAAGACACCAGATGGTCGGTCCTCCAAGCGGCCTCGAACTGCTGCTGTGTCATTGAAGAACAACTATTCCTCCATCACCCTTCGTTGTCGCTCCCTGGAACGTTTAAAATTTCTTTCCTGGTTGTTCGAATGGGCAATACCCGGTGCATGTCTGATATCTCAGGCGCCAACAGCACTCCTCGCGTAAGTATGCAGTCAACATTTCATCGGACACAATATTATGTGGTTGCCCGAATACCTGACAGCGATAATGACACCAAGTCGCCTCCAGGAAGGGCATGCCCTGATCGCAAGAGGAGGAGAGCCTTCTGATAGGATTAGGAAAAGATCAGGGGCATTCATGGCGGGCAGTCACAAGATCCTGTTCGGAACAGTTTCCAGGAAGGAGCCAGGAGTCTATACAGGTGTATTGGAGTACAAAACTCAAAGAATAGTAATGTGGCCGAAATGGGTACTGTTTAAGTCTGTAAGATTAAAGACATCACGTAATACACAAGAGTGATTGGTGAAAAGTCGAACTGGTCATTAACATAGCTGTAACATTTTTACTGTGGCTGGTCAAACCGAAAAGTTGGTCCGATGATAACTGCATGGACAATTAAGCGAAGAACAGTAATCAATCGTGTATTGCTACTGGATGGGCATAACGTGTGTTCGCATGATATGAACCCATAGATCACTATTCTACTGCTACGGGGCTTGAAGCAAGTGGCCAACAATTTTGATGACTGATTTTTCATTGCTAATGTTTGAGATGCGTTAGCATGCCATACCTCTCATAGTTGTAATTCCGGCTCCGAATATGTGAGACGATACTCCATAGACAAAAGAAAACCACCATCAATCTGCCCACTCGAGCTTCTAAAACAAACGAAATCCGTCGCCCGTCTCCAGTTTGATCATCGTACCGAAATGCGAACTACAAAAGCCTCCATACTGTTAGAACTCATAGAGATAACAGTTCTCCCTCCAACTGAGATACTCCATCATTATGATCTGGCACTGGAGATTCTCTAGGATTTCCTCCTTTTGCTTCCAGAATCGCTCGAGGGACGCTCTTACAAGTTAGTCGATCGATGCAGTGCTGTTGTCCAATAATATCCCGACTGTTTCGTTGTGCATTTTGGTCTTTGGGCAACAAGTATAACGCCACTCGAGGTGACAGCACAGTTTCTATGCGCGATGCTAGCATCAATTTGCACCGAGTACCCATCCTTTGAACGGTAGCGGTCGTTTACCGGGTTTCTCAGGTACTCTCTGAATGGAGGAGATAACATGTCTTCAGCAATGATTGTATGGTGGGCGGTTGTATTCCATATCATGTCCACACGATTGAGTTCAATTACCAGATCACCGTCATCACTTTCCAATCCTCGGAAGACAATGTTGGCCGTGATCACTGGTAGGTAGGAAGTTCTCCATCAATTCCACAGGAAGTGAAATGAAGGGCACTCGGAACCCCTCTTGCGGCTTTCTTAGTTAGTTGATCTCGCCGGGCATTCTCTGATGGAGGCGACGGCGTTACCAGGCTCTCTGGATCGATGCTAGTTTGAATCCTTCGGCTGAAAGAGCTGTCCATAGGCAATGACGAACCTGAGTTTAGGCTTTGTGTATCCCGGAGTGCAATTTCACGAAGCAGTCTGTGGATTCCGGGTAGTGGGGGGTAAAGGGGGGCTTTACGAGCATCGACTCATTAGGATCACTCTCACACAAGCATTCTTCAACAGCTCCAATTGCTGTTCTCCATGAACAAACAGCAGGGAGCCGAACAGACAGCTGGTTGTCTCGCCAAACCAGAGAACCTGAACTTGGCGGAGGACTTCCGATGGGCGTAGGTACCTTATTTCAGCAGCATGCATTGTGGTCAATCTGGGGGACAAGATCAGTTAGAAGGCAAAAAGTGACTAGTTCAGGAGGCTATTGAATATTAGGTAACTTACTGGCTCCTGGTGTCCCTGTTCATTAACCTTAACAGTAACGGGGGTTAAACAAGAACGCTTTTTTTTTTCAACTGCAGCTGCACCGTGCAGGGGCTTGCGTCTCTTGGTACTGGTCATAGTGTAGTTGGTTCAGGCACCTTCATCTCATAGATATATAAAAAGTGAGGAATTAAGGTAGACTCATACTTTAAGTGAAAATGAATTAAGTCTTCAAAGTGAAGAGGCGTGTTCACCCTACAGGTTCTGGATGTAGTAGGAAGGAGATACGAATCTTCCATGGCAGTTTGCTGAAGCGATCTATCGCCCCTCTTCCAGCCTCTAAAATCTCAAGAGGTTCTACTGGACATCCGTCGACCTGAAGTATAACGGTGCGGCCCGTGATGCAAGTGTGATATGTCTTTAGGCAGATGTTGCTGGTCATCCTGGTTCAGCCATCGCGGAACTAACAGTGGAAAAAATTTTACAATATTTCTCGCTGCTACATTGGCATTAGCCCATTCGGCACCCGCGACGTGGCGATCAAAAGCACTCTGTCCAGCTTTGATCCGATCCAAAGGGGGCGAGTTCACGTGGCGGAGGGCTTCTAGGAAAAAGTCCAGTGCTTTTTGTTTCCTTGGAATTATCTCCATGACCAGTACATCGTCCTGCAGAAATGAGCCCAACGTGTTGAGGTACATTTGTTAAGATTATACATTGCAGCTGTGTTGACAGTTTCCCAGCCCAGCTAGATAGCTTCCAAAGTATTGTTCCTTCGCCAACCTTCTGTGCAAGAGCCAGGCTGACGCTCAGGTTATAAAGAAGGAAGGTTCGATCAGCATGGTGTTCTGGAACAAGGCTTAAGACCTCACCTTGTACTTTGATCCCTGTTTTCAGGTCGCCTGTTGACCTCGTTATTTTAAGCGGGACGCGAGAAGCAGATGAAGGTTATTCAGAATGCTGATGTGCCATATCGTCCTCCGAGACAACACCACCTGCTGCAAACGGTGTAGCAGGTGTTGTCAACTATTGCCAGAGTTAACGTTTCCGTAATAGTTTCGCTCGAACAGATAACCAAGTTGGTCATTTAGAGTTTTCGGACAAGCAACACGGTGTGAATAGATTGATGAGCCGCTCAAGTGAAGGGGATACTATATGGAATCCTGCTTCATTAAGAATTCAAGCAACTTACTAAGAATAAATCGGTACAAGAATAGCTACAGGAGAGAAAATTAAGTACCGGAATAATGTCTATTTTATCGTTGGGTTTATACTTTGGTTAATACTATAGTATCTGGCAATATAGAATAAAGTTAAATTATAGTGGAAAGATTTTAGTATTTATAGGCAATTTACTAGTCTGCTGCTTTCGACCAATGCCAGTAATATTAGATTTTCTACAAGCTATAAAAACAAATTTAATATACAGTGTATTATTGCACCGCTCCGGGGAGGCCGATCTTTCTACATTAAAAATGTAACATATCGCACTTGGCATAAAAGCAATGTTAAAAGTGCAGGGCTAGGAAAAAATACTTACTGGAGAATAGCCTCTAATAATCAAAATTCCACTGGAGATAATTTAGAGATGGTGGAGGTCTCTCTGGAAGGGTTATCTAACAAGGAAAAGCCGAGGACCCGGATGCTAATATTGTTAATTTCTACACAGTAACTACTAAAATAACATGACTATCTTGCCTAAATTTATATCCCTTATTGTGTATACCTATACTAAGTGTTCCCGGTTACATATCAATTACCTATCTAAACAAACTGAATTAATATAGCAAGAGAAGAGCAGACCAGTATATCTGGAGATTCTACGAGTACTATTAAGACTGCATATCTAGCATCTGTAAGAGTCAATATTAGAAAAAATCAAGCACATACGACCATAGGGTGTGGAAAACAGGGCTTCCCGTCCGCTCAGCCGTACTTAACCCACACGCCGGCCGGTTAGTAGTTGGGTGGGTGACCACCAGCGAATCCCAGCTGTTGTATGTTTTTATCTTATTTTTTTTTTTTTTTTTTGATTGTTGGTGGTTGCTTTTTCAAAGGTCCTCTCTGTCCAGATCTGTTCTGATCTCGAGGGGTGAGTTATCATGGCGGAGGGTTTCGAGGAAGTAGTCAAATGCTTTTGTTGTTTCCCTGGAACCACTTCCGTAGCGAGTACATGGTAGTCCTGGATAAATGTGCCCAACTTGTTAAGATACATTGCGTGGCTGGTGTCATCTATTGTGGCTCCATTGACTATTTCCCAGCCCAACTGAACGGGTTCTGTAGGATCAGTTAGTCCGCGAGCTTTCTGTGAAAGAGCCAGGCTACGCTTAGGTTATGAAGGAGGAGGGCTTGGTCTTGATTTTGCTTGTCTTCAACGCCAACCCTTCATTGATCTGTGAGAATCTCAAGAGAAAGACCGAACTCCATCTATTAACCACCATTTTCTCTGCCTCGCATAATCATTTGCAATATCACTACGCCGTTTTTTATTTGTCTCCTTTTTGCTGAGCAATCTGGTCTTCCTCATTTGTGCATCTAATCAGTAATTGTATAAGAAAGCGAGCGGCGGCTTCTTCTTTGTATTGCGTGTCAAATAGAACTTGCGAGTGCCTCAATATCTTACACAGTATTAGGGATTTATATATGCATATGCGGTAGAATATCTCCGTAGTTTAATCATCTTCGTGATAGTTTTCATACCCTCGTTAATACAGGATAATAATAGATATGGTATTTAAACCCTTCAGGTACAATACAAAAAATGAGACTCTTAGAACTGTTGGTGTGGTTTCTCTCTATATATATATATATATATTAATATTAGTCTCTATTATAAAATTTTAGGCCTTGCTGACACTGCCTGAGGCCTAGAAAGTGCTAGTATAAAAGGGAGCTTCTCAATCGGAGTCACCACTCACTTTCTGGTTAAACCAGTTCGTCATAATTTTCACGAATGTCGACTATATTAGGATCAGGAGTGATTTGCGTTTAATTAGCTACATAAGCAAAGGGCACCTACCTGGGGTGCGGGGAGGAAGAAGAATGAGAAGGAGCCAATTCCGTTCTGATAAAGGTACGGTCTGAATAATTCAGCGATAACCAGCGGCGAAGGTGCTCTCAGATGGGGACCCGTCGAAGCGCCCAGCCGATCTTTGGCCAGCCAGGTTTCGAGGATTGCAAGGAGTTGGCAATGGATTAACTATATCACCTCCACGTCTAATAGAATAACCTATTACTGATATGTAGCACTAATATTAAGTTGTTCGGCCTTCACAGGTACAGTGGACTTATCCAATCCAAGTTACGGTCAAATTTTGTGGTTTTGTTTCTATCTATATATATATAATATTCCCTTGAACCTCGAGATCACGAGTTTAGACTTCAATGCTTGAATTGCTTAGAGTGCTCAAATTAATTCCACGATATGGTACCGAGTATTGAATAAGCCAGTTAAGTGACATTAATGAGCGATTGATCTAATGCCGACTAAAATGTACGGAAGAAGGCCGAGGGAGCTCGATCCTTGATATAACAGCCATTACGAACAAAAGTACAAAACACAATCTATTCCCACATGACAATCCCATAAAAGAAAGACGATGATCGTGTTGGGAATGAAAGGAGTACCCGATGGTGACTATACATGGATCATATTGCGAATCCGATCCTCATTCCCCGTTTGGGAAAGTTGCGTGGCAGCTGTCTTGTCCGTCGCATAAAGAAAGTACTAGAATAATAGGTGACGTGGCAGGTAATCGCATGGACCCTGGATTACAGGTAGATAAGTATACACAGAGAGGAGGTACTAACTCTTTAAATGGCATCGGATAGGCGCTATTATGCACCTATTAAATGATACTCTCAGTACAGTGCCAAAGGGTTGAGGCTGTAGTTTCTCAATCCCCGTTGTCCTACCGTTCTGGAACTTTATATAAATCAAACGCTCACAATGACCGAGGCTTTTACCAACCGCACAGGAAAGGGTGCCACAGAGCGAGGAACTTGTCAGCTGTTCCGGGATCACCCTATAGAATTGGACAAAAGGGAGCGTAAACGGTATCAGAATCGTCTTGCGCAGCGCACGTACAGTGAGAAGCTTCCTCTTTCAGTGAATGGCTCTAGTGTAATGACTTATCGTAACTCTCTAGGACGGAATCAGAAACAACGATTGCAGGCTTTGGAAGCCGTCGTCGCGCAATCCTCGGATACGATAGCATCGTCCCTCACGAGCCACACAGAAGTTATTGTTCCTCCAGAACCTTCCTGTGACGATCAGATATGGGCCATAGATCCCGTGTTGCAGGAAGCTTCCCCCTCGGGGCTTCTGACGAGCTTGGGGCGAACAGCGCTTCATCGCGCGGTCTGCAGTGGGAATGAGTCTATCACTCACCTTCTCTTGGAGCGAGGAGCCAACGTCATGAAACAGGATGGAAATGGGCAGACGGCACTGCACCTGGCCGCGGAGAATGGGTGCGAAGCGCTGGTCAAAGTCTTAATCGAAAGGACCCCAGATCTCAACGTGACAGATTATCTGGGACGCACGGCGTTGTTTCTAGCTGTTCAGAGTGAAAGCGAAACGGTAGCAAAGCTATTATTAGAAGCCTCAATCGATGTGAATTGGAAAGATACATCAGGGAACGTTGCCCTTCATCTGGCAGTTGAACGCGGTTCCGAGTCTTTGACGCTTCTTCTCCTCCAATACGGTGCCAATATCGACGCATAGCCTCGACATTCAATTAAAAGCTGAGGAGCCCCTTTGATGTAGTATAGGTGAGAACTAGTTGAGAAAAGTGCCAGAATAATAGAGCATGCACGGTAATTGCCATCTTCAAACCACACCACCGTCTACTCCTTCACCCAACAACCAGCATATCCCACCCACGTCTTTATCGGCATGTTCCTATAATCTGGGCCCTTATCTGACATATCCATCAGAAATTGAGAGCAATGCATTGTATGCTCGCTGTCTGCAATGATTGTGTCAAGATTGTCCCGTTCTTCAAAGAACGCTCTGAACTGCTTCCTCCACAACATGGCGCAATGAACAATATGGTCTCTTTCAGATGTATAATAGTACTTCATCTCAGACATAGTGTCTATACTCAAGAGCTCCGTTCTGTTTTCGTCTGCAAATCCAAACCATGATTCATCGGTCTGATATTCCTCGACGGCTTTTTGATCCATGCAAAGCCCCGGCACCCAGTGATTGCTTAAAATATCATACTGACAGCCCAGGGCCTTAGCCTCTTCTGGGGTCCAGCCACAGGTTAAGAGCTTCGCTTTTGTGGTGATGTTCCCGAGCGGCTTCGTCTCATCGATTGGCTTGATAGATTTGCGACTTTGTAGAGAGAGGTCCATAGTGTAGAAAAGGCTTCCCCAGAGCAAGGAGGTGAAAATAAAAACCAGACTGTGAGATGAGAGGAACCAAAGATTTAAATTTGTCCGGTGGCGGAATATATTTCGGCTTTCAGGATCACTTATTTGTTTTGGTGTCTGGTGAGGATCTTTGAGAAATAGCTCGGACTCGTCTCTAGGTCCCATGTTGCTCGGATGTATGCAATCTTTGGTGAAATGTTCTTAACCTCGATTGAGGTGGTCTAATTCTGCAGCACTTCCAATACCTTTATATCTGACTTACATGAACAAGAGCAAGAAACGTAAGACTAATACGCAAAGTGCATTCTCACGTAAGTCAATTGTGTATTTGCTGCCTACTCACATAAGCCGGGTGACGAGGCGTCAACTCCAATGAGGGTAATATGGTTTATATTGGAATCTGGTCTATGAAATATTAAAGCTGTGGGGCTATGCGTCGATGCATATACCAACAGAATGCGGTCCAAATGCTCCTGAAGAATGTGATTACTGTGATGTTGGATATGATGTCCATTACAGTACTTCCCAAAATATATTTACATGATAAAACACGGAGACTATCTCCAACCTACATCTAGGTTTGCACTAGTCTGATTTAGGTTAGTGTATTATAGGAAAGACCAACCATGTTACAGAATACCTTATGGACTAACTAGTTTTAGGCTAGTTAGAGATTGGCACTAGAGTTTTGAAAACAGTTTTGAAGTATATGGCGTGGAAATATATGCCGGAAGGACTATACATGCTAAGTAATGCATACGACTGAACCTAAACTATGGATGCTACGAAGGATTAAATGGAAATACCAGAACTTGTCAACTAGATGTTATTCCTGTCTTTTATTCCTCATATCGTGCTTGCACAGCTCTCACTAGCCAGTACATACATATCATATCACCCTTCTAACTAAGCCCATGGCCATATCTCAAACAGTGTGGAAAGCTTGTTTCCGCTACTCTATAATGAGGATGAGCATCTCTGCTAGTCCGAAAAAAATTATAGGACTCACAATACTGAATTTACGGCACCGATGCACAGGTAGCGGGGCCGGGAGCGTTAGTACTAGCACTGTATAGTTCTTGGCCAAAAGTCCTCATAATCGCGCTAAGCACCCGGTCGCGTCAACCAACGCGTCAAAAAACCTCATTTCTTTAAACACCAACCATGACCCCAAAAAGGACTCCTTTGAGTCCTTTTAGCAATAATATTAAGCGCAATCGTGAGCTGGATCAAACTGAGAGAGCTTATATACAGGGCCTTTATGAAGGTGGAGTAAAACCTCTTGAAATCTCAAAGCGCTTGAATCGACCCCTCCCAACCATTTATGCCACGCTGAACCGAATATCTTCAAGGCAGGATTTTAACTCCCACCCACGATCTGGTCGGCCGAAAATCTATACAGATAGAGACAAACGCTTGGTGATCCGGTTAATTAAAGAAAATCCTTTTATTACCTATAAGGAGGTACAAGAAAAGCTTGGGTTGTGATTCCGCACCGATCGCTATACCGGATTGTTAAAGAGTCAGGATATAGTAAATGGAGAGCTCAAAAACGCCCCAAATTAACACCGGAAGTAGCGAGACTACGGTATAATTGGGCTTTAAAATATAAAGATTATACCGACAGCGACTGGGACAAGATTGTATGGTCAGATGAGTGCTCGGTTGAGCTTGGATCCGGCCAGCGCCACCAATATGTGTTTCGCCTTAATTTACATGGTGAAAAGTGGAAAAAGGAATACATTCAGCCATACAAGAAGGGCAAGGCTATCCGGGTAATGGTCTGGGCAGCTATTTGGGGTAAAAATCGCAGTGATCTTGTACGTTTGGAGCGTGATTTTGAAGCTAAAAAGCATGGGTATACTGCAAAGTCATATCTTGCTCTATTGGACGAGATGTTGCCTACTATTTGGGAACCAGGCTATGTTTTTATGCACGACAACGCTCCCATTCATTCTGCCAAAAAGATTACCAAATGGTTGCAAGATAATGCAATTCCTTGCATGGAATGGCCACCATATTCGCCCGATCTGAACCCCATTGAACACATGTGGTTTCCACTTAAAGAAGGTGTCTACGACTTAAATCCGGACATTGAAAACTGCAAGGGATCGAATGATAAGAAGGAAGAGATTCTATGGGAAGCTTTAGAGCAATCATGGACCTTGATCAGTCAAGATATTCAAAGCGCAATAATAAAGAGTATGAAAGATCGAGTTGAGGCAGTTTTGGAGGCAAAAGGGTGGTATACAAAATACTAAGTAATTTTTCTGCTTTTTTTGCATATTTTTATGAATTTTTACCATTTATTTAGCATATACTACATTCAAATCAATATAATTGTTTTTGTGTTGCAAGATATATATATTTTTGTATGGAGGGGTGAACCATGGTTGGGTTGCCCCGCAAACAAATTATACAAACTTTTGCCGGGGACTGTAACACTGGCCATCGCGCTGAGGGTCTCGCTCTATTCACAGTAAGTCTCTCCTTTAGCTAAGTAACTGATAGATATAGTACTCACTATTGTTTCTCTGAGCATCTAAGTGAGGCTCTTGCTGAGCATCCCGCTCTTCTACTCTCAATAAGCCCCTCTCTATGCAATGAACGATGGAAAACTTACTGATATTATCGTTCGGAGAGGGAATGACTAGCGCATTATCTGCACTGGAAATTGGAATAGCCGCTGCAATATTTGCGATAGCGACCAAACCCATGACGAATGCTGTTGTGAAACGCATGTTGATGAACTTGCTTGGAGTTTCTGAGGATGATATTCGTTACAAGAACGATATACTGGACAGTGTGCTTGGAAAATACCAAAGTCGAATTTGACAACCCTTATATAGCATTTTCAGAGAGGAGATTGTACTGGAAGTTGGGAATTTCTCACGTAAGTTTCGGATGAGTGAGATACTTACTGTCTAGGTAGATAGATGACTGTTGTAGGATAATTATGGAAGGTATCGCATGTGGCTCACGTACATCGAATGCCTCGAACTGTTGCGTGGCAATTCTTCTATTATCTCATGCTGTCTTATAGTTATATATTTTTCTATTTCTTATACTAGTATTGTTCTCGCATCACTCGTCGTGGATTATGACGGTGATCATTTGAATAAAAGAATATTACGGGTCAACAATATTCGGCCAGTTGGGTCCAGATGACAATACTTACAAGAGCCTGGTGCAACTTCCCATGATATAATCGCTCGATAATTCTCATAACTGCCCCCTCGACAGGCTACTTTTCTCATGGCTTCCGTCCCAATGTTCGTGACGATAGTGGGTCGAAAGCATCCACTGTGACCGTATTTAGACACACATGAAGTTATCTACATAGACACACTCTGTTATCCAGTCTATCGAATAGGAAAAGCAAAAGCACTAAGCCTAATAAGTAGGAACGCTCTATATGCTGAGCACGGTTCATATCTCATTTCCACCCATTTTCAGGGGGCATAGAGTCCAAGTCTTGTCTCGAAGCACATTAAAACTATAGCTGAACAAAATATACCATTTCACTGCATGAATTTGTATCTACTAACATACCACATCATACGAGACATTCCCTACATGTGTATCTATCTTATGCCAATCTTCATCCCGCCTGAGCGCCTTCAGAACCATCTCCGAACAGTGCAGTACGTGTTCGTATTGCACAAGAATGGGTGGATACGGCGTGGCATCCCGGATGATTTGCCCCAAGCTAAGAAACAGAAAGACACAGTGACTCGTATGTTCTCGTCGCTCCGTGTAAAGGTCTACCCCAGTATCCAACGCCTTGTAGAATTCCTTACCGACCGCTTCCCTCCTACCTTGTGGATCAAAGTAGTATTTCCAGTGTTCGGCATGGATAAACTCGTCGTTCGCGTAGTGTGGGCAGTTGGGCGGATACCATGACCAAGTTAGATGGTCGAAAGTGCATCCTAGAGACATGGCTTCTGATGAGGAGTTTCCACAAGGTCGAGATGGGCTGTTTTTCGATTTTCTGTCCTTTTGAGTGAGAACTCCGTATAGACCGAGGGATATCAGCATGGTGAAAATGCAGATTGCCACCGCGGCATAGGCGATGTTTCGGAATAAGGGTGCAAGATACCGGGATCTCTGGGGATTGTCAGGTTGGCTCTCTGCTAGGCCGTCAACGTCTCTAGTATGTTTTTCGTCTGAGCTTGGGCTCGTGGTTGAGTCGTCCGTGTGAACCCTTTGATAGGGCAGAGTCCACCGAGGAAACATTTGTTGAAAATTGGACAATTTTATTGCAGTTGGTAGAATAAGCACATATATGCTTGGTAACTTGTTCGCAGGATGGTTCAAAGACCCTTTTCTCTTCTTCCATTTCTCCAGGAGGTCGCTGGGGCTTTTACAGGAATGGCGTAAGAACTGAACTCACATCAGCACAACCACGTAATCCGTAACCCTAATCAGTAAGACAGACATATTTTTTGAACACTTTATTATCTTCAGTTTACACCACACCAGGTTTTTGATTGTGCAGCATAATGCATGGAGTAATGTATCAGTCGCATGAATCCAGCTCCGAGACTTATCTGGAGATAAAAGATCATCAACCAGATCTTGATCTGCACGAAACCCAAACTTGCCGCAGTTGCAAGTCACGGGGAAAGCTCTATGCATCTACGGTCCCGTGGCTGCTGTCATTAGTTCTATTGGTCAGTCTAGGAGCCTCAATTGCTAGATCTCGTGAGAGATGTGTCCAGAATGGATTCTGGAGGGATGGCGAATTCGGTAAGTTGATTTTTCGATATAAATGCGCCTTGCTCATTACGAAGCAACGGCGATGAGGGAGATCCCCGCCACTATGAAACAGGTGCAGTTCGACGCTACCCTGAAATATAATGAGAGCCATCAATTATATCGCCCTGTCACCGAACCCGCTTACGTCGGAGAGCCGACCCCGGAGATTGATGCGGCATGGAAAGACCTCCTCGGGGGTAAGTGATATTATATCATCCATGAACATGCAACAAGAAACAAGCTAATGGGTATTTCTAGCTATAAATGTCTTCGTGACTCCCAAAGAAGAAAGTCAGTTGGGAGGAGGCTTATGGCTTGACCCTGAAACCGGGTTGCACATGGCGCAGTAAGTGACATATTGATATATTCCTCCTTAAATTTGAGCAAAGGAAGGGATGACATATCTAACGCGCCATGAAAAGGGTGTCTGTGTTCCACGACCTTCACTGTATAGTAAGCCTACCGCAATCTGTGTCGTGTTTATTTCGTTGGCTCTGATCTTTCAAGAACATGCTCCGCCAATCCCTATATCTGGACTATTACTCAAACTTGAAAGATTCAACATGGCAAGCTCATGTTGGTATGATATCCTACGTCTCAACTAACTCCTAATGGGCCAAAACAAGTTGATTGCTAATGAGCCATAACAACAATACAAAGAACATTGCATCGATGCCCTTCGACTTAGCCTTATGTGCGCCGGAGACATGACGTTCATTCCAATTAAATGGTCGGAAAACAGGAACTGGATCATGCCTATATTCGAGACTGTTCACAGCTGTCGCGACTACGACGCATTGAAGAAGTGGTCAAGCGATCGAGATGCCGCGGATCCAAATCTGTTGTATAAGAATGCGGCCAGGCTGCATGCGAAGGGCATTTGAGGTTTCTATTGTTTGCATATCCAGTGTACTAGAAGCTAAACGTAAAATGTGCTCTATTGTATCGCGTTAAGCCACCCCTGCTGCCAGAACCCACTAGTTTATATTGTATTCAATGTACTGTGCAATATCTACCATATATAGATGATTAAGAATCCAAATAAATGTCAGTCTAAAGTATAATCTATATCTAGATTATAAGCAAGTTGCAACTCACCCTCTTGGTAATGTGCAGCGGCTTCAGATTTCCGCCTATGGGCTCTATGTACAACTTATATTTTTTATTCTAATTTAATGTCGGTCAGCTGAATACGCGTATGAGCTAGTATCACCGATTATATAAGAATATGGATATGCATTGAAGAAATTGAGGTCTCTAAGGTCTCTAACTATCTGAATCTATCTGGGAGAGCTGGATGAAAAAGGTGAAAACAAAGGAATAAAGTCGGACCGAGCGGATGCTGAATAATGGGTAATATTGGCCCACTTTGGTCGACATTTAACTAATTATGTTAATTTATTTTAATAGATAAATATAGTTATTCCACATGTATTATTAATTCTATATAATAAAAATTAATATCTAATAATATAAAATTCTTTTTTTAAATTTTTTTAAACAAAGAAAATAATATTCTGTTGAAAACCAGGATGCCTAAGGCACCTTCGGGTATCCTAGTCCTGAAACCATCTGACATATCACACGCAAGGCATATATTCTATAGAGCTTATACTTCATATAATATCACCTAGTTAACTCTAATTCTCTGTATAAGATAGTTTGATAAATATAGAATTCTGACCTACTTATACTATGATCCATGACGTCGTAGCACACTATTCTTCCACTACCTGCGGTTCCATAATACCGCTGTTAATATTATATAACGTAATAGTGCAATAGTATGATCTCATGTACTTATCTATCTAGTAAGCAGACGATATAGATTAATTCAGACTTCTCTATCCTTCCTGAAGGTCCGAACCAATTCAGGAGTCCCTACAATCCAATGCCAATCATTCCAATTCCCCCATTCAGAGCAAAAAAGTGAAACCCTCCAACCCATCAAAAATGGCCTCCCCAAAGCAACGAAACCCACCTCAACAACCCCCGACCTTCACAGCCACCCCAGTCTCAATCACCCAAGACACCAAATATCTAATCGAGCGTGCCCGAGAAGGCCAACACCAGATTAAAAGGAACGTGCAGCCCAACACCGCAACATTTATCAACGTTATTCTACCCCTTGCTCACATCGACAACGCACTGGCTACCAAGTCCCATATCCTTGTTTTCCATAGAGCCGTATCGACCAACCCCGAACTGCGGAATGCCTCCATCGAGGCCCGGAATCTGCTGGATAACTACAACATGGAGACGATGATGGATGACGGTTTATTTGCGCTGGTTGATGCTGTCTTCCGCAAGAATGAAGATCTGGATCTAGAATCCTATCGTCTGTTGAGGAAGTTATATATGGGTTATGTTCGGTATGGATTGAGATTGTCGGCTGGTTGCCAGAGGGATCGGTTTCGGGAGATTCAATCGCGGCTTAGTTGGATTAAGGCTGAATTTCAGAGAAATTTGGTCGAGGCGAATAGTGCGGGTATCTGGTTTACGGCTGGGGAATTAGATGGATTACCGGGTGAATTTCTATCTAAGTTAATGGAAGGGGAAGGAGGAGAGGCCAATAAGGATAAGGTCCGAGTGGCGTTTAATGATTCAGACCTCTTTCAAACGCTTAGATATGCGAAGCACAGTGAGACGCGGAGACGCATTTATATCGCTAACGAGAATAAGTGTGGACAGAATGTGTCCCTTTTCAAGGAGGCTATACTGTTGCGTGATGAGGCGGCTCGTCTGCTTGGGTATCCTAGTCATGCTGCTTTGCGGATTGAAGATAAGATGGCGAAGTGTCCGGAGACTGTGAATTCTTTTCTCAGTGATTTACAAGCTCGATTGAGAGAAAATGGTAAGAGAGAAGTCGAGAAGCTAAAGCAACTTAAGGAGGCCGACCTTGAGTCCCGGGGAGAATCATTCGATGGCCGATATTTTCTGTGGGATCATCAATACTATCATCGAATGATGTTGGAGAAGCTGTACTCGGTGAACCAACGGAAAATTGCAGAATATTTTCCTCTTCAAAGCACTATTACGGGTATGCTAAGGATCTGCGAGACTTTATTTGGTCTTTTTTTCAGTGAGTTTACCAGAGACGAAAGGACCAAGCTAGCTACTCCTGGAGATGCACTTGTCTGGCATGAAGATGTGCAGGTCTTTAGTGTCTGGAACGCCGATGAGGACGATGGCTTCGTCGGGTATTTTTATATGGATCTTTTCCTTCGGGAGGGTAAATATGCGAATGCAGCCAATTTTAATCTAATACCTGTCTGTTGCAATTCTTACATCTTATAAATCAAGACTGACTTCCAGTAGGGCTTTATCCAAGAAAACGGCACACGCCGATATCCTGCCACAGCGTTGGTATACAACTTATCCAAGCCTAATTCTGAAACCCCCTGTCTTCTGAAACATGACGAAGTTGTTACCTTGTTTCACGAACTGGGCCATGCGATCCATGATCTTGTGTCGAAGACAACTTACTCGCATTTCCACGGTACAGAGACAGAAGTGGACTTTGGCGAAGCCCCGAGCCAGATGCTAGAGAACTGGTGCTGGACACCATCAGTACTGCGGTCATTAAGCAGGCACTACTCATATCTTTCCTCGGAGTATTTTGACCACTGGAGAGAACGAGCAGATAGGAAACCTCAGCCTCAAGAGCAAATGCCTGACGCGATGATTGAGAGCCTCCTCCGAGCCAAACACATAAACAGCGCACTGTTCCATCTGCGTCAGTTACATTTTGGTATCTTTGATATGGTAGTCCACGAGCCTGATGACCACCACGCGATCGAGGAATTAGACATCTCGGCGAAATACAATAACCTCCTGGCTAAGATTTTACCGATGGACGGCCCAGAGGGTGACGACTGGGGTCATGGTCAAACACGTTTTCAACACTTGCTGGGGGAGTATGATGCAGGGTACTACAGTTATTTGTTGTAAGATTCATTCTTTTGACCCGAGAATTGACTTGATTACTAAAAGTTATGTTATAGCTCGAAGGTCTATTCCACAGATATGTTCTATACCGTGTTCAGGGCCAGCCCTATGAACTATCTAGAGGGCCGGAGATACCGATATACTGTTCTTGAGAAGGGAGGGAGCCGGGATGGGATGAATATTTTAACTGATTTCTTGGGGAGGGAACCTCAGACAGATGCCTTTTACAAGGAGCTTTGTCAAGCTTGATTCTTTATAAAGATATTCTAGTGAAGACGAAGGTCAAAATAAGATCGATCATAAGTAGTTATATACTGCATCTTAACTATGACTTAAACTACGCATCGCTAGGTGAAGACGAATGCCCAACTGGTTTAATTGATTTTTCAACACGGTGGGTAAATAACCTCCACAATACTCCCAATAACATCCGGATCTTTCATCTTCAAAATCGTCGTAGAACAATGCTCAGTATGTCCCAACTTAATTGTTTCCCCATCCGTCATGCGACCCCGTACTAACGCCCTATTCAGCTTCTTCCACATAAACAGACAGTGCGCGTAATGCCAGCGGTGGGTCGTCCAGATGAGCCCCGTCTGAGATCCCAGCGTATCAGGATCATCCAAGTACGGATCCGTGCCATTTGCACTCGGAAAATATTGCCACTGGTACGAGGCTATGAATTCGGACACTAATTCATAGTCGATACACTTCGGGGGAAGCCATGCGGTGGCAATGATATCAAAGTGGCAGCCTCGCGCCAATGCTTCGGTTGGAGACTTGCCGCAAGGCAATGGAGTAAACTTCTGCGACCAAGTCAACTGCCCGGACGGGAACGATTTGTTGTCGTCTGTTAAGGTCAAGTCGTGGAGGCTTGTAGGTGGTGGAGTCGCTACTTTCCGGATAGCAAGGAACGCAAGGAGGAGGAGTCCGGCGTTTAGTAGGCACCACCATGTCCATGGTATAAGGCTTAGTGCTGGGCGGTATTGGTGAAGCTCCTCGTTTTCGTCATCATCTTCTTTCATCAGCTTTTGGTGACTGTATTGATCATGAGGTTGTCTTGAGTGACATAGAAGTTTTGATGAGAATATAGACATTTGACGAATACAGTGGGGATCTGGATCTTGTGAACATTTCCAAGCCGACAGACTATGAAGCTTTCAATCAAAAATCCATTAAGACTACCTGTAATGGTCCTATTACGTGATTCGATTTGATCTCATAAGTCACCAGAATAATCTACCATGCATTACGTTATACTAAGCCGGCTAGGCCGTATGACTACAGTGACACGAAGCTCAAGGTGTTACTCAATTGACGTGCTTTACATGCAAAATATTCTGGAGTTGAACTCTACCACTCACTGAAACTACATCAAAGCATCCGCCATGATAGACCAATACGAAATAAACGAACGCGAATCCGACAGTCTCCTGAGACTATCGAACTCTTCACGGCCCAAGGACCATAGATATAAAGGAACCACACAGTTCCTCATCATCCTATCTATTTCGCTAAATATTTTTTGGTTCGGATTGGGCTCGGTGTATTGGATCAGCAATCTCAATACGCGAACAAGCTATTCATCGTATGAGAACGGATTCGCTTCAGACCTAGGTAAGGACCACATACCATCATGGTATTGCTAAATATGAGTCTAATACTACGTGGATAGGAGCCGTGAAACCCGAAATCGAGTTAATACAATATGATTTCAACGGCGGGATCAAGTTAGATGAGAACGAAAACTACTTTACAGACCATGTAGGCCATGAATACGTTGGAAGCCCAACGCCGGAGATTGATCGCGCGTGGAATCTTCTTCTATCCGGTTAGTTATTTCCATTAATAATAGATGTGATGGTGCAAAACAAGTACTATACACCTACTGACTCTCTACAATGAACCAAGGACTAAACATTGATCTGAAGGGTTCGGACGCCAATATGGATGGAAGAACAATTCAGTGGCCAGGCTCTGATCGTTACTTCACTGGACTCGAAGTCTTCCATTCTCTTCACTGCCTTGTACGTACTGAAATGCTAGATGATGACGCTACGTGAGATAGAATAGCTAACATAAGGACGTTCAAGAACCGACTTCGTCAAGCAATGTATCCCAACTACTACGATGTCTTCAACCATCCAGAGGACCCATCTCGCGAAGATCATATAGGTTCGTTGAACACTTACATGTCGTTCTCCTTGCAATTTAATTCGCTCACAAATGTAGCACACTGCATCAACCATCTACGCCAGGCAATCCAGTGCCACGCGGATCTCACCCCAATGGAATGGACCCTTGTGGATAGGAAGATTATACTTAACACAGCCACTCGTCACACTTGCCGGAACTTCAACAAGATTCATGAGTGGGCACGGCAGAGGCGCACGAATTTTCAAGAAGTAGAGGCTGTGAGAAATGGTAGTCTCTTTGTCGTGGATTAAGTTTCTCAGTAAGTATTTGGTCTCTTATCATCTAAAGTAGATATGGAGAGGTACCCTTCGAATATTACCTGTTATCTAGCCTCATTTCCGAGATGAAGAGCCGATTAATTAAGCGCTACTATAAGGGAACAGAAGGAGTAGTATCAGAACTGCTATGTACAGTATTATGATTAGACTGGGGCATATACTCATACACCAGATACCTGAGATGCTATCTTTATCTGCATCTAAATCCGCGCGGATATGATGCGGATATCTTATTCCTCTCCGCAGCAGTATAATTTTTACTAAATTAATCTAATCTAGTCTACTATATGATATATAACTTACTAAATAAATTAGTAATTAATAGTTAATTATATTTATTTTTAACTATAACAATGCTATACAGAACCTTTGCACGATACTCTCTTGTTAGATATGGTGCGTCACCTAACATTGCAGTGTGCTACTATATTGTAGTGGAGGAATTCGGGGGATTGGCACGTGACATTTGTATGGATAGCTATTATCTTAAGTCCTCGTTCGAAGAGGTAATAGACAATCAACAACCTTCTCACAGACCACGGAACGCAGTTGCGTAGAAGGAATGTTGTCTTCTCTTTGGTTGCCAGGAACTTGTGTGCTCGGGGCCCACAACTTCTGAACTGTCTAAAAGTGTCTCCTTGACCTACTCTTTCGGAGTTCTACCATTTCCCTTTCATTCAATATAAGGCGCTCAGGAATATCTAATCCCATTGGAATCAGATATAGTGGTCATTTAGTCCGGTGGAATAGTTAAGATCCTGAGCTTGGCTATAACATCTCTATAATACTATACAAAATATTTATATATATAAATATTATTACTACTAATATTAATACTGTTGTCTAAGTTCTAGAGTGGCATGTCCGACCTGCAAATCCGCATACAGAAGTAATACATCATTATCAATACAGAGATATATTATATTTCTACCCATGGTTAAATATATAATATAAGCTCAGCCTATAGTTAACAGCACAGTTAGTCTATAAATTTTATTCCTAGCTGGTGAGGTGAGCTTAATACAAAATGTTTTTTAGACAGCAATTGCAAGCCTAGATTTTTAATTGATTTTTTTTTTGTTAAGTGGGAGTGTATATGGTGGTGGCCTACTCCATAGATATATTTTTAATAAAAATATTGTGGGCATATATTGTGATGGTTTGGTTGTCTCTGCGCTAGCAGAGATAAAACCACTTGACCATATAAAAAGGTAAAAGACGACTGATCTTCGATCAGTCGCATCTAGCGCCCTATATAGTATGTTACAGGTTCAGCCTGTAACATATATAAGCATATCTCTCTTCCTAACCTACGGTTAAGAACATTATTACATTGCGACTGTGGGCATCTACCTAAATACCTAAATAAAATATGTATATGCAAGAGTAATGCAAAGCCTTTAGCTTTCTATACTAGTTTTTTTTCTAATAGTACAGCAGCTTATGTGAAGAATCTACTAGGCCGGTTAGATCGGCCGGTAGCTATGTAAGATAATAAAGTATCATTATATCTCGTACGAGAAATAAATTGGAGGCTAATCCTTGACCTCTTCTTCTCCGAACAGATCAAGACAACATATAGAAATTTTAGATATTAAAAATTTAACTTTTATTGTTGTTTAACTGCGTTACTATAAACGATAAGTCGAGAACTGGTCATGTTCCGACCAAGAATCATTACCGAACATTGCGCATATGACAACGCATACGTGACAATGCATATCTTGTTGATCTATCACATATGATCTGTATCGGTAAGCCCGACAATGAAGTAAGCAAAGTCTCGATCGGTGGCTTGACCGGAAAGCGGCTTGAAGTGAGTAATTGCGACTTGTGTGATCCTTTCTGATGTCTCAACTGCAGCTTAAATTGATACTAGAAGCATTGTATGCTTGGACTGTAGTTCCATTCTTACGGGGAGGGGAGCCTATAAAGCAGGTACCATTCTTCCATATTAAATACCGGGTTGCCTAGATAACCTCAGCTGGGATCCTACGTGCTTAATCTTGTTTTCCTAAGAAAGAAAATTCTTCCAATACATATTTTATTGGGGATTGCGCGAGACCCGTCTGGCGGATCATTATTTCGGATGTACCCTTCGGCAAGTTATGATACATAAGTGATGTACAGATATTAAGTAACACCCAGTCTTCCTAAGTTTACAAAATTGTAACCTAAAATTATATTAGAGTCGCAATTACCAAAAGCCTCGAAGATGTCACCCTGTATTCTTAAATCAACGCCGTTGAGAGGGAAATCTCCCGATTCATATCTACATCTGAGAATCTCACAAACTGCATGCCCTTCCTGCGTCTACACGAGCCCATCCTCTGGCGCAAACCAATGCCTATTCTGTGCATATTGATCAGCGACGCATAGCGTATAACAGAGAGTTGTCAAATTTTCTGCGACGAAAGTGCAGAGTAGTGCTGGTATACCCTGTATTCGGGGAAATGCACTGCGCTATCCGGAGTCTGCCGGGCTATCCAGCAATGAGCTGCTCAATACTAGTTTAAGCATGATAGACTGTATGTCAATTAACCTATCTCTATACGCATATGTTAACAGTTCTAGGGCGCCGATAACACGCAACGAACTATAGCATGGGCAATCTGATTCTTCGCGCATCATCAGAATATATAGCAATGGTAGTTCGACAACGAAACAGTCCTTAAGACAGCACAGAAACGTAGGAAGTGGAGTGCATCCAAGCACTGGTCAAAATACTCATACGCTTCTACACGGTCTTACCACTCGCTATGCACAGGAAGACTGCCCACGTAGTATATTCGAAGAGAAGACCATCCCAGCTGGGACAATGGTGTTTCGTATCGTGTGGGCGTGTAATCTCGGTATAAACCTTTCTATAATTCCTGGAGGCAAACTAATAAAATAAATCCCTCCGTCCTGAAAACCCCTGGTCTTTCTATCCTGAGAGTTTGCTCGGCGAGTGAAACCACACCCAACAGTTCGCTTTTAGGTATGCGTCTCGCATGTGTATCGCTTCGCATTTGGTGTTTAGACTGGTCTACACTATTGTGTTATATTTGATTGTCACTTTTGGGATTATCCTGTGAGCGTGGATGATTAAGTGGATCCGGTGAGGGGTTTGAATGGCCCGACTTCTATTACTGTTTTGTTAAGGGAGTCGAAGATGAGGTTTGTTCCGAGGTAGAATATGATATTTTGGGTGATTATGAAGCTTCTGTAGATACTTATGTAACTACTTATTAGCTCTGTTCATGAACTACGTAGGGCAGGGCAGACAGAGCAAGAAATAATTGTTAAGCTTTAGAGGGCGTCCGCGAAGGCATAGAGATAGGCTACTAAACACGCCTCTGTCTTTACACCGACTAAATATAAGCTGCTATACTTTATTAATCTAAATATAAATATTCAGCCGCAGCACACACTACTACCGCTGGGAGACACCATGGTGGCGTCGTCCAAGGAGGCCCAGCAGTATCTGGTGTCTGGCTAGACCCTGAGCTCACGTTCGCCACTCATCGCGCCAAGGCTGTGGCCAAGGCAAGGAAGAGTCTCGTGGCACTTCGGGGCCTTGGGGGGTCAACCTGGGGCGCGTCTCTGGGCGCCATGCGTTAAATATATTAGGCTGTGGTTATCCCACAGATGCTATACGCAGTGGTTACGTGGTTCCAGCCGGGAATTATAACAGCCAAGGAGAGGGGTACAGTTATTCCGCAGTTTGCATCTATACGGAAAAGAGCCGCAGTTATAATTAGTGGTGCTTTTCGGTCTACGGCCACGGAGGCACTTAATACTAAACCTTATCTGCTATCTATAGGGCTCTAGATGGAACAGCTCGCCAAAAGGCAGCGATACGGATCGCTACAGGGCCACAGCACGCAATACCGGGCGGTCTAAAGATGCCCCGCGACGGGGAGGAGAAAAAGCTCAGTAGGTAGACACCAATGGATGCACACACCGGTAAGCGCGGTGGGTGTCTTAAGCCGCTACCAAAGGTTAAAGAAAGATAGGAGACAAAGCAGGCATATATTATAGAACCGTGGCGTGCACCTCCGGACGTGGTGATCAAGGACTGCACCGAGGTAATAAAAAGTCATGACTAAATACTTTAACAAACTATCAAGCCGCTATGTGTCTTCACCGATGGCAGTAGATATGGCGGCAAAGTTGGCGCTGTAGCAGTGGTGCCAGACTTAAAAACCCAAACAACTAACTACCTTGGCCTAGAAACTACGACCACGGTATACGCAGCAGAGCTACGGGGTGTCTAGATGGGGCTGGAGATGGTAAAATAATGTCACGGGATACAGCGGTGGAGAAGCTATACCTGCAATGAAGTGCAGATATTCTCTGACAGCCAGGCAGCTCTGAAAGCAATTAGGCGACCTCGGTTAGTCTCTGGACAGGAGATCCTATGGGGATGCCTGGAGCTGCTCTGTTAATGCGAAGAACAAGGTATCCAGGTAATATAGTAGTGGATCCCGGCTCACCAGGGCGTGCCTGGGAGCAAGGCAGCTGATAAGCTTGCCAAGAAAGCAGCGCAAAGGGGACCTCTAAGAGGATAACAACTAGTTGTGCTGCAATCGGCGGCCAAGCGGAGGATCAGGACGGAGTTAAAAGCCAAGTGGGCCAAGGCATGGCAACGGGCAAGGGCAGGACAACCGACTAAGCGCCTGATCAAGGCGCCAGAGAAGGGCGTCTTGCGGTACTGGGGAAGTCTCTGAAAGGTAACCAGCTCGGTGCTTATGCAGGTGCATACAGGGAGGATTGGACTTAATGGGTATCTTAGCCGTATTAACATGCGCGAATCGGCGCGCTGTAGTTGCGATCTTAATAACCAAACACCTAAGCACTTGCTTATGGCGTGCCCAATCCTGACCGACCTGCGAATGGAGCTAAGACGGGAGCTTCGATGGAAAGGCTGTGCCGGTGTCTGGATGGAGGGCTATAAATCAGTGATACGGGAGACAAAAGCAAGCGTGGCAGTGGCGGATTTTATAATAAAAACAGGCCTGCTCGGGCAGTTTCAAGCGGTAGATTCTGCAGCGACAGGGGTCACAATCCAAGCGCAGGAAGAGATGCCTGTTTCGGCCAGCGCAAGATAACCAACAAGGACATTGGGCTGCTGCCTGAAGCGAGCTCATCCCAGCGGACGCAGGACCAGGTCACCTGCGGCCGTCGAGCAGACCAGAAAACGGTACGGAGATACACAGAAGGCGTTTGGGAGACTGAGACGGCGGCTGCGGTGAGACAGTGGGATCTAGGGTACAGCCCTCGCTGCGATAGAAGAGGATAGAAGGGCATACTGCGGACTAAGAGGCACAGGTTCCGTCAGGGGTTGAGCAGTGACACCGCGGCTTCCTCAGCGATGACTATGTCAGCGCGACCCTGCATGGCGACATTTATATGTGAGCTAGGACAGGTTAATGAATACTACTACTATTACTACTACCTCCCTCGCGACCAGACACTTCCACCAGTTATTCTGTCCGGGTCTTGGGTCCATGACCGATCCAATGGTAGCACTCACTTGTCGACGTCCTCTTGTGTCAGACAGAGCCCAATATGTATCAAGATAGTTGAGACCTCGGGGGCCCTGACGAGGGCAAAAATTGTCGCCGGGCATTGTAATACTGTCTGGATGGAGACAAACCGAAAGTATGCGTCTGCTCGCGAGCTTTCATGAAAATCATGCCACAGCTATTGTACCGACAGCAAATGGCTGGGAGCAGCTACTTTGTAGAGCGGGTGCACTCTGGAGAAGCGGCGTGGTTGGGGGTGTGTGGTTTGTTTGGGACGGCCCGCGAGCGGCTGAGCTATGCCCCACTAAGTTAGGCTATCGTCGGCCCACCCATTTATGTTCTGGTCTATCTTCATGGCACTCTCCTGTCCCAATTGCCGAGCCCCCACGATCACCTCCTGCGACCCCGCCGCAGTTTCACTGTACGCCGACCTGGGCTATGAAGCGCGCCGCGAATCTGCTCCCCCGCCCCGCGATGCGATGGCTGATGGATGGCGCTCATATCGTCGATCGCACCCATCCATGGCGCCCAGTCGTGAAATCGCAGAAACAATGAAAACCCGGCTGCCTCGCCGGCACCGACACCGATCGTGGCCGCGGGCAGGGGAGGAGTGGCGCCATCCTAGGATCACCCGGATGGCGGAACGACAGAACGCTCGCGGTTACACATCGTCTCATACGGCACTCTTGGCATCCGCAGGGTCCTCTTTTTTTTTTTTTTTCTTTTTTTTTTTTTTTTTTTTTTTTTTTTTTTTTTTTTGCAAATGTGCTGGGTAGCTGGGTTTGAACGGTTGAAGGGAACTTTTTGGGATTTAACTAATAGTAATATTGTCGTGCGAGCCTATAATGTACAATGAAAGGTGTTTTTTGATTATCTCCGTGCCTTGTCTCGGTATTGGATCATTTATTTGAATATATGGACCTCATCCCCCGGGGGGAGGGGGAGGGGTTCTTCTTCTCTCGGTCGGGAGACGTCCCTGCATGAAAGTCCCCCGTCTGGGGCTGAAAATTGGGTTCACTGCCATTCAAAGGCGCTTCCTGGTCCAGCGGGTGATTGGCAGCAACCGCCTTGGGATTTGGAAACTGATGTTGCAGCCCAGACCGTAGCCGTGCCACCAGCCCAGCGATGTTGGAACAATCCCCCAGGCCAGCCGCGGGGTCCGGAGCGAGCTCGTTCTCGCGGGCAACGGGCTTGCACAGCGCCATCCACAGATAGAGAGCTCTCGGGCAAGGCACATTGATCTCGCACTATTGTAGATTCTCATGATACAAAGTGGGAATGCGGCCTTCCCCGTGGGGGACACATACTAACCAGTAGTCATCGCAACGGCTTCATCCGGCGTGTACGGGCGACGTCACGTCGGGTTTTGGCAACATGTCCCCGAGAGAGCCGCAAGCACATTTTGGGCTCCATCGGGCTAGTAGAATATGAAACTGGTGAGTTTAGGATACGGCAGAGGGTCTGAACTTTATTTCGAAGCCATTTCCTGTTGCCATTGTGTGATCATAATGCCTCCGGAGTGAGGACGTCCACTACTAATTACAAGGTTCATAACCCAATTTCTCAATCTGCAGCATAGCCTATGCCTATCTATGACAACACCACCACTGTACATAGTTGCTACATAGGACTTCGTATCATGCAGTAGTGATGTAAAACTTTGGGTTTGGAACCGGGTTTATCAGTGTAGCTGTGGAAGGATCCAGGAATGTATTATTCAGGGGGGTAAAGGAACTATAACAACAGATATGTGTCCTTGTGTATCTGCTGCTAGCCACAAATGTTGGGCCACAATCAAAGTTCCGGGATATGCGCGCCGTGGAGAGAATAGAGTGCAGTGTCCGATCTGTAACAAGAGACTCACACGGAAATATAACGTGAAGCAACATATCCGGACACGACATCGGGCACCTCCAAAGAACGGACTAGCCGGCCTCGTAGAGAGGGGGAAGTCTCTTTACGACCATTATCATTTAGTGATCCAATCGCAGATGGAGCGACACAGTACATGCTAAAGTACTAATAGGAAATGTTATTTTACTACACCCATTAGCGCACTATATCTGTGTAGCGTAGATCTCTATGTATCTTACCGTACCACGATGGGTCGCGGCCCCATGACAGATAAAAAATGATGGGATGCAGTTCCCAAGAGCTATCTAGGATAGTAGCCCCAGTTTAATACACGTTCTGGGGGTTGCTAGGCATTTAGTTTCACTATTGATGCGGAGGACGGGGACGACCGATTAGTATTAACCGGCCTAACTTCACTAAATAATCCTCATACTGGCAGAATTACTCAGCATTGCAATGGCAGTAGAGCATAGGAAATGCCTGTTCGAAGTTTAAGTATAATACGCGAAGCTTGAATTCCCGACAAGGTCCATCGGCTTGAGAAACAAGGCGTGGCAAGTAGCCATTGAAATAGTACCATCTTGTTTATGCCACGGACCCTATTTTTAAACGGTAAATCCCTTGGTCGGCCACATTGCTGGTAGATACGAATAGGTAGCGATTCAAACCTTTTGAATGGGGTGTCCTGGGCGGGCAATGGCATAGGTGTAAAGAAACCCTAATGTTTGAATGCCATGACTACTTGTGCATATGATAATACTAAGTTTAGTATTTTTTCCCCATAAAATGGGGATCTCATTCGCGTAATGTTTTTGTCGTTACTCTATCACGGCCTCCCAGCCTCTGAGGAACCATTGGACTAGTTATGTGGATGGCGCTACAATCCTAGTCTTCCTAACAAACACGAACTGTTTAGTTTACTGGGGCCACCTCCGCCACCAGTATCTTACTATGGGCATATTATGCTCGAAGACAGAATCTTATAGAGTAAGATGGGAATAACATATTGTAAAAGTTTGGCGCGGGTTAAATGCGACTGTTGTTTATTACTACCATGCTAATTCCTCGGTAAACCCTATCCAGCCACAGCTACCCACTGCCGTCTCGTTGCCGCGTCCAACCCGAAACCAGTCCATGCTCCAGGCATTTTGGGGTTAAAAACGGACCACCCCCGACCCCCTTCCCACTTCCGTCTACCGACCATCCCCGTTTCTATTCTTGCTCACTTCAACCAATGGGTCTAGAATAGTACGCTCGAGCTAAAACTTGAAACCACGACCCGTTTAAGATTTGAAAATTAGGGTTTCAACCGATGGAACGAAGCAAAACTGAAATAGCAGGCGCTGACTTCGATGCTCTGAACTGTTGACCGACCCCGGCTCACGTAGACTGCTGTCATCTGAGGGCGATATAGATTGCAAGTGTGCTGCGCCTGAGACTAGCAGCTTAGGATGTTCTTGGGCACGCGAGATGTCACACCGACATACCAGGGGAACTGTGGCTCCTGACAGAGCTCGGATTCAAACCTTCCCACATAATAACAACTGGGATTTTCAGTTACCTAACAACTTTATAGTTTAGTTTCAGTCTCAGACATGCTGAACTAACCTCGCGAGCTACGCCCGTTTAGACCTCTCCTGTGTGGTTTCAAGGCATGTTCGAACGTCGGTTCGATAAGCGGTTACTATCTTTAATCATTTCGCTACCACACCAAGGGCACTTAATTCGCCGGTTGTTGGCTCACCAAAGATCGCTGCCTCTTTAGACCTAGCCTCCTATCCATGAACAGATGCGGACTCGGGGATGCGTGCGGAATATTTAAAGAGCGACCTGATCTCCAATATCTTTCGAACCAGGCTTCCGATATTCTGATCCACCAATTTTCATTCCTTAGTTCTGTTGTTCAATACTCTCTTTCCTTCATTTCACATTTGGGATACACTCTTTTCAACATGCAGATTTCCAGCGCACTGACTCTGATCGGGCTCCTGGTGGGCCAAACAGTTGCCCATGGGTTGCCTACACTAATATGTGATGGAAACGGCACATGTATGCCTGGCTTGACAGGTCCGTATGATACATTCCCTATCCAATTTTATTCGTCTAATGATGTTAGTCATGGATGGCGTGCCGCGTGACTGTCCCTCGGCAGCCTGTGGCGCGCAGAAGGACACCTCCATTATGAGAGACGATGAGATGGATGGCAGCAAAGCCTCCGCACTCGGCCGGACCAACGGCGGTGGCCCTGTTGATCCTGCTACCGTTATAAGTGCTTACATGGGGTTGGATAATAGCAACAGCAAGCGTGGACTTCTTGCGCGCGGACTTCTTGCGATGGCTCGTCTACGTGTGACCTCTCTTAGCTAGCCATTGTTATCCCCCTTAAGCTAATGCTTTGACAGGTCGCGATATAACCAACGACATAGCGAGTGCTTTTACCAATGCTGGTGGCACGATTCTTAACGGTATATATACCTTACTTCATCTTATATAGGACTTCCTTAGCTGACCCCCTTTCTAGGCCTGCAGGACTTTGCTAGCGGCGGCAATATCGGAATTGTCAAGGAAAGTGGGAACCAAAAGTATGCCGGCCAAGGCGCCTCTAAAGGTCTTCCTATTCCCAACGAGAATGGCATAATCACCGTAACCTATCACCAGGCATGTTTGTCGACCCTTTGTCAAGACTCCTATATTGATTGAGCTTATTCAGGTGAATCAAGATGGCGCGGGTCCCTTGGTAGCCGATGTCGACTTTACGAGTGGCGGAAACGACCCAGGCGCCTTTGAGCCGGCTACAGTTGTCAAGAATATACAGGGAGTTGCTGGCTTCTCCACCTCGAGCGCGAAGGACTACGAAATCCAGATTCAAGTGCCTAACAAGAAGTGCCATGGAACCGTTCGGTCCGTTCCGAATGTCTGCGTTTGCCGCATTCGCAACCAGGCTATTTCGGGACCTTTCGGTGGCGCGGTGGCTTTTACTAACTAATAGGGCACACTGTGGCCTTTTCGTAATGCATGAATTGGCATACCACCCCACATTTCCTTCCTGCATTCTTTATCTGTGGATCGGTAATGCTTCCGTTTAATTCTGTCTACCTTTTTGTAGGCTGCATGTAGCCCCCTAGTAAATAGTATCTGCGGGCCTCTAATTATCTATAATATGCCTAACTATTAGCTCTAAAAGTCTAGAAAATAACTGCAGGCAAATAGAGCTGGTAGCTAACTCAATATTTCAAAAAGGAGCCAAAGACCATATCTAACTTGATTAGGATAAAATAGAGCTTATTCACTTTAGCTCTAAACAACCGGATCAAGAAAAGGAAGACACCCAAGTTAGACTAGATAACAATATCAAAGTCAAACCAAGCCCGATGGTAATGGCTAGGAATCTATATAGATTCCAAACTCCTTTTCAAAAAACATGTCCAATTTAGAGTTGCATCTGCAACTAGAATATTTCACCAAATAGCGAGGCTTTCTAACACAGAAAGGGGGCTAAGTTTCCAAGCCATGAGACAACTTTATATTGCTTGTGTTTCCTCCATTGCAGACTATGGAGTCCCTTTATAGTGGAAAGGCCAACAGTATTTAGTAGACCACTACCAGAAGCTGCAAAACACGGCTTTAAGAAAGATTCTAGGAACTTTTAAAACATCGCCTGTACTGGCCATGGAAATAGAAGCATCCCTGCCCCACCAGCAGTTAGATTTAATAAAATCTGCAGAAACTACGTTCTTAGAACTCCTATTTTATAAAATCCCATGCAATCCAAAGCAGACTGTTAGCAGCTTATGAACGATAGTCATGACTATGATGGCACCTGTAGACTATTTATGCTCGACTATTGAACTAACAGTTCAATAGATCTGATCAGTGAGTGCACTTTGATAACAGTGATCATATCAATCATTTGTAAATCTACTACCAATAGATATATTCCGTTGTATATGAAAAATATCAATTTGCATACGTCATCTCCCTCACACATCCTCTGTATCTAGTTACTAATCCCACGATACCGCAATCTCCCAACAGTATCATGATGCTCATCCCACCTTTCCAGATCCGTATTCGACACTTTAGCCAGCTTATGAACCACCGACCGTCGTCAAACTCCAGCAGCGACTGTCGATACTGATATCCTTTATACTTCGGTAGCGCTTCTATCCAGATATAGTACTATATTCCACAGAGAAGAAGTCTATCCAAATTAGAAACAGCCTAATAAAAACATCAGGGATACTTACAGCCCGATCCCCACAACCAAATACGTTCCGTACTGGAAACTGACATCTCCCCCCTTGGCCCCGTCGGATGGTGGATACCATGGCGCGATACTCCGGTCGAGGGAGGTGGAATTCACGACGTCGTCGACGGATCACCAGGAGACCTACCACTAGGAGGAAGTTGAAGATACTGGTTGGATAGACAGATAGGTCGATCACTGTTGCTGTAAGCAGGAGTAGGTTGCCAAGCTCGATTGTGGAAGGAAATTCACGGTGTCTGCTTGAAGGAACTTGAATGAATGTTCTGCGGGAGGCCATATTCATATTATCCACACTGGATTTATCCACATTTGCCAATGCCCCTGAATATTTATACTTCGTACTACTTGCAGGGCCTTTATCCACACCTACTTTCTCTGCTTTCAGATCCACTTCTCAAATATCTTCCCGGCCTCACAAACTGGGCCATTTCCCTGTATTTGCTTCAGCTACTTTGTGTTTATCCCCGAGCTCGTCCCAGCTAGTTTTTGTAAGTGCCCCATTCCGAGCATCACACTCTGGCCCTCTCCATATGGAACAGATCTCGGTTTTTGAACGCACCTCGGAAAATGACAGTGGCGTATCCGTCCTTATCAATTCATATGATATAGCTGGAGAATTTCTGGCATTTGGGCAGAGCGATGCTCTGGGGTATTTAGGTTCAGATAACACTTGGAGATTTTACTAAAGAGAACGCCCAATGCTGCACCCTAATATAATGATTATATTGTCAATATAATCATAGTTATTATTTTAACGTAATCGGCCACCGAGCTGGGTGGACCACCGAGCTGGGCGGTCCCCACCAAACAACGCGCTTACCACGAAGCTATTCAAAATATTATTATTATCTCCAACCACAGAGCTATGGCCGATAGTTCAAAAGAAGGCCGTTTACAATTGGCTATAGATGCTTATAAGCAAGGCCTTTTAAATCTAAAACTGCTGCAGCTAAGGCATTTGATGTCCCTCCGAGCACCTTAATGACGCGTTTAAATGGCACTACCTCTCGCAAGGAATCAGTTGCTAATAGTCGAAAATTAACAAATACGGAAGAATTAACTCTTATCTTATGGATTATTGATATGGATCGTCGTGGCCTACCTCCCTGGATATTAACTGTACGCTATCTAGCTCAGCTGCTTCTCTCTGCGCGAACCCAATCTACCTTAGTTATTAGAAACCACTAGGTATCAAGATTTATTAAGCGCCATCCTGATATCAGCTTAAAATATACCCGAAAGTACAGTTATCAACGGGCAAAGTGTGAAAGTCCAAAGCTTATCCAGGAGTGGTTCCAGCGGTTCCGGGATACTATACAAAAATATGGGATCTGTACTGAAGATATTTACAATATGGATAAGACAGGGTTTCAAATAGGTGTTATATCAACTGCAAAAATAGTCTGTGGTTCAGAGACAAGACAAAGCAAAGCCAAAGCAGTTCAGCCTGGAAATAGGGAGTGGGTTACTGCTATTATTGAATTAATGCAACCGGATGGGTATTACCACCGCAGATTATTCTTGCCGGTGAGAATCACCAATCTTAGTGGTATAAAAATATACCAAAAGACTATCGCATTTCTACGAGCAAGAATGGATGGACGAATGACAATCTAGGCTTAGATTGGCTACAAAATTGCTTTGATCCGTATACAGCGCCACGTACAGTTGGGAGATACCGCCTTTTAGTTATGGATGGACATAGTAGCCATGCTACAGCAGAGTTTAATAAATTCTGTACAGATAAAGGGATTATTCCTTTTATTTACCTCCTTATTCTTCTCACCTTCTACAGCCACTAGATGTGAGCTGCTTCTCACTATTAAAGTACCTTTATAGCCAAAAGATTTGTAAAGGGGCGAAATGCCTTGCTATCTAATAACTAGATATACACAAAGAGGAATCGCTGAAAGGGAGAAAGTAAAGGGGAGGAAGTGTGCGTTCTCATACTACAAGGTGTCATGTGACTACGATAAGCGGACCAATTATATGTGTTAATTACAGCGAAGGTGAAGCCGAGCAACATACAGGCGTAGCCCGTGACATTATCCCCCCCCGGAGAAGTTGTGGGCCCGGAGCCCACGACTTTTAGGGAGTCGTGGTGGGACCCCCTTTTGACTCCCAGATGTCCAGTGCGACTGTGTCTTCCATGTTGTGAGCGGCCGTCCAGGTGGGCGTTTGATAACCTGTCTATTTAACTAGATATTCGTGCCTAAAGCCGCGCCCCCAACGGATCCGACGCTCGTCCAGAATCTCGTCTACCCCGTATTCCTTTTTGCCATCCACAAGGAACCCCGGGGGTTGCCAGTCAGGTCGGGATTGGCTCGGCAGTGGATTCTTAGCTGCCGGACGCAGTAACATAGTATGGAAGACAGGGTGAATAGCTATTGGTGTGTCTAACTTGTAGGCGTGGGAACCCACACGCTTAATAATAGTAAACTTGGCATGTTGGGCGTCCAGTTTCTTGCAGGGGCGGTTAGTTTTAATATTCCGAAGATCAAGCCATACTTTATCTCCCACTTGGTACTGAGGTGCTGTATTCCGGTGTTGGTTGGTATATTCCTCCTGTGCAAGCTGTGCCGCGGCCATGGCCGCCTGGGCTAACTCCAATGCGCCTTTAGTTTGCTAACAATATCCTCCGCACGTTGGGCTGGTGTTTTCGGGCTCTGAACAACCTCTGGGGCTTCAGGGAGGTCCAGGGGCTCCATATGATATCCGTGGTCCAGGGAAAAGGGGCTGACGCCAGTGGATGCAGAGTCTCTGTTATTCAGTGCGAGCATCGCAGCGGGACACAAGAATGCCCAATTATCTTGAGTATAGTTCACAAAAAATATAGATAAGCTTTAATAATAGTATTTATTCGCTCTGTCGCTCCATCTGTTTCGGGGTGCCAAGCTGTAGAGAGACGCCTTTTTATCTGCAGGAGTTTACATAGGCGCTTCCAAAGGGCGCCAACAAACTGCTCACCTCTGTCCGAGACGATTGCCGATGGTAGGCCGTGGTAGGCGTAGAACACTTTCAGGAACTTCCGAACAATATACTCTGTTTCAATGTTCTCACAAGGTTTGATAATAACCCCTTTCCTAAGCGATCTGTGATAACCATGATATTTGTACAACCTGACGATACGGGGAGTCCCACAATAAAGTCTATGGAGATCTCTCCCACTTGCGGTCAGGTATTAGGAGCGGTTTTAGCAGTCCCTGCCGTCTATCCCTCCATACTTGGTTGGCACCGCACTGATCACAGTTATGGCAGAACTGACGGATATCGGAGGACATTCGAGGCTAAAAGAACTGTCGGGCGATAAGCGCATATAAGGTGTTACGTCCGGGATGTCTAGTTAGGATTGAATCGTGCATTTCCTGAATAATACGTGTCCTTAAAGGCTCTGATTGGGGAACCCAGCGCCGCTCTCGGAATAGCAGCTGTCCTTGACTATCCAGACCGCACTCCGATATAGGGACCTTTATCTGGAGGTGCTTGGGGAATTAAGCTGCCCTGCTCTAAATTGCGTGCACTAGCTCCTTTCTTTGGTTGTTTTTTTGCTCTACCTCCTGCCATTGCTCCTCCAACAGTGGTAAAGCCGCCGATTCGTGGTCCTCGCTGTTGCTCGTGGTGGACAGGACTAAGACGGTCTTAACGGTGCTTTTATCCATGTCCCTAAAAGTTTCTGGCTTAAATAGCTGTATTTCCCGGCTGCTTACACGCTCATCATC